GTAACACCCAATGGGATGAGTCTGTTCCTTGGATTATTTTCGCCGCGAGGGACTGTGTCCAGGACTCTTTAGGCTACTCGCCTTTTCAACTTGTGTTTGGACATTCTGTCCGTGGCCCCCTGAAGCTGATACACGAACGTTGGACAGGTACCAGTGATCATCCAGTGGAAAACTTCGACGATTTTCACGTTCGACTGAAAGCCGTGTGCGAAATGGCTCACAAGAACTTAAGAAAGGCCCAAGTTAGAATGAAAGGACTGTATGATAAGAGTTCTTGTAAACGAACATTCAATCCAGGCGACAAAGTTCTTGTGCTAGTGCCTAATCTGAACAATGCGTTATCCTTGAGATATTGTGGACCCTTTACTGTGCATTCAAAATTAAGTGATTTGAACTATGTTGTCAATACGCCCGACAGAAGAAAGAAACAGACAGTGTATCATGTCAACTCACTGAAAAAGTATTATGATAATTGTAACAATTTTCAATCCACAGCTAAAATTACTTTACCTGTATGTTCAAATGTTTCTGATGATGTGATACATGATAAATTGAAACCCCCAAAATTGGTAAATTCTTCCTTTTTAGATAATTTGAATGTCCACCTTATGCATTTGTCCACAGAGGAAAGCCATAGATTGTCTCAGTTATTTGAGACATTTCCCTCTATTTTTGGGGATGTCCCCAAAGAAGCGAAGGTTCCACCTCATGATGTAGACGTTGGTGACGCAAAACCCATTAAACAACACCCCTATAGAGTTAACCCGGAAAAAGCTGCTTTGATAAAAGATGAAATTGATTATATGCTCAAGAATGATATCATTGAGCCCAGTTTCAGCAACTGGAGTTCCCCATGTCTCCTAGTCCCGAAAGACGGTGGATCTTTCAGGTTTGTGACCGACTTTAGGAAGGTGAATGCGCTCACCAAAGCTGATTCCTATCCCTTACCTCGGATAGAGGACGTTATTGATAAAGTTGGTCAGGCTAAGATAATTTCCAAAATTGATTTACTTTCAGGATACTGGCAAATCCCCTTATCTGACCGTGCAAAAGAAATATCTGCTTTTGTAACCCCTAATGGTTTTTATAGATACAAACGCATGCCCTTTGGTATGCGAAATGCTGGTCAAACTTTCCAGAGGGTCATTAACTCTGTCATTGCTGACATAGACCAATGTGAGGCCTACATAGATGATATAGTTGTATTTTCTAATACTTTTGAAGAACATATTGTTCAATTGACTAACCTTTTTAGAAAATTGTCTGAAGTGAATTTTACTGTAAACTTACATAAAAGTGATTTCTGTAAAGCTTCAATTACCTATTTGGGTTATCAAGTGGGAACGAACCAAGTTCGGCCCATTGAAGCTAAAGTAGATGCTATTGTAAGGTTACCACCTCCCAAAAATTGTAAAGAAATCAAAAAGTTCCTTGGGATGGCTGGTTACTATAGACGGTTCTGTCAAAATTTTTCAGCTATTGCTGAACCTCTTACTGCATTATTGAAAAAGGGTGTTGAATTTGAATGGTCCAATAAATGTCAAGAAGCTTTTTTAACCATTAAGTCATTTTTATCAAATGCTCCTGTTATGGCTGCACCAAATTTTAGCAAGCCCTTTAAACTTGCCATTGATGCTAGCAACTTAGCCATTGGCTCAGTCCTATTTCAAGAAGACAACATGGGAATTGACCATCCCATTGCCTTTTTTTCCAGGAAGTTAAATGAAAACCAAAAGAATTATTCTACTATTGAAAAAGAGGCTTTAGCTTTGGTTTTGTCATTACAACATTTTGAAGTCTATGTCTCTTCTTCAACCAATCCAGTCAGAGTGTTTTCTGACCATGATCCCCTGAAATTTACCTCTAAGTTAGGACAGACAAATCAAAGAATATTGAGATGGTGCTTGTATTTCCACAATTTTAATCTGGAAATTTCACACATTAAGGGTAGTGATAATGTTGTGGCTGATTGTTTGTCAAGGATGTAAAATCTTGTTGTACACATTGATCATGTGACATGCTTTGTGGTTCATTAGGACCATAAACAGGTTTTGCTTGAGTGTCACTCATATGAAAATGAGTGGTGTGAGTTTTGAATTTTTTTCAAAATTCCAATCCTGTTGAATATTTTGTTTATTTTCAGGTGAACCTTAATTAAAGGTGGTTTTTGATTATATGTAATCTTTTATATTAATATGTCTCACATGACTCTATTGATATTGTAGCTAGTCATTGAAATAAAGGTCTTACCCTGGCGGGTTTACCACCTTTAATATCCACATGGAAATATTGTAATACCCTTTTTTGAGGGATTTTGATGTATAATTACTTTTTGAAGGGTTACTCCCCTTTCACCAATTGTAAAAGTTGGAGTTACTTCCCTTTTATGTTCAGGGATATTTTCATCTGGTATTATGATTTTGATTGCCTACATTTGTAAAACATTTTTGTTATTTCATTGCCAGATTGGTTCCTTATGTATGTTCTTGTGGAACCTATCTGTCACTTCCAAAAAGGGAGGGGATGTGACCTACTTAGGTCGAGTCATTTTTATTTTGACATTGTATAATTCCTTATATGGAATGATGGTGTAACACCTGGGGTTTTTCCACTGACTTATTAAGGTGTTTGAGACATAGAAATTTTCCATTAAAATCTGATTGAATGATTCTGATCAGATGATTATCCCAACCAATGGCGACATGAGTTGAGGATAACCTCCCCTGTCACAGAAGTCTTTAATTGCACTGCACACTCGCAACACGAGGCAGTTTATCTTGACCTGGCAGTCTACGAGGCAGTTTTACCTTGGTCAGGCAGCCGTCCACATTGTCCGGCTATAGACTCTGACCATTTGAACGTGAGAGTACTTAAGACCTGTGTGTGCCTTGCTTTCTTCAGTTGATTTAGTCTTCTAGTTTAATATTACTTGTCGCTAAGTAATTCTAGAAACTACAGCAGTGTTGTGTGGCCTGAAGCTGTTCTTTAGACAGTGTAGAAATCTGTGATAGTGTTTTTTCCTACATTGTGTAAGTTGGGTTTTGATATGTTATACATTAAATATTTTATTTAGTTCAACCTTGTGTTCTGCCACTTCTGAGTTCGCTGATTAAAAGGTCGTATGTAGATTGGATAAGTGTTAATTACAATAGTATCACTAGCTTCCCTAGACATTAAATTCGAGCCCTAGTGGTCGTTGTGTTAAGTGTTCATCCACTTAGGCCGTAAGGCATTTGCATATGACCCCGAAAAAAGAATCCGGGGACGTTCTCCTTCTATTTGGCTGATAGATAGGTTAACGTTACAACAGTACTACAGGTAGCACTTGATGGGGGACAGTACTACAGGTAGCACTTGATGGGGGACAGTACTACAGGTAGCACTTGATGGGGGACAGTACTACAGGTAGCACTTGATGGGGGACAGTACTACAGGTAGCACTTGATGTGGGACAGTATAGCACTTGATGGGGGACAGTACTACAGGTAGCACTTGATGGGGGACAGTACTACAGGTAGCACTTGATGGGGGACAGTACTACAGGTAGCACTTGATGGGGGACAGTACTACAGGTAGCACTTGATGGGGGACAGTACTACAGGTAGCACTTGATGAGGGACAGTACTACAGGTAGCACTTGATGGGGGACAGTACTACAGGTAGCACTTGACGGGGGACAGTACTACAGGTAGCACTTGATGGGGGACAGTACTACAGGTAGCACTTGATGGGGGACAGTACTACAGGTAGCACTTGATGGGGGACAGTACTACAGGTAGCACTTGATGGGGGACAGTACTACAGGTAGCACTTGATGGGGGACAGTACTACAGGTAGCACTTGATGGGGGACAGTACTACAGGTAGCACTTGATGGGGGACAGTACTACAGGTAGCACTTGACGGGGGACAGTACTACAGGTAGCACTTGATGGGGGACAGTACTACAGGTAGCACTTGATGGGGGACAGTACTACAGGTAGCACTTGATGGGGGACAGTACTACAGGTAGCACTTGATGGGGGACAGTACTACAGGTAGCACGTGATGGGGGACAGTACAACAGGTAGCACTTGATGGGGGACAGTACTACAGGTAGCACTTGATGGGGGACAGTACTACAGGTAGCACTTGATGGGGGACAGTACTACAGGTAGCACTTGATGGGGGACAGTACTACAGGTAGCACTTGATAGGGGACAATACTACAGGTAGCACTTGATGGGGGACAGTACTACAGGTAGCACTTGATGGGGGACAGTACTACAGGTAGCACTTGATGGGGGACAGTACTACAGGTAACACTTGATGGGGGACAGTATAGCACTTGATGGGGGACAGTACTACAGGTAGCACTTGATGGGGGACAGTACTACAGGTAGCACTTGATGGGGGACAGTACTACAGGTAGCACTTGATGGGGGACAGTATAGCACTTGATGGGGGACAGTACTACAGGTAGCACTTGATGGGGGAAAGTACTACAGGTAGCACGTGATGGGGGACAGTACTACTGGTAGCACTTGACGGGGGACAGTACTACAGGTAGCACTTGATGGGGGACAGTACTACAGGTAGCACTTGATGGGGGACAGTACTACAGGTAGCACTTGATGGGGGACAGTACTACAGGTAGCACTTGATGGGGGACAGTACTACAGGTAGCACTTGATGGGGGACAGTACTACAGGTAGCACTTGATGGGGGACAGTATAGCACTTGATGGGGGACAGTACTACAGGTAGCACTTGATGGGGGACAGTACTACAGGTAGCACTTGATGGGGGACAGTATAGCACTTGATGGGGGACAGTACTACAGGTAGCACTTGATGGGGGACAGTACTACAGGTAGCACTTGATGGGGGACAGTACTACAGGTAGCACTTGATGGGGGACAGATAACGCACCCTACAATTTCCTTCATTTACCAAATGCCCTTTGATCCCTAACTTTACATATAACATCCCTGACCTCTGACCTCCCATGACCTTTGACTTACCTTGGCCAGCTGGTCGAAGCGACCAAAAAGCTCGTTAAGGATCCGAACCAGCTCCTGGGCCGTGCACTGGGAGGAGAGGCTGGTGAAGCCCACGATATCCGCGAACAGAATCCTATAGGATATACGACAGGTGTGCTGGTCAGACATGTGTGTGGGCAGACAGGTGTGTGGGCAGACAAGTGTGTGGGCAGACAGGTGTGTGGGCAGACAGGTGTGTTGGTCAGACAGGTGTGTGGGCAGACAGGTGTGTGGGCAGACAGGTGTGCTGGTCAGACATGTGTGCTGGTCAGACAGGTGAGCTGGGCAGACAGGTGTGTGGGCAGACAGGTGTGTGGGCAGACAGGTGTGTGGGCAGACAGGTGTGTGGGCAGACAGGTGTGTGGGCAGACAGGTGTGTGGGCAGACAGGTGTGTGGGCAGACAGGTGTGTGGGCAGACAGGTGTGTGGGCAGACAGGTGTGTGGGCAGACAGGTGTGTGGGCAGACAGGTGTGTGGGCAGACGCAGGTGTGTTGTGGCACGCAGGTGTGTTGTGGCATTTAGCACACTACACAGGTAGACAGGACGATGACGACTCACGTGACATTGTCGTGGAGCTGGATGTAGATTTTATGAAACATCCCGTGATGTGGCGTCGTGATGTCATTTTTCATCTCCATGGCTACGTGTTGCGGTAAGACGCTCATCAATATTCGTTCCTGGTCAAATAAAATGTCAAAACATTAAGAATCGCTCCTGGTCAAATAAGATGTCAAAACATCAAGAATCGTTCCTAGTCAAATAAGATGTCAAAACATCAAGAATCGTTCCTAGTCAAATAAGATGTCAAAACATCAAGAATCGTTCCTAGTCAAATAAAAGGTCAAAACATCAAGAATCGTTCCTGGTCAAATAAAAAATAAAAAATTGTTCCTGGTCGAATAAAATGTCAAAACATCATGATTTGCTTTTATTTTAGTCAAATGAAAACCTAGCTCAGTCTAGTCCAAGACCCGTCACTCTTAGCCAACACACAAACAACACATTTGCTAATACTGGTGGGAAGTAAATGAAGAGCCTTTTCTCTGGTAGAAAAAAAAAGACGATCTATTTTTATTGATTTAACCTTGACTTTGTAGCGTATTCTGGCCAATAAAGCAACGTCCAAAATCTGAAGAAGTTTGGGGTGAAATCTTTGCGTACAGCCCCCACCCCTCGTCATACACCGCCCCCACCCCTCGTCATACACCGCCCCCACCCCTCGTCATACACCGCCCCCTCCCCTCGACTATAGAATAGACATCTCCACTCCATCTAGGTGTCTGTGTGTGTGTAGATCAAGTCGATATAAAGCATCATGAGCTGCGGTGGTCGCCGCTACGGTTTGATATTCGGAGCAATTCAATCTACGGACGTGGGGGAGGGGGTGTGGGAGGGGGAGGGGAAGATGTTCCAGGGGATCGATCTCGTGCTCTTCTAATTAAATCTACAGACAAGGTTTGGTGGCCAAAAGGACGGGAAGATAGGCGGCAGTTCAGATCGTTTGGCTTTAGACAGACAGACAGGCAGACAGGCAAGCAGGCAGACAGACAGGCAGGCAGACAAGCAAACAGGCAGGCAGGCAGGCAGACAAGCAAACAGGCAGGCAGACAAGCAAACAGGCAGGCAGGCAGACAAGCAAACAGGCAGGCAGGCAGACAAGCAAACAGGCAGGCAGGCAGACAAGCAAACAGGCAGGCAGGCAGACAAGCAAACAGGCAGGCAGGCAGACAAGCAAACAGGCAGGCAAACAGGCAGGCAGGCAGACAGACGGTCAGACAGGCAGGCAGACAGGTAGACAGGTAGACAGGCAGGCAGGCAGACTGGGTGACTTACCAGTTTCTCATTTTGGTCTTGTATATCCAATCTTGCAGCGATGCAGTCCCGAGTGTCCTGAAATGTCCTCCTCTGTGTCCTGTCGGTCGTGTTATGGATGAACAGGCCTGCCACGTTGGCACACACGAACAGAATCGTATTGGCCAGAAGCTGGGGATGAAGTCAACTAATGAAGTCATCTAGTGAAGTCATCTAGTAAAGTCATCTAATGAAGTCATCTAGTGAAGTCATCTAGTGAAGTCATCTAGTGAAGTCATCTAGTGAAGTCATCTAGTGAAGTCATCTAGTGAAGTCATCTAGTGGAGTCATCTAGTGAAGTCAACTAGTGAAGTCATCTAGTGAAGTCATCTAGTGAAGTCATCTAGACAAGTCATCTAGTGAAGTCATCTAGTGAAGTCATCTAGTGAAGTCATCTAGTGAAGTCATCTAGTGAAGTCATCTAGTGAAGTCATCTAGTGAAGTCATCTAGTGAAGTCATCTAGTGAAGTCATCTAGACAAGTCATCTAGTGAAGTCAACTAACGAAGTCAAATAGTGAAATCGTCTAGTGACGTAACTAATGAAGTCATTTAGTACAGTCAACTAATGTCCTAAAGATAGAATAGTCCATGTCCTAAAGGTGGAATAGTCCATGTCCTACAGGTGGAATAGTCCATGTCCTAAAGGTGGAATAGTCCATGTCCTAAAGGTGGAATAGTCCATGACCTACAGGTGGAATAGTCCATGTCCTAAAGGTGGAATAGTGCATGTCCTAAAGGTGGAATAGTGCATGTCCTAAAGGTGGAATAGTCCATGTCCTAAAGGTGGAATAGTCCATGTCCTAAAGGTGGAATAGTCCATGTCCTAAAGGTGGAATAGTCCATGTCCTAAAGGTGGAATAGTCCATGTCCTAAAGGTGGAATAGTCCATGTCCTAAAGGTGGAATAGTCCATGTCCTAAAGGTGGAATAGTCCATGTCCTACAGGTGGAATAGTCCATGTCCTACAAGTGGAATAGTCCATGTCCTACAGGTGGAATAGTCCATGTCCTAAAGGTGGAATAGTCCATGTCCTACAGGTGGAATAGTCCATGTCCTACAGGTGGAATAGTCCATGTCCTACAGGTGGAATAGTCCATGTCCTAAAGGTGGAATAGTCCATGTCCTAAAGGTGGAATAGTCCATGTCCTAAAGGTGGAATAGTCCATGTCCTAAAGGTGGAATAGTCCATGTCCTAAAGGTGGAATAGTCCATGTCCTAAAGGGGGAATAGTCCATGTCCTAAAGGTGGAATAGTCTATGTCCTAAAGGTGGAATAGTCCATGTCCTAAAGGTGGAATAGTCCATGTCCTAAAGGTGGAATAGTCCATGTCCTACAGGTTGAATAGTCCATGTCCTAAAGGTGGAATAGTCCATGTCCTAAAGGTGGAATAGTCCATGTCCTAAAGGTGGAATAGTCCATGTCCTAAAGGTGGAATAGTCCATGTCCTAAAGGTGGAATAGTCCATGTCCTAAAGGTGGAATAGTCCATGTCCTAAAGGTGGAATAGTCCATGTCCTACAGGTTGAATAGTCCATGTCCTAAAGGTGCAATAGTCCATGTCCTGCAGGTGGAATAGTCCATGTCCTAAAGGTGGAATAGTCCATGTCCTGCCAGAGCAGCAGCTAGACGGTACAGGTAGGAGAGAGAACCATGAGAGAGGCCCATGAGAGAGGCCCAGGTGAGAGGCTCAGGTGAGAGACCCAGGTGAGAGGCTCAGGTGAGAGACCCAGGTGAGAGGCTCAGGTGAGGTGACTCATCAGCACCTCAGCTGTGTGGAGCCCGTGCATGCTGTGTGTGTGAGCGTACATGATGTGTGTGTGTGTGTGAGAGAGAGAGCGTGTGTGTGTGTTGCGTGTATCCTGTGTGTTGAGCTAAAAACGTGGAGAATGTTTTCCTCCACACAAAAAAAAAGATGAATGGTAGCTGTAGTTTCAAACGGTTTTTTTTTTTTTTTTTGTGTTACCATTAGTAAAGTGAACAGCTTATGAATGGTGTTTTTTTTTCTTCTTTTAAGCTAAAAACTAAATCTCTTACAGATGGGCGTTTGATAGTTCTGTTGTATTGTTTGATGGTGTTTAATAAAGTATATTGTAGATTGTGTTTACTAAAGTATATTGTAGATTGTGTTTAATAAAGTGTAATATAGATTGTGTATAATAATGTATAATATATTTTGTGTATAATAAAGTGTAATATAGATTGTGTATAATAAAGTATAATAATGATTGTGTATAATAATGTAGATTGTAGATTCTGTATAATAAAGTATATTAAAGATCGTGTATAATAGCGACAGTGCATGGTTAGATGAGTAGTTCAAGAAAAAGTGGTCGAAAAACGCATTAATTAAACTGTATTGTAATTTTCAAAGGGAGGTAATTTAAAAATAAATTCAACTCACGCTAATAAAAAATGTGAATTCAAAATCTACGGACCTCTAAGAAGGAATCATTGTTGCAGTAATATAATTAGCAAAATGTGAATGCAAATTGATGAGTGTTGTCTTTTGTGTTTGTGTGTTGAGTTTGTGTTTTCTTTTGTGTTTGTGTTTTTATTTGTGTTTGTGTTGAGTTTGTGTTGCGTTTGAGTTGCGTTTGTGTTGTGTTTGTGTTGTGTTTAGTTTGTTCTGTTCCCAAGTTGGTACATTTAAAAAAGATTTACCGTGGCGGAGCACCGGTTTGCAGCTATATATATATATATACGTATATATGATGGGAACTATTTGAAACCCCCAGCCTCCATGAAACATTCCTTGACGTAGGCCTACAATTTATAGATTGTGTAAAAATGTAGTAGACGACACTGAGACCAGACACGACACATTGGTAGACACGACACATTGGTAGACACGACACATTGGTAGACACGACACATTGGTAGACACGACTCACCTGACGCCAGAGCAGCGCGGGAAAATGTCGGCACGTCTGCGAGGCCACCAGCAAGTGGGTCAAGGTTAACATGGCCCCGAGCATAAACTTGGCCACCGTCCTGACGGCCATCAGGCCATAGACGTTGTAGATGATGAAAGCCACGAGCCACGCGCCATCCGTCATGCTGACCTTGAACTGGTCCACGGCCGCAGGGAGGCCAAAGGGCAGGGGGGTGCTGAGGACCCCTAGCAGGGCCACACAGCCGAGAATGACGTAGTTGAGGGTCATGAAGTGAAGCTCCTGCTGACGGGTCCTGATGTAGATGAAGCAGCCGAGGAAGAAGAGGCCCTGGCCGTACAAGTACAGGCTGTAGGCCGTGTAGGTCCGGCTGTAGCTGCTGGTCAGCACGGCCACGCCCAGACAGACAGCGGTCAGCAGCAGGACCAGCGATGCCATGGACGCCTGCTGCAGCCTGAAGACGTAGCGCTGGTACAGGGCCTCCATCTCCACGCTACTGAAGCGGTTCCAGCTCAGCAGCCGCCTGGCACCCGCCCCCGGCATCTCGTCTGCTGGTCGTCTGCTGGTCGTCTGGTCGTCTGGTCAAGTCGTCAGCAGCGGTAACCGAGACCAGGTAGGTCTTTTCATGACGCCCTGAATTTACAGGTCTTAGTCTTTTAGTTGTTGTAGTTCATGAATAAAACTAGCTGCGACAGGTCCCGTGTGCCTGCGACAGGTCCCGTGTGCCTGCGACGGGTCCCGTGTGCCTGCGACAGGTGCCTGCGACGGGTCCCGTGTGCCTGCGACGGGTCCCGTATGCCTGTGACAGGTGCCTGCGACAGGTCCCGTATGCCTGTGACAGGTGCCTGCGACGGGTCCCGTATGCCTGTGACAGGTGCCTGCGACAGGTCCCGTATGCCTGTGACAGGTGCCTGCGACAGGCCCCGTGTGCCTGTCTATTGATTGTGCTCCCCCTACTGAAGCCTACACCAGGCAGACATCGATACCGGTGCAGCAGTAATTATGTCATTATGTCGTCACTCCACACATACAGCACGGACTGGGGGGAAAAACATACGTTTAACAGTTTAGCATCTCAACATGGCCTCGTTAGTTTAACATGGCCTCGTTAGTTTAACATGGCCTCGTTAGTTTAACATGGCCTCGTTAGTTTAACATGGCCTGGTTAGTTTAACATGGCCTGGTTAGTTTAACATGGCCTGGTTAGTTTAACTTGACTAAGTTTCAAATAGAATTTCAGCACGTCATTGCAAAGCCAAATAAATCTTCAATGTCCCAGCCTATACCCCCCCCCCCCCCATAATCTCTCCCCTTTTGGTAGGTTGTGTGCTTGTTTCATTTCTTTATTCAATAATGGTTGTGGTGTCTTTTCCCGGCGTTTATCAATTCAAGTGAATACTTTTCTAGCCCACCGATCAAAATTTAGCTTACTTGATCCATAAATAATCACACTATTTGATGTGCAATCATTCAAAGATGTCAAATGTTTACCTAAACATTAAACCTAATTATGTATCTAAATCAAATGTTCCCCTGTATCCCATAGTCCCCTGTATCCCATAGTCCCCTGTATCCCATAGTCTTCTGTATCCCATAGTCCCCTGTATCCCATAGTCCCCTGTATCCCATAGTCCCCTGTATCACATAGTCCCATATATCCCATAGTCCATATATCACATAGTCCCCTGTATCACATAGTCCATATATCACATAGTCCCCTGTATCCCATAGTCTCCTGTATCACATAGTCCCCTATATTACATAGTCACCTGTATCACATAGTCTCCTGTATCCCATAGTCCCCTGTATCACATAGTCCCCCATATCCCATAGTCCCCTGTATCCCATAGTCTCCTGTATCACATAGTCCCCCATATCCCATAGTCCCCTATATTACATAGTCCCCTGTATCCCATAGTCCCCTGTATCACATAGTCCCCTGTATCCCATAGTCCCCTGTATCCCATAGTCCCCTGTATCCCATAGTCCCCTATATTACATAGTCCCCTGTATCCCATAGTCCCCTGTATCGCATAGTCCCCTGTATCCCATAGTCCCCTGTATCCCATAGTCCCCTGTATCACATAGTCCCCTGTATCCCATAGTCCCCTGTATCCCATAGTCCCCTGTATCCCATAGTCCCCTATATTACATAGTCCCCTGTATCCCATAGTCCCCTGTATCACATAGTCCCCTGTATCCCATAGTCTTCTGTATCCCATAGTCCCCTGTATCCCATAGTCCCCTGTATCCCATAGTCCCCTGTATCACATAGTCCCATATATCCCATAGTCCATATATCACATAGTCCCCTGTATCACATAGTCCATATATCACATAGTCCCCTGTATCCCATAGTCTCCTGTATCACATAGTCCCCTATATTACATAGTCACCTGTATCACATAGTCTCCTGTATCCCATAGTCCCCTGTATCACATAGTCCCCCATATCCCATAGTCCCCTGTATCCCATAGTCTCCTGTATCACATAGTCCCCCATATCCCATAGTCCCCTATATTACATAGTCCCCTGTATCCCATAGTCCCCTGTATCACATAGTCCCCTGTATCCCATAGTCCCCTGTATCCCATAGTCCCCTGTATCCCATAGTCCCCTATATTACATAGTCCCCTGTATCCCATAGTCCCCTGTATCGCATAGTCCCCTGTATCCCATAGTCCCCTGTATCCCATAGTCCCCTGTATCACATAGTCCCCTGTATCCCATAGTCCCCTGTATCCCATAGTCCCCTGTATCCCATAGTCCCCTATATTACATAGTCCCCTGTATCCCATAGTCCCCTGTATCACATAGTCCCCTGTATCCCATAGTCCCCTGTATCCCATAGTCCCCTATATCCCATAGTCCCCTGTATCCCATAGTCCCCTGTATCCCATAGTCCCATATATCACATAGTCCATATATCACATAGTCCCCTGTATCCCATAGTCCCCTGTATCCCATAGTCCCCTGTATCCCATAGTCCCCTGTATCCCATAGTCCCCTGTATCCCATAGTCCCCTGTATCCCATAGTCCCCTGTATCACATAGTCCCCTATATCCCATAGTCCCCTGTATCACATAGTCCCCTGTATCACATAGTCCCCTGTATCACATAGTCCCATGTATCCCATAGTCCCCTGTATCCCATAGTCCCCTGTATCACATAGTCCCCTGTATCCCATAGTCCCCTGTATCCCATAGTCCCCTGTATCCCATAGTCCCCTGTATCCCATAGTCCCCTGTATCCCATAGTCCCCTGTATCCCATAGTCCCCTGTATCACATAGTCCCCTGTATCCCATAGTCCCCTGTATCCCATAGTCCCCTGTATCACATAGTCCCCTGTATCCCATAGTCCCCTGTATCACATAGTCCCCTGTATCCCATAGTCCCCTGTATCCCATAGTCCCCTGTATCACATAGTCCCCTGTATCACATAGTCCCCTGTATCCCATAGTCCCCTGTATCCCATAGTCCCCTGTATCCCATAGTCCCATTTATCACATAGTCCCATATATCACATAGTCTCCTGTATCCCATAGTCCCATGTATCCCATAGTCCCCTGTATCCCATAGTCCCCTGTATCCCATAGTCCCCTGTATCCCATAGTCCCCTGTATCCCATAGTCCCCTGTATCCCATAGTCCCCTGTATCCCATAGTCCCCTGTATCCCATAGTCTCCTGTATCCCATAGTCCCCTGTATCACATAGTCCCCCATATCCCATAGTCCATATATCCCATAGTCCCCTGTATCCCATAGTCCCCTGTATCACATAGTCCCCGTTATCACATAGTCCCCCATATCCCATAGTCCCATGTATCCCATAGTCTCCTGTATCACATAGTCCCATATATCCCATAGTCCATATATCACATAGTCCCCTGTATCACATAGTCCCCTATATCACATAGTCCCCTGTATCACATAGTCCCCCATATCCCATAGTCCATATATCCCATAGTCCCCTGTATCCCAGTCCCCTGTATCACATAGTCCCCTGTATCCCATAGTCCCCTGTATCCCATAGTCCCATATATCACATAGTCCATATATCACATAGTCCCCTGTATCCCATAGTCCCCTGTATCCCATAGTCCCCTGTATCACATAGTCTCCTGTATCACATAGTCCCATATATCCCATAGTCCATATATCACATAGTCCCCTGTATCCCATAGTCTCCTGTATCACATAGTCCATATATCACATAGTCCATATATCACATAGTCCCCTGTATCACATAGTCCCCTGTATCCCATAGTCCCCTGTATCCCATAGTCCCCTGTATCCCATAGTCCCCTGTATCCCATAGTCCCCTGTATCCCATAGTCCCATATATCACATAGTCCATATATCCCATAGTCCCCTGTATCCCATAGTCCCCTGTATCCCATAGTCCCCTGTATCCCATAGTCCCCTGTATCCCATAGTCCCCTGTATCCCATAGTCCCCTGTATCCCATAGTCCCCTGTATCCCATAGTCCCCTGTATCCCATAGTCCCCTGTATCCCATAGTCCCCTATATCCCATAGTCCCCTGTATCCCATAGTCCCCTATATTACATAGTCACCTGTATCACATAGTCTCCTGTATCACATAGTCCCCTGTATCCCATAGTCCCCTGTATCCCATAGTCCCCTGTATCACATAGTCCCCTGTATCCCATAGTCCCCTGTATCCCATAGTCCCCTGTATCCCATAGTCCCCTGTATCCCATAGTCCTCTGTATCACATAGTCCCCTGTATCCCATAGTCCCCTGTATCCCATAGTCCCCTGTATCACATAGTCCCCTGTACCACATAGTCCCCTGTATCACATAGTCCCCTAAACGATTACCAAACGATTAATCGGTAGAGGAAAAAAAAACACTCATGAAAATTAAATGGCCGAGAAGGTCATTTCCGGTTGATTAAACTCACGTGCGCATCCCCTATCAGTAATTGATCAGTGTTCTGCCATCTTTGGATCAATGACGTCACTATAGAAACCATAAGTCAAACACAAACAACTAGGTCAAGCGGTGAGAGGGGGTGGGGAGGTTAAGGTACACTAAACTAGGTCAGACATGCCAAAGTGAGTTGCACCTGTCTGTTGGCCGGGTCACGTGATGTCTGCGGGGGGGGGGGGGGGGGGGGCGGGGGAGACGATGACTACACCCCAGTAGAAAGTTTGGACACTCTACACCCCAGTAGAAAGTATGGACACTCTACACCCCAGTAGAAAGTATGGACACTCTACACCCCAGTAGAAAGTATGGACACTACACCCCAGTAGAAAGTATGGACACTCTACACCCCAGTAGAAAGTATGGACCTCAATAGATCATGTAGAAAAACGCCCATATCTGTAACAGTGTAAGACACACCTCCCCCCCCCCCCCCCTCACTAATGAATGCCGTACCCTATCTTTACCGCAGAAAGTGGAACGGCTCATTTATCCATCTAGAAACTTGTGGAACGGCTCATTTATCCATCTAGAAACTTGTGGAACAGCTCATTTATCCATCTAGAAACTTGTGGAACGGCTCATTTATCCATTTAGAAACAAGTTGTGGAACGGCTCATTTATCCATTTAGAAACTTGTGGAACGGCTCATTTATCCATTTAGAAACTTGTGGAACGGCTCATTTATCCATTTAGAAACTTGTGGAACGGTTCATATATCCATTTAGAAACTTGTGGAACGGTTCATATATCCATCTAGAAACTTGTGAAACGGCTCATTTATCCATCTAGCACTAGCCCCGTCGCGAGCACCTTACCTTCACCTGACACAAGCCCAAATGTCGGTTCTAATAAATTCCCTTCAAACACGGCGGCACCCTGGCCTAGCAGACGATAACTTGAATATGGCCCGCTCGTGCGCACACACCCCTTCCAACCCCACTACCAGCGCGGCGTGATACTGCTACATGCGAGAACCGTTTCTAGCCCATTGATCACTTAAAACTACCCACGTTTTGTAACACGGCAGTAAACTTGATCCTAGTAAGGTCATGCTACATGATCCAAGGTTATGCTACATGATCCAAGGTCATGCTACATGATCCAAGGTCATGCTACATGATCCAAGGTCATGCTAGATGATTGAAGCAAGGTCATGCTACAAGAGTCAAGGTCACGCTACATGATTGAAGCAAGGTCATGCTACAAGAGTCAAGGTCATGCTACTTACGTCAAGGTCATGCTACATGAGTTGAAGAAAGGTCATGCTACATGAGTTAAATAAGGTCATGCTACATGAGTCAAGTAAGGTCATGCTACATGAGTCAAGTAAGGTCATGCTACATGAGTTAAATAAGGTCATGCTACATGAGTTAAGTAAGGTCAAGCTACATGAGTTAAGTAAGGTCATGCTACATGAGTTAAGTAAGGTCATGCTACATGAGTTAAGGTCATGCTACATGAGTTAAGTAAAGTCATGCTACATGAGTTAAGTAAGGTCATGCTACATGAGTTAAGTAAGGTCATGCTACATGAGTCTAGTAAGGTCATGCTACATGAGTTAAGTAAGGTCAAGCTAGCTGATGACTGCATTTAACAAGACTTGAATCAAATAAAAACTGACAATAAAGACTACACAGATTGACAAAAACAAAAAATGTAGAGAAAGCCAAAAGAATTGGTTTTAACGTTTATTTTGGCCATTCACTCCCCAGTCTGTTTTGGCCAGTCACTCCCCAGTCTGTTTTGGCCAGTCACTCCCCAGTCTGTTTTGGCCAGTCATTCCCCAGTCTGTTTTGGCCAGTCACTCCCCAGTCTGTTTTGGCCAGTCACTCCCCAGTCTACCCTCCAGCTCCAGCTTCCACTCTGCCTTCAACTTGTCCAGCGTGTCGCGGTCCACAAGGCCTTGGTCAATCAGTTTCTGAGACAGTTTCTCTGCTGCCTGCTGGGGACATTAGATGGGGGACATTAGATAGGGGACATTAGGTGGGGGACATTAGATGGGGGACATTAGATGGGGGACATTAGATGGGGACATTAGATGGGGGACATTAGATGGGGGACATTGGATGGGGGACACTAAATGGGGGACATTAGATGGGGGACATTAGGGGGGGACATTAGATGGGGGACATTAGATGGGGGACATTAGATGGGGGACATTAGATGGGGACATTAGATGGGGGACATTAGATGGGGACATTAGATGGGGGACATTAGGGGGGGGACATTAGATGGGGGACATTAGATAGGGGACATTAGATGGGGGACACTAAATGGGGACATTAGATGGGGGACATTAGATGGGGACATTAGATGGGGGACATTAGATGGGGGACATTAGATGGGGGACATTAGATGGGGACATTAGATGGGGGACATTAGATGGGGGACATTAGATGGGGACATTAGATGGGGGACATTAGATGGGGACATTAGATGGGGGACATTAGATGGGGGACATTAGATGGGGGACATTGGGGACATTAGATGGGGGACATTAGATGGGGGACATTAGATGGGGACATTGGGGACATTAGATGGGGACATTAGATGGGGGACATTGGGGACATTAGATGGGGGACATTAGATGGGGGACATTAGATGGGGGACATTAGATGGGGACATTAGATGGGGGACATTAGGGGGGGGGACATTAGATGGGGGACATTAGATAGGGGACATTAGATGGGGGACACTAAATGGGGACATTAGATGGGGGACATTAGATGGGGACATTAGATGGGGGACATTAGATGGGGGACATTAGATGGGGGACATTAGATGGGGGACATTAGATGGGGACATTAGATGGGGAATTTAGATGGGGGACATTAGATGGGGGACATTAGATGGGGGACATTAGATGGGGACATTAGATGGGGGACATTAGGGGGGGCATTAGATGGGGGACATTAGATGGGGGACATTAGATGGGGACATTAGATGGGGGACATTAGATGGGGGACATTAGATGGGGGACATTAGATGGGGACATTAGATGGGGGACATTAGATGGGGGACATTAGATGGGGACATTAGATGGGGGACATTAGGGGGGGACATTAGATGGGGGACATTAGATGGGGGACATTAGATAGGGGACATTAGATGGGGGACACTAAATGGGGGACATTAGATGGGGGACATTAGATGGGGACATTAGATGGGGACATTAGATGGGGACATTAGATGGGGGACATTAGATGGGGTTATTAGATGGGGGACATTAGATGGGGACATTAGATGGGGGACATTAGATGGGGGACATTAGATGGGGGACATTAGATGGGGGACATTAGATGGGGACATTAGATGGGGGACATTAGATGGGGGACATAAGATGGGGGACATTAGATGGGGGACATTAGATGGGGGACATTAGATGGGGGACATTAGATGGGGGACATTGGGGAGGGGGCATTAGATGGGGGACATTAGGTGAGGAATTAGATGGGGGACATTAGGATGGGGCATTAGATGGGGGGACATTAGATGGGGACATTAGATGGGGGACATTAGATGGGGGACATTAGATGGGGGACATTAGATGGGGGACATTAGATGGGGGACATTAGATGGGGGACATTAGATGGGGGACATTAGATGGGGACATTAGATGGGGGACATTAGATGGGGGACATTAGATGGGGACATTAGATGGGGGACATTAGATGGGGGACATTAGATGGGGACATTAGATGGGGGACATTAGATGGGGGACATTAGATGGGGACATTAGATGGGGGACATTAGATGGGGGACATTAGATGGGGGACATTAGATGGGGGACATTAGATGGGGGGCATTAGATGGGGGACATTAGATGGGGGACATTAGATGGGGGACATTAGATGGGGGACATTAGATGGGGGACATTAGATGGGAGACATTAGATGGGGGACATTAGGGGGGGGACATCAGATGGGGGACATTAGATGGGGACATTAGATGGGGGACATTAGATGGGGGACATTAGATGGGGGACATTAGATGGGGGACATTAGATGGGGGACATTAGATGGGGACATTAGATGGGGGACATTAGGGGGGGACATTAGATGGGGGACATTAGATGGGGGACATTAGATGGGGGACATTAGATGGGAGACATTAGATGGGGGACATTAGGGGGGGACATTAGGGGGGGGGGGGACATCAGATGGGGGACATTAGATGGGGGACATTAGATGGGGGACATTAGGGGAGACATTAGATGGGGGACATTAGGGGGTGGGACATTAGGGGGGGACATCAGATGGGGGACATTAGATGGGGACATTAGATGGGGGACATTAGATGGGGGACATTAGATGGGGACATTAGATGGGGGACATTAGATGGGGGACATTAGATGGGGGACATTAGATGGACATTAGATGGGGGACATTAGATGGGGGACATTAGATGGGGGACATTAGATGGGAGACATTAGATGGGGGACATTAGGGGGGGACATCAGATGGGGGACATTAGATGGGGACATTAGATGGGGGACATTAGATGGGGACATTAGATGGGGGACATTAGATGGGGGACATTAGATGGGGGACATTAGATGGGGACATTAGATGGGGACATTAGATGGGGGACATTAGATAGGGGACATTAGATGGGGGACACAAAATGGGGACATTAGATGGGGACATTAGATGGGGGACATTAGATGGGAGACATCAGATGGGGGACATTAGGGGGGGGGCATCAGATGGGGGACATTAGAGGGGGGACATTATATGGGGGACATTAGGGGAGACATTAGATGGGGGACATTAGATGGGGGACATTAGATGGGGGACATTAGGGGGTGGGCATCAGATGGGGGACATTAGATGGGGGACATTAGATGGGGGACATTAGATGGGGACATTAGATGGGGGACATTAGATGGGGGACATTAGATGGGGACATTAGATGGGGGACATTAGATGGGGGACATTAGATAGGGGACATTAGATGGGGGACATTAGGGGGTGGGCATCAGATGGGGGACATTAGATGGGGACATTAGATGGGGGACATTAGATGGGGGACATTAGATGGGGGACATTAGATGGGGGACATTAGATGGGGGACATTAGATGGGGGACATTAGATGGGGGACATTAGATGGGGGACATTAGATGGGGGACATTAGATGGGGGACATTAGATGGGGACATTAGATGGGGGACATTAGATGGGGGACATTAGATGGGGACATTAGATGGGGGACATTAGATGGGGGACATTAGATGGGGGACATTAGATGGGGGACATTAGATGGGGGACATTAGATGGGGGACATTAGATGGGGGACATTAGATGGGGGACATTAGATGGGGGACATTAGATGGGGGACATTAGATGGGGGACATTAGATGGGAGACATTAGATGGGGGACATTAGGGGGGGACATCAGATGGGGGACATTAGATGGGGACATTAGATGGGGGACATTAGATGGGGGACATTAGATGGGGGACATTAGATGGGGGACATTAGATGGGGACATTAGATGGGGGACATTAGGGGGGGACATTAGATGGGGGACATTAGATGGGGGACATTAGATGGGGGACATTAGATGGGGGACATTAGATGGGAGACATTAGATGGGGGACATTAGGGGGGGACATTAGGGGGGGGGACATCAGATGGGGGACATTAGATGGGGGACATTAGATGGGGGACATTAGATGGACATTAGATGGGGGACATTAGATGGGGGACATTAGATGGGGGACATTAGATGGGAGACATTAGATGGGGGACATTAGGGGGGGACATCAGATGGGGGACATTAGATGGGGACATTAGATGGGGGACATTAGATGGGGACATTAGATGGGGGACATTAGATGGGGGACATTAGATGGGGGACATTAGATGGGGGACATTAGATGGGGACATTAGATGGGGGACATTAGATAGGGGACATTAGATAGGGGACATTAGATGGGGGACACAAAATGGGGACATTAGATGGGGACATTAGATGGGGGACATTAGATGGGAGACATCAGATGGGGGACATTAGGGGGGGACATCAGATGGGGGACATTAGAGGGGGGACATTATATGGGGGACATTAGGGGAGACATTAGATGGGGGACATTAGATGGGGGACATTAGATGGGGGACATTAGGGGGTGGGCATCAGATGGGGGACATTAGATGGGGGACATTAGATGGGGGACATTAGATGGGGACATTAGATGGGGGACATTAGATGGGGGACATTAGATGGGGGACATTAGATGGGGACATTAGATGGGGGACATTAGATGGGGGACATTAGATAGGGGACATTAGATGGGGGACATTAGGGGGTGGGCATCAGATGGGGGACATTAGATGGGGGACATTAGATGGGGGACATTAGATGGGGGACATTAGATGGGGGACATTAGGGGGTGGGCATCAGATGGGGGACATTAGATGGGGGACATTAGATGGGGACATTAGATGGGGGACATTAGATGGGGGACATTAGATGGGGGACATTGGGGGGGGGACATTAAATTGGGGGGGGGACATTAGATGGGGGACATTAGATGGGGGGGCATTAGATGGGGGACATTAGATGGGGGACATTAGATGGGGGACATTAGATGGGGGACATTAGATGGGGGACATTGGGGGGGACATTAAATTGTGGGTGGGGACATTAGATGGGGGACATTAGATGGGGGACATTGGGGAGGGGGCATTAGATGGGGGACATTAGGTGAGGAATTAGATGGGGGACATTAGGATGGGGCATTAGATGGGGGACATTAGATGGGGGACATTAGATGGGGGACATTAGATGGGGGACATTAGATGGGAGACATTAGATGGGGGACATTAGGGGGGGACATTAGGGGGGGGGGACATCAGATGGGGGACATTAGATGGGGGACATTAGATGGGGGACATTAGGGGAGACATTAGATGGGGGACATTCGGGGGTGGGACATTAGGGGGGGACATCAGATGGGGGACATTAGATGGGGGACATTAGATGGGGGACATTAGATGGGGGACATTAGATGGGGACATTAGATGGGGGACATTAGATGGGGGACATTAGATGGGGGACATTAGATGGGGGACATTGGGGGGGGGACATTAGACGGGGGACATTAGACGGGGGACATTAGATGGGGGACATTAGATGGGGGACATTAGATGGGGGACATTAGATGGGGACATTAGATGGGGGACATTAGATGGGGGACATTAGATGGGGGACATTAGGGGGTGGGACATTAGGGGGGGACATCAGATGGGGGACATTAGATGGGGGACATTAGATGGGGGACATTAGATGGGGGACATTAGATGGGGGACATTAGATGGGGGACATTAGATGGGGGACATTGGGGGGGGCAATAAATTGGGGGGGGGGGGACATTAGATGGGGGACATTAGATGGGGGGCATTAAATGGGGGACATTAGATGGGGGACATTAGATGGGGGACATTGGGGGGGGGGACATTAAATTGGGGGTGGGGACATTAGATGGGGGACATTAGATGGGGGACATTAGATGGGGGACATTAGATGGGGGACATTGGGGGGGGCACATTAGATGGGGGACATTTGATGGGGGAAATTAGATGGGGGGGCATTAGATGGGGGAAATTAGATGGGGGGGGACATTAGATGGGGGACATTAGGTGGGGGACATTAAATTGGGGGGGGGCATTAGATGGGGGACATTAAATTTGGGGGGGGGGGGGGCATTAGATGGGGGACATAAGATGGGGGACATTAGATGGTGACATTAGGGGGGGGGCATTAGATGGGGGATATAGATGGGGGACATTAGATGAGGGACATTAGAGACACAGTCAGTTGTGTGGGGGGGGGGGGCAGACAATAGTGACACAGTTGTAGTTGAGGGAGATTAGGGTCAAATATGGTGGGGTGTTAGGGACAGATGTGTTGATTGTTTAAGTCCACACCTTGTTTTCTCTTAGGGCATCTTTCTGTTCCAGCCGTGAGCTCTGGATCTCCTCCTCTAAAGGTTTCTTCCTCAACCCTCTGTTGCTGCGTGTTTTCATTTCAAACTCCTCCTCATTTATGTCCATCTGCCCACTCTGCTGGCTCTTGACCAGCTGGACCAGGTTGCTGACCCCTTGCTGGATCATCAGGTCCAGCTCACACTGCAGCTCTCTCACCAGGCCAGCATCAGGGAACATGTCTGGGAACCTGTAGCTGAAACACAAGGGGAACATGTCTGGGAACCTGTAGCTGAAACACAAAGGGAACATGTCTGGGAACCTGTAGCTGAAACACAAAGGGAACATGTCTGGGAACCTGTAGCTGAAACACAAGGGGAACATGTCTGGGAACCTGTAGCTGAAACACAAGGGGAACATGTCTGGGAACCTGTAGCTGAAACACAAGGGGAACATGTCTGGGAACCTGTAGCTGAAACACAAAGGGAACATGTCTGGGAACCTGTAGCTGAAACAAAAAAAACTACCTGCTGCAAGGACACATCTCACTGACCCCAGTGACCCCAGCAACTAACCCCAGTGACCAGCTCTAGGAGATTGCTTACCTGAGCCACAAGTACAAGTCCAGGACATCAAAGACACACTCGAGGTGGACCAGCTCTAGGAGATTGCTTACCTGAGCCACAAGTACAAGTCCAGGACATCAAAGACACACTCGAGGTGGACCAGCTCTAGGAGATTGCTTACCTGAGCCACAAGTACAAGTCCAGGACATCAAAGACACACTCGAGGTGGACCAGCTCTAGGAGATTGCTTACCTGAGCCACAAGTACAAGTCCAGGACATCAAAGACACACTCGAGGTGGACCAGCTCTAGGAGATTGCTTACCTGAGCCACAAGTACAAGTCCAGGACATCAAAGACACACTCGAGGTGGACCAGCTCTAGGAGATTGCTTACCTGAGCCACAAGTACAAGTCCAGGACATCAAAGACACACTCGAGGTGGACCAGCTCTAGGAGATTGCTTACCTGAGCCACAAGTACAAGTCCAGGACATCAAAGACACACTCGAGGTGGACCAGCTCTAGGAGATTGCTTACCTGAGCCACAAGTACAAGTCCAGGACATCAAAGACACACTCGAGGTGGACCAGCTCTAGGAGATTGCTTACCTGAGCCACAAGTACAAGTCCAGGACATCAAAGACACACTCGAGGTGGACCAGCTCTAGGAGATTGCTTACCTGAGCCACAAGTACAAGTCCAGGACATCAAAGACACACTCGAGGTGGACCAGCTCTAGGAGATTGCTTACCTGAGCCACAAGTACAAGTCCAGGACATCAAAGACACACTCGAGGTGGACCAGCTCTAGGAGATTGCTTACCTGAGCCACAAGTACAAGTCCAGGACATCAAAGACACACTCGAGGTGGACCAGCTCTAGGAGATTGCTTACCTGAGCCACAAGTACAAGTCCAGGACATCAAAGACACACTCGAGGTGGACCAGCTCTAGGAGATTGCTTACCTGAGCCACAAGTACAAGTCCAGGACATCAAAGACACACTCGAGGTGGACCAGCTCTAGGAGATTGCTTACCTGAGCCACAAGTACAAGTCCAGGACATCAAAGACACACTCGAGGTGGACCAGCTCTAGGAGATTGCTTACCTGAGCCACAAGTACAAGTCCAGGACATCAAAGACACACTCGAGGTGGACCAGCTCTAGGAGATTGCTTACCTGAGCCACAAGTACAAGTCCAGGACATCAAAGACACACTCGAGGTGGACCAGCTCTAGGAGATTGCTTACCTGAGCCACAAGTACAAGTCCAGGACATCAAAGACACACTCGAGGTGGACCAGCTCTAGGAGATTGCTTACCTGAGCCACAAGTACAAGTCCAGGACATCAAAGACACACTCGAGGTGGACCAGCTCTAGGAGATTGCTTACCTGAGCCACAAGTACAAGTCCAGGACATCAAAGACACACTCGAGGTGGACCAGCTCTAGGAGATTGCTTACCTGAGCCACAAGTACAAGTCCAGGACATCAAAGACACACTCGAGGTGGACCAGCTCTAGGAGATTGCTTACCTGAGCCACAAGTACAAGTCCAGGACATCAAAGACACACTCAAGGTGGACCAGCTTTAGGAGATTGCTTACCTGAGCCACAAGTACAAGTCCAGGACATCAAAGACACACTCGAGGTGGACCAGCTCTGTCAAGTTGCCTGCAGCTCTCAGGGGCCAGCCCAGTCTCTGACACAGCCAGTCCAGGGTCAGGGGCTCGTTCCTGCTGAACCTTCTGGCAAACTGAAACATACAGACAGGTGTGTCCACAGATGCAGGTGTGTCCACAGCTACAGGTGTGTTCACAGCTACAGGTGTGTCCACAGCTACAGGTGTGTCCACAGCTACAGGTGTGTCCACAGCTACAGGTGTGCCCACAGCTGCAGGTGTATCCACAACTGCAGGTGTCCACAGATGCAGGTGTGTTCACAGCTACAGGTGTATCCACAGCTACAGGTGTGTCCACAGATGCAGGTGTGTCCACAACTACAGGTGTGTCCACAGCTACAGGTGTGTCCACAGCTACAGGTGTGTCCACAGCTACAGGTGTGCCCACAGCTGCAGGTGTATCCACAACTGCAGGTGTCCACAGATGCAGGTGTGTCCACAGCTACAGGTGTATCCACAGCTACAGGTGTGTCCACAGCTACAGGTGTGTCCACAACTGCGGGTGTGTCAACAGCTACAGGTGTGTCCACAGCTACAGGTGTATCCACAGCTACAGGTGTGTCCACAGCTACAGGTGTGTCCACAACTGCGGGTGTGTCAACAGCTACAGGTGTGTCCACAGCTGCAGGTGTGTCCACAACTGCGGGTGTTCAAAGTTTGCCTAAGACTCACCTGTAAAAACATGGTGCAAGAAAAAGGCTGCTTGACTGAGATGGGGGCGCAGCAAAAGACATAGCGCACCCTGAGAGGGAGGGGCACGTGTTGAATCATGTCGGCCAGGAACTTGAAGTCATCCATCTTACACATAAAGAACATGTTCTTGTCTAGGGCACAGCTCAGCTCAAATATCTCCTGATAGAGAGAGATTCAAAGTCTCTTATGTTTGTCTTGTATTTGTATGTATGACTACACCTTTCATCCTATTGTCATGACTACACCTTTCATCCTATCCTCATGACTACACCTTTCATCCTATCGCCTTGAAACTTTTGGAAGTTGTTAAGAATACTCCATGGCACCTACGTTTGCTTTAAAGAGCAGCCTACAATATTGACACGGTGGCACATGACATTCGATGATTAAACCAGGCCCCCTGCTGTAGTGTAACAGGGGGAAAACCAATCCCTTTAGACAGGTTTATTTTAACGGCCTGCTGGGAAATGTGGGGAAACACAAATCTTCAGTCACAGAACATATAGTATCAGCTTTCGTTCTGCTTGGTGATAGGGGTTAAGTTCAGGGTTAAGGTTAGGGTTAAGGTCAGGGTAAAGTTCAGGGTTAGAGTTCAGGGTTAGAGTTCAGGGTTAAGATAAGGGTTAAGTTCAGGGTTAAGGTTAGAGTTCAGGGTTAAGGTCAGGGTTAAGGTCAGGGTTAAGGTTAGAGGTCAGGGTTAAGGTCAGGGTTAAGTTCAGGGTTAAGGTCAGGGTAAAGTTCAGGGATAAGTTCAGGGTTAAGGTCAGGGTAGGGTAGAGTTCAGGTTTAGAGTTCAGGTTTAGAGTTCAGGGTTAGAGTTCAGGGTAAAGTTCAGGGTTAGAGTTCAGGGTTAGAGTTCAGGGTTAAGTTTGGGGTTAAGGTCAGGGTTAGAGTTCAGGGTTAAGTTCAGGGTTAAGGTCAGGGTTAGAGTTCAGGGTTAAGTTCAGGGTTAAGGTCAGGGTAAAGTTCAGGTTTAGAGTTCAGGGTTAGAGTTCAGGGTTAGAGTTCAGGGTAAAGTTCAGGGTTAGAGTTCAGGGTTAAGTTTGGGGTTAAGGTCAGGGTTAAGAGTGTAACAAGTAAGTGAGTTAAATTGACAGAAGAGCTTAAGATTAACAGTTGAACCAAGTGAAGCTCCTCCACCCTTCACTGGACCTACACCTCCACCCCACACCTCCGCCCTACACCTCCACCAGCATATTCCATAAGCTCCTGTCAGTTTATTTTAAAAGTAATTACACTTTATAAAAATGTTTTTTTTTCTTTGCATTATCCTCATTATGTCATTAAACAATGCATATTTGTCATGCATAAGTACACTTTTCATATACAAACAAATAGGTGTCAAATGAAGCAAATTGTATATATACATAGGTGTCAACTGAAACAGGGGTGCCATTTTGGAGGCTGAATTATTGGCATTGCAATTAATTTCAATGGAGAATGTATGTATGTGATTATCTGTGTATGAGTGAATGGGGTGAGTGTTGTGTGAGTGTATGTGTGTGTGTGTATGAGTGTATGAGTGTGCATATAAGTGTGTGTGTTTGGGTGTAGTTGTTATGAACACAGAGGGTGCATTCTATAGGCTGGAAATGGAGGGCACATTGAGCTATGAACAAACATACACATCTACAATAACATAAATATTTAGTATATGGCTGAATCAAAGCCACACTGATTATATATATATATATATATATATATATATATATATATATATATATATATATATATATATATATATATATATATATATATATATATATATATATAAAGAGAGAGCGATGCAGTGTGTCTAAGGGTTAGAGTTTAAGCTGACACTTACAATGAGGTTGGAGAGTGTTGCCTTGGGCAGGTGATAGGCAAACAGTTCAATCTGGTCAGCTGTAGGGTGCAAACCACCTTGCTGAAACACACACAAACCATCTGTGACAAAACTTAAGCTTATTTATCTAGTATAGCATCAAACCACCTTGCTGAAACACACACAAACCATCTGTGGCAAAACTTAAGCTTATTTATCTAGTATAGCATCAAACCACCTTGCTGAAACACACACAAACCATCTGTGACAAAACTTAAGCTTATTTATCTAGTATAGCATCAAACCACCTTGCTGAAACACACACAAACCATCTGTGACAAAACTTAAGCTTATTTATCTAGTATAGCATCAAACCACCTTGCTGAAACACACACAAACCATCTGTGGCAAAACTTAAGCTTATTTATCTAGTATAGCATCAAACCACCTTGCTGAAACACACACAAACCATCTGTGACATTGGCAAAACTTAAGCTCATTCATCTAGTATAGCATCAAACCACCTTGCTGAAACACACACAAACCATCTGTGACAAAACTTAAGCTCATTTATCTAGTATAGCATCAAACCACCTTGCTGAAACACACACAAACCATCTGTGACAAAACTTAAGCTCATTTATCTAGTATAGCATCAAACCACCTTGCTGAAACACACACAAACCATCTGTGACATTGGCAAAACTTAAGCTCATTCATCTAGTATAGCATCAAACCACCTTGCTGAAACACACACAAACCATCTGTGACATTGGCAAAACTTAAGCTCATTTATCTAGTATAGCATCAAACCACCTTGCTGAAACACACACAAACCATCTGTGACAAAACTTAAGCTCATTTATCTAGTATAGCATCAAACCACCTTGCTGAAACACACACAAACCATCTGTGCCATTGGCAAAACTTAAGCTCATTTATCTAGTATAGCATCAAACCACCTTGCTGAAACACACACAAACCATCTGTGACAAAACTTAAGCTCATTTATCTAGTATAGCATCAAACCACCTTGCTGAAACACACACAAACCATCTGTGACAAAACTTAAGCTCATTTATCTAGTATAGCATCAAACCACCTTGCTGAAACACAAACCATCTGTGACATTGGCAAAACTTAAGCTCATTTATCTAGTAGAAAAGTTTTTAAAATTATTTTTTGTCAGCAACAAGCAATCTAGCTTTATTCCCATTGGCTAAATGTATGATGCAAGCTTTACCGTGATTGGCTGAATGTATGATGCAAGCTTTACCATGATTGGCTGAATGTATGATGCAAGCTTTACCATGATTGGCTCAATGTATGATGTAAGCTTTACCGTGATTGGCTGAATGTATGATGTAAGCTTTACCGTGATTGGCTCAATATGCTGCTGAATGATGTCCTTTAAAATGTTCAAGTCTTTGGCATAGAAAGTGGTGACCTCCCCATGCTGATAGGCCGTGTTAAACCGGCCAGCCCGGCCAGCAATCTGCAGGGCCTGGGAGGTGGAGATGAGGTCCATCTCTCTCTCACCCTTCTCATTCAACATTGGCTTCATCACAGAGTAGAACACAACCCTCTTGATGGCACTGGAACACAAGGCACACACTGACACAGTTGTACTAGACATTGACACAGTTGTACTAAACACTGGCACAATGTACTAAACATTGACACAGTTGTACTAAACACTGGCACAATGTACTAAACATTGACACAGTTGTACTAAACACTGACACAGTTGTACTAAACACTGGCACAATGTACTAAACATTGACACAGTTGTACTAAACATTGACACAGTTGTACTAAACATTGACACAGTTGTACTAGACATTGACACAGTTGTACTAAACACTGACACAGTTGTACTAAACATTGACACAGTTGTACTAAACATTGACACAGTTGTATTAAACATTGACACAGTTGTACTAGACATTGACACAGTTGTACTAGATATTGACACAGCTGTACTAGACCTTGACACATGGATGACCACCTGTAGACAACTTACAGATTAAGGCCCATGCCTATAGCATCAGTTGCGACCATGACCTTACAGCTGGAGCTGACATCATTAAACTTGGAGGACTGGGCCAGCTTGGTGGCTGAAACATGGTCAGAGTGGGACTTACATCAGGGAACCCATTTACATCAAGGTAGGGAACCTACTACATCAAGGTAGGGAACCCACTTACATCAGGGAACCCACTTACATCAAGGTAAGGAACCCACTTACATCAAGGTAAGGAACCCACTTACATCAAGGTAGGGAACCCACTTACATCAAGGTAAGGAACCCACTTACATCAAGGTAGGGAACCCACTTACATCAGGGAACCCACTTACATCAAGGTAAGGAACCCACTTACATCAGGGAACCCACTTACATCAAGGTAAGGAACCCACTTACATGGAGGTAGTGAACCCACTTACATGGAGGTAGTGAACCCACTTACATGGAGGTAGTGAACCCACTTACATCAAGGTAGGGAACCCACTTACATGGAGGTAGTGAACCCACTTACATGGAGGTAGTGAACCCACTTACATGGAGGTAGTGAACCCACTTACTTGGAGGTAGTGAACCCACTTACATGGAGGTAGTGAACCCACTTACATGGAGGTAGTGAACCTACTTACTTGGAGGTAGTAAACCCACTTACATGGAGGTAGTGAACACACTGACATGGAGGTAGTGAACCCATTACATGGAGGTAGTGAACCACTTACATGGAGGTAGTGAACCCACTTACATGGAGGTAGTGAACCACTTACATGGAGGTAGTGAACCCACTTACATGGAGGTAGTGAACCCACTTACATGGAGGTAGTGAACCACTTACATGGAGGTAGTGAACCCACTTACTTGGAGGTAGTGAACCACTTACTTGGAGGTAGTGAACCACTTACTTGGAGGTAGTGAACCATATATGACAGCACACTCCTTGCCCAGCTGCTCCAACTGTCTGGTGACGTAGTAGATATCATTCTTAGAGAAGCAAACGATACAGTCACCAGCCCGCACATTCTCAAATTTTCCTGACATAAAAATCTCAAATAAACCAAAGGTACTTACAGTAAGTTACTGTAGGGAGTAGCAAATAAAATTACTGTTGGTAAGTTGATGTAAGGGGTAGCTGGTAAGTTGACGTAAGGGGTAGCTGGTAAGTTGATGTAAGGGGTAGCTGGTAAGTTGAAGTAAGGGGTAGCTGGTAAGTTGATGTAAGGGGTAGCTGGTAAGTTGATGTAAAGTTGATGTAAGAGGTAGCTGGTAAGTTTATGTAAAGGGTAGCTGGTAAGTTGATGTATGTGGGTAGCTGGTAAGTTGATATAAAGTTGATGTAAGGCGTAGCTGGTAAGTTGATGTAAAGTTGATGTAAGAGGTAGCTGGTAAGTTGATGTAAGGGGTAGCTGGTAAGTTGATGTATGGGGTAGCTGGTAAGTTGATGTATGAGGTAGCTGGTAAGTTGATGCATGGGGTAGCTGGTAAGTTGATATAAAGTTGATGTAAGGCGTAGCTGGTAAGTTGATGTAAAGTCAATGTAAGGGGTAGCTGGTAAGTTGATGTAAAGTTGATGTAAGTGGTAGCTATTAAGTTGATTAAAGTTGATGTAAGGGGTAGCTGGTAAGTTGATGTAAGGGGTAGCTGGTAAGTTGATGTATGGGGTAGCTGGTAAGTTGATGTAAAGTTGATGTAAGGGGTAGCTATTAAGTTGATGTAAGGGGTAGCTGGTAAGTTGATGTAAAGTTGATGTAAGGGGTAGCTGGTAAGTTGATTTAAAGTTGATGCAAGGGGTAGCTGGTAAGTTGATGTAATGTTAATGTAAGGGGTAGCTGGTAAGTTGGTGTAAAGTTGATGTAACAGGTAGCTAGTAAGTTGGTGTAAAGTTGATGTAAGGGGTAGCTGGTAAGTTGATGTAAAGTTCATGTAAGGGGTAGCTGGTAAGTTGATGTAAAGTTGATGTAGGGGGTAGCTATTAAGTTGATGTAAGGGGTAGCTGGTAAGTTGATGTAAAGTTGATGTAAGGGGTAGCTGGTAAGTTGGTGTAAAGTTGATGTAAGGGGTAGCTGGTAAGTTGATGTAAGGGGTAGATGGTAAGTTGGTGTAAAGTTGATGTAAGGGTAGCTGGTAAGTTGATGTAAGGGGTAGATGGTAAGTTGGTGTAAAGTTGATGTAAGGGTAGCTGGTAAGTTGATGTAAGGGGTAGATGGTAAGTTGGTGTAAAGTTGATGTAAGGGGTAGCTGGTAAGTTGATGTAAGGGGTAAATGGTAAGTTGGTGTAAAGTTGATGTAAGGGTAGCTGGTAAGTTGATGTAAGGGGTAGATGGTAAGTTGGTGTAAAGTTGATGTAAGGGTAGCTGGTAAGTTGATGTAAGGGGTAGCTGGTAAGTTGGTGTAAAGTTGATGTAAGGGGTAGCTGGTAAGTTGATGTAAGGGGTAGATGGTAAGTTGGTGTAAAGTTGATGTAAGGGGTAGCTGGTAAGTTGGTGTAAGGGGTTGCTGGTAAGTTGATGTAAGGGGTAGCTGGTAAGTTGATGTAAGGGGTAGCTGGTAAGTTGATGTAAGGGATAGCTGGTAAGTTGATGTAAGGGGAAGATGGTAAGTTGGTGTAAAGTTGATGTAAGGGGTAGCTGGTAAGTTGATGTAAGGGGTAGATGGTAAGTTGGTGTAAAGTTGATGTAAGGGTAGCTGGTAAGTTGATGTAAGGGGTAGATGGTAAGTTGGTGTAAAGTTGATGTAAGGGGTAGCTGGTAAGTTGATGTAAGGGGTAAATGGTAAGTTGGTGTAAAGTTGATGTAAGGGTAGCTGGTAAGTTGATGTAAGGGGTAGATGGTAAGTTGGTGTAAAGTTGATGTAAGGGTAGCTGGTAAGTTGATGTAAGGGGTAGCTGGTAAGTTGGTGTAAAGTTGATGTAAGGGGTAGCTGGTAAGTTGATGTAAGGGGTAGATGGTAAGTTGGTGTAAAGTTGATGTAAGGGGTAGCTGGTAAGTTGGTGTAAGGGGTTGCTGGTAAGTTGATGTAAGGGGTAGCTGGTAAGTTGATGTAAGGGGTAGCTGGTAAGTTGATGTAAGGGGTAGCTGGTAAGTTGATGTAAAGTTGATGTAAGGGTAGCTGGTAAGTTGATGTAAGGGGTAGCTGGTAAGTTGGTGTAAAGTTGATGTAAGGGGTAGCTGGTAAGTTGATGTAAGGGGTAGATGGTAAGTTGGTGTAAAGTTGATGTAAGGGGTAGCTGGTAAGTTGATGTAAAGTTGATGTAAGGGGTAGCTGGTAAGTTGATGTAAGGGGTAGCTGGTAAGTTGATGTAAAGTTGATGTAAGTTGATGTACTCACCTACAGGGTAGTCTAAGAATGTCAGGTTGGTTAACCTCTTGTACCTACACACCTGAAACATTCAAGGTTAACTCAACTGATGGAACAGCCAGCAACTGTCTTACCTGATGGAACAGCCAGCAACTGTCTCACCTGATGGAACAGCCAGCAACTGTCTCACCTGATGGAACAGCCAGCAACTGTCTCACCTGATGGAACAGCCAGCAACTGTCTCACCTGATGGAACAGCCAGCAACTGTCTCACCTGATGGAACAGCCAGCAACTGTCTCACCTGATGGAACAGCCAGCAACTGTCTCACCTGATGGAACAGCCAGCAACTGTCTCACCTGATGGAACAGCCAGCAACTGTCTCACCTGATGGAACAGCCAGCAACTGTCTCACCTGATGGAACAGCCAGCAATTGTCTCACCTGATGGAACAGCCAGCAACTGTCTCACCTGATGGAACAGCCAGCAATTGTCTCACCTGATGGAACAGCCAGCAACTGTCTCACCTGATGGAACAGCCAGCAACTGTCTCACCTGATGGAACAGCCAGCAACTGTCTCACCTGATGGAACAGCCAGCAACTGTCTCACCTGATGGAACAGCCAGCAACTGTCTCACCTGATGGAACAGCCAGCAACTGTCTCACCTGATGGAACAGCCAGCAATTGTCTCACCTGATGGAACAGCCAGCAACTGTCTCACCTGATGGAACAGCCAGCAATTGTCTCACCTGATGGAACAGCCAGCAATTGTCTCACCTGATGGAACAGCCAGCAACTGTCTCACCTGATGGAACAGCCAGCAACTGTCTCACCTGATGGAACAGCCAGCAACTGTCTCACCTGATGGAACAGCCAGCAACTGTCTCACCTGATGGAACAGCCAGCAACTGTCTCACCTGATGGAACAGCCAGCAACTGTCTCACCTGATGGAACAGCCAGCAATTGTCTCACCTGATGGAACAGCCAGCAACTGTCTCACCTGATGGAACAGCCAGCAACTGTCTCACCTGATGGAACAGCCAGCAACTGTCTCACCTGATGGAACAGCCAGCAACTGTCTCACCTGATGGAACAGCCAGCAACTGTCTCACCTGATGGAACAGCCAGCAATTGTCTCACCTGATGGAACAGCCAGCAACTGTCTCAACTGATGGAACAGCCAGCAACTGTCTCACCTGATGGAACAGCCAGCAACTGTCTCACCTGATGGAACAGCCAGCAACTGTCTCACCTGATGGAACAGCCAGCAACTGTCTCACCTGATGGAACACCCAGCAACTGTCTCACCTGATGGAACAGCCAGCAACCGTCTCACCTGATGGAACAGCCAGCAACTGTCTCACCTGATGGAACAGCCAGCAACTGTCTCACCTGATGGAACAGCCAGCAACTGTACTTACCTCTACTTCCTCTCCTGTGGTTAGCGCTATTTCCTTGATGAGGTCAATGCTGGAGGCCTCCCCACAGACATGGATTTCCTTGGCATAAAGTCCTAGTACAGCCCTAGTCCAGGCCCAGCCCCTCTGTTGGTCGCGGATCATTTGGATCTCATCAATTACTGCCACATCATCTGAGAGGGATGGGGGGGGGGGGACAGTTCAGTCATTCAAAGGATTGGGAGGCTGGAGTTTATGTACCCAACTGTAAACTGTCTAGTACAACTGAACTATTGATGGTGGTCTAGTGATGATGGTCTAGTGATGGTGGTCTAGTGATGGTGGTCTAGTGATGGTGGTCTAGTGTAGTCTAGTGATGATGGTCTAGTGATGATGGTCTAGTGATGGTGGTCTAGTGATGATGGTCTAGTGATGGTGGTCTAGTGATGGTGGTCTAGTGATAGTGGTCTAGTGATGGTGGTCTAGTGATGATGGTCTAGTGTAGTCTAGTGATGATGGTCTAGTGATGGTGGTCTAGTGGTGGTGGTCTAGTGATGATGGTCTAGTGATGGTGGTCTAGTGATGATGGTCTAGTGATGATGGTCTAGTGATAGTGGTCTAGTGATGGTGGTCTAGTGATGGTGGTCTAGTGATGATGGTCTAGTGATGGTGGTCTAGTGATGGTGGTCTAGTGATGATGGTCTAGTGATAGTGGTCTAGTGATGGTGGTCTAGTGATGGTGGTCTAGTGATGATGGTCTAGTGATGGTGGTCTAGTGATGGTGGTCTAGTGATGGTGGTCTAGTGATGGTGGTCTAGTGATGGTGGTCTAGTGATAGTGGTCTAGTGATAGTGGTCTAGTGATGGTGGTCTAGTGATGATGGTCTAGTGTAGTCTAGTGATGATGGTCTAGTGATGGTGGTCTAGTGATGATGGTCTAGTGATGGTGGTCTAGTGATGGTGGTCTAGTGATGGTGGTCTAGTGGTGGTGGTCTAGTGATGGTGGTCTAGTGATGGTGGTCTAGTGATGGTGGTCTAGTGGTGGTGGTCTAGTGATGGTGGTCTAGTGATGATGTTCTAGTGATGGTGGTCTAGTGATGGTGGTCTAGTGATGGTGGTCTAGTGATGGTGGTCTAGTGATGATGGTCTAGTGTAGTCTAGTGATGGTGGTCTAGTGATGGTGGTCTAGTGATGGTGGTCTAGTGATGGTGGTCTAGTGATGATGGTCTAGTGATGGTGGTCTAGTGATGGTGGTCTAGTGATGGTGGTCTAGTGATGGTGGTCTAGTGATGGTGGTCTAGTGATGGTGGTCTAGTGATGATGGTCTAGTGATGGTCTAGTGATGATGGTCTAGTGATGATGGTCTAGTGATGATGGTCTAGTGATGGTGGTCTAGTGATGGTCTAGTGATGATGGTCTAGTGATGGTGGTCTAGTGATGATGGTCTAGTGATGATGGTCTAGTGATGGTGGTCTAGTGATGGTGGTCTAGTGTAGTCTAGTGATGGTGGTCTAGTGATGGTGGTCTAGTGATGGTGGTCTAGTGATGGTGGTCTAGTGATGATGGTCTAGTGATGGTGGTCTAGTGATGATGGTCTAGTGATGGTGGTCTAGTGATGGTGGTCTAGTGATGATGGTCTAGTGATGATGGTCTAGTGATGGTGGTCTAGTGATAGTGGTCTAGTGATGGTGGTCTAGTGATGGTGGTCTAGTGATGATGGTCTAGTGATGGTCTAGTGATGATGGTCTAGTGATGGTGGTCTAGTGATGGTGGTCTAGTGATGTCTAGTGATGATGGTCTAGTGATGATGGTCTAGTGATGGTGGTCTAGTGATGGTGGTCTAGTGATGGTGGTCTAGTGATGGTGGTCTAGTGATGGTGGTCTAGTGATGGTGGTCTAGTGATGATGGTCTAGTGATGGTGGTCTAGTGATGGTGGTCTAGTGATGGTGGTCTAGTGATGTCTAGTGATGATGGTCTAGTGATGGTGGTCTAGTGATGGTGGTCTAGTGATGGTGGTCTAGTGATGGTGGTCTAGTGATGGTGGTCTAGTGATGGTGGTCTAGTGATGGTGGTCTAGTGATGGTGGTCTAGTGATGGTGGTCTAGTGATGGTGGTCTAGTGATGGTGGTCTAGTGATGGTGGTCTAGTGATGGTGGTCTAGTGATGGTGGTCTAGTGATGGTGGTCTAGTGATGATGGTCTAGTGATGTCTAGTGATGATGGTCTAGTGATGGTGGTCTAGTGATGGTGGTCTAGTGATGGTGGTCTAGTGATGGTGGTCTAGTGATGGTGGTCTAGTGATGGTGGTCTAGTGATGGTGGTCTAGTGATGGTGGTCTAGTGATGGTGGTCTAGTGATGGTGGTCTAGTGATGGTGGTCTAGTGATGGTGGTCTAGTGATGGTGGTCTAGTGATGATGGTCTAGTGATGGTGGTCTAGTGATGGTGGTCTAGTGATGGTGGTCTAGTGATGATGGTCTAGTGATGGTGGTCTAGTGATGGTGGTCTAGTGATGATGGTCTAGTGATGGTGGTCTAGTGATGGTGGTCTAGTGATGGTGGTCTAGTGATGGTGGTCTAGTGATGGTAGTCTAGTGATGATGGTCTAGTGATGGTGGTCTAGTGATGGTGGTCTAGTGATGGTGGTCTAGTGATGGTGGTCTAGTGATGGTGGTCTAGTGATGATGGTCTAGTGATGATGGTCTAGTGATGGTGGTCTAGTGATGGTGGTCTAGTGATGATGGTCTAGTGATGGTGGTCTAGTGATGGTGGTCTAGTGATGATGGTCTAGTGATGATGGTCTAGTGATGATGGTCTAGTGATGGTGGTCTAGTGATGGTCTAGTGATGGTGGTCTAGTGTAGTCTGGTGATGATGTTCTAGTGATGGTGGTCTAGTGATGGTGGTCTAGTGATGGTGGTCTAGTGATGATGGTCTAGTGATGGTGGTCTAGTGATGGTGGTCTAGTGATGGTGGTCTAGTGATAGTGGTCTAGTGATAGTGGTCTAGTGATGGTGGTCTAGTGATGGTGGTCTAGTGATGATGGTCTAGTGATGGTGGTCTAGTGATGATGTTCTAGTGATGGTGGTCTAGTGATGGTGGTCTAGTGATGGTGGTCTAGTGATGGTGGTCTAGTGATGATGGTCTAGTGATGGTGGTCTAGTGATGGTGGTCTAGTGATGGTGGTCTAGTGATGGTGGTCTAGTGATGGTGGTCTAGTGATGGTGGTCTAGTGATGATGGTCTAGTGATGATGGTCTAGTGATGGTGGTCTAGTGATGGTGGTCTAGTGATGGTGGTCTAGTGATGGTGGTCTAGTGATGGTGGTCTAGTGATGGTGGTCTAGTGATGGTGGTCTAGTGATGGTGGTCTAGTGATGGTGGTCTAGTGATGGTGGTCTAGTGATGGTAGTCTAGTGATGGTGGTCTAGTGTAGTCTAGTGATGATGGTCTAGTGATGATGGTCTAGTGATGGTGGTCTAGTGATGGTGGTCTAGTGATGGTGGTCTAGTGATGGTGGTCTAGTGATGGTGGTCTAGTGATGGTGGTCTAGTGATGATGGTCTGGTGATGGTCTAGTGATGATGGTCTAGTGATGATGGTCTAGTGATGATGGTCTAGTGATGATGGTCTAGTGTAGTCTAGTGATGGTGGTCTAGTGATGGTCTAGTGATGGTGGTCTGGTGTGAAATGTTGACCTACACTGTGTGGTCAAGCTGGCCATCTCTACAGTACATGCAACATGGGCGGATGGTGTTTCATCTGAGCTGGCAAATCTTCTCTCCTCTCCAGTCACCAGGTCACAGGGTGTACCCTAGGCAGTGGACACATTTCATACAAGTTCTCTGACAAAATGGGGAACATTTCATACAAGTTCTCTGACAACATGGGACACATTTCATACAAAATCTGTGACAACATGGGACACATTTCATACAAGTTCTCTGACAACATGGGACACATTTCATACAAGTTCTCTGACAACATGGGACACATTTCATACAAAATCTGTGACAACATGGGACACATTTCATACAAGTTCTCTGACAACATGGGACACATTTCATACAAGTTCTCTGACAACATGGGGCACATTTCATACAAGTTCTCTGACAACATGGGGCACATTTCATACAAGTTCTCTGACAACATGGGGCACATTTCATACAAGTTCTGTGACAACATGGGGCACATTTCATACAAGTTCTGTGACAACATGGGGCACATTTCATACAAGTTCTGTGACATGGGGCACATTTCATACAAGTTCTCTGACAACATGGGGCACATTTCATACAAAATCTGTGACAACATGGGACACATTTCATACAAGTTCTGTGACAACATGGGGCACATATCATACAAGTTCTCTGACAACATGGGACACATTTCATACAAGTTCTCTGACAACATGGGACACATTTCATACAAGTTCTGTGACAACATGGGGCACATATCATACAAGTTCTCTGACAACATGGGACACATTTCATACAAGTTCTCTGACAACATGGGACACATTTCATACAAGTTCTGTGACAACATGGGGCACATTTCATACAAGTTCTGTGACAACATGGGACACATTTCATACAAGTTCTGTGACAACATGGGGCACATTTCATACAAGTTCTGTGACAACATGGGGCACATTTCATACAAGTTCTCTGACAACATGGGGCACATTTCATACAAGTTCTGTGACAACATGGGACACATTTCATACAAGTTCTGTGACAACATGGGGCACATTTCATACAAGTTCTGTGACAACATGGGGCACATTTCATACAAGTTCTGTGACAACATGGGACACATTTCATACAAGTTCTGTGACAACATGGGGCACATTTCATACAAGTTCTGTGACAACATGGGGCACATTTCATACAAGTTCTGTGACATGGGGCACATTTCATACAAGTTCTGTGACATGAATGAGAGCTAAGGTCACTACTAACCGCCTGGTTACACTTGTGGTAGACCTCTGAGGCCAAGAGCTTTAGGGGTCCGCAGTAAATCCCTGACTCCGCCTTGATCAGCTTCTCCAGGGCATGGAAAGTTTTACCACTGTTTGTGGGGCCAGCATGGAAAATAAATTTTCTTTGGATTGATCTCGCTTCTGGGTACCTGGGTGGTAGAAAAAATATTTCTTTTATTAGCCTGCGTGGAATGCTTTGGCAAAGTATCGGTAAAAATATAATAACAACGGGGGGAGGAACTCGGATAAACTGTTACTCTAGCTGGGGTGGGGGACTTATCTATATAGACCTAGTATATAGGTGGTGGGCGAGATAGCATCACTTAGGCTGGGTGCCAAACCTGGTATCACCATTTTGGGTGATCGTCAAATTTCAGATGTGATCTCATTATTAAAATATTTCTGGATATAAAAATCACTTGAGCTTTTTGTATACTATATAAGATATAATATTTACTAAATTCAATTACAAAAGGGGAGATAGCTAGACCAGTCTAGTGAGATGTGGTTCACACCAAATGTTTACAATTGTTGAGCCGGTTTGTGTTAGTGTAGGCTATTAGAAGCGGCTAATATAGTTTTTAAATGAATTGAAAATAAGGGGAGGTAGTAAGATTAAGAACTACCCTTGGCTGGAACAGTTTGCTGTTGTCTGAAAATTGTGGTCACTGGGCTGAGGGTCAGCTACTGATGGTGTTTTAAAGCAAATCATTTTTGTGGCATCCACTTAAGAACAACATCACTTATTTAACTACTTGAGATGTAAATATCATTCTGCTCTGCTTCTACTTTAAGGTGAATCTTTAACTTTTTTAGAAATCTAGTCTGTCAACTGAATAGTTAGCTAGAATGGAGATTGGGTAACAAAGAACTTACTAGAAAAGCTAATTAGCAGAGAAATCTAACCAGATATCTGACATGAGACATTTAACCTTACCAGTTAGCTGGATATCTGACATCAGACATTTAACCTTACCAGTTGGCTGGATATCTGAATCAGACATTTAACTTTACCAGTTGGCTGGATATCTGACATCAGACATTTAACCTTACCAGTTAGCTGGATATCTGAATCAGACATTTAACCTTACCAGTTGGCTGGATATCTGAATCAGACATTTAACTTTACCAGTTGGCTGGATATCTGACATCAGACATTTAACCTTACCAGTTGGCTGGATATCTGACATGAGACATTTAACCTTACCAGTTAGCTGGATATCTGACATCAGACATTTAACCTTACCAGTTAGCTGGATATCTGACATCAGACATTTAACCTTACCAGTTAGCTGGATATCTGACATCAGACATTTAACCTTACCAGTTGGCTGGATATCTGACATCAGACATTTAACCTTACCAGTTAGCTGGATATCTGACATCAGACATTTAACCTTACCAGTTGGCTGGATATCTGACATGAGACATTTAACCTTACCAGTTAGCTGGATATCTGACATCAGACATTTAACCTTACCAGTTGGCTGGATATCTGACATGAGACATTTAACCTTACCAGTTAGCTGGATATCTGACATCAGACATTTAACCTTACCAGTTGGCTGGATATCTGACATCAGAAATTTAACCTTACCAGTTGGCTGGATATCTGACATCAGACATTTAACCTTACCAGTTGGCTGGATATCTGACATCAGACATTTAACCTTACCAGTTGGCTGGATATCTGACATGAGACATTTAACCTTACCAGTTGGCTGGATATCTGACATCAGACATTTAACCTTACCAGTTGGCTGGATATCTGACATCAGACATTTAACCTTACCAGTTGGCTGGATATCTGACATCAGACATTTAACCTTACCAGTTAGCTGGATATCTGACATCAGACATTTAACCTTACCAGTTGGCTGGATATCTGACATCAGACATTTAACCTTACCAGTTAGCTGGATATCTGACATCAGACATTTAACCTTACCAGTTGGCTGGATATCTGACATGAGACATTTAACCTTACCAGTTAGCTGGATATCTGACATCAGACATTTAACCTTACCAGTTGGCTGGATATCTGACATCAGACATTTAACCTTACCAGTTGGCTGGATATCTGACATCAGACATTTAACCTTACCAGTTGGCTGGATATCTGACATCAGACATTTAACCTTACCAGTTGGCTGGATATCTGACATCAGACATTTAACCTTACCAGTTGGCTGGATATCTGAATCAGACATTTAACTTTACCAGTTGGCTGGATATCTGACATCAGACATTTAACCTTACCAGTTGGCTGGATATCTGACATCAGACATTTAACCTTACCAGTTGGCTGGATATCTGAATCAGACATTTAACTTTACCAGTTGGCTGGATATCTGACATCAGACATTTAACCTTACCAGTTGGCTGGATATCTGACATGAGACATTTAACCTTACCAGTTAGCTGGATATCTGACATCAGACATTTAACCTTACCAGTTGGCTGGATATCTGACATGAGACATTTAACCTTACCAGTTAGCTGGATATCTGACATCAGACATTTAACCTTACCAGTTGGCTGGATATCTGACATGAGACATTTAACCTTACCAGTTAGCTGGATATCTGACATCAGACATTTAACCTTACCAGTTGGCTGGATATCTGACATCAGAAATTTAACCTTACCAGTTGGCTGGATATCTGACATCAGACATTTAACCTTACCAGTTGGCTGGATATCTGACATCAGACATTTAACCTTACCAGTTGGCTGGATATCTGACATCAGACATTTAACCTTACCAGTTGGCTGGATATCTGAATCAGACATTTAACTTTACCAGTTGGCTGGATATCTGACATCAGACATTTAACCTTACCAGTTGGCTGGATATCTGACATGAGACATTTAACCTTACCAGTTAGCTGGATATCTGACATCAGACATTTAACCTTACCAGTTAGCTGGATATCTGACATCAGACATTTAACCTTACCAGTTAGCTGGATATCGTAGGTCACTAATTTTCTTGAGGTCTTCCATAGACTCCAAGTGGGGGAACATTTCATAGCTGTGCTTGAGGAAGTAGGGGAAGATGTCATCAACATGGCCTGAGGAGACACCAGTACCTTGTTAACCCCACCACAAGCACCATCAGACACCATCACACCCAGACACCATGAGACCCACCACAGACACCATGAGACCCACAACAGACACCATGAGACCCCACTACAGACACCATGAGACCCCACTACAGACACCATGAGACCCCACTACAGACACCATGAGACCCCACTACAGACACCATGAGACCCCACTACAGACACCATGAGACCCACCACAGACACCAAGAGACCCCACTACAGACACCATGAGACCCCACTACAGACACCTTGAGACCCCATTAGGGACACCATGAGACCCCACTACAGACACCATGAGACCCACTACAGACACCATGAGACCCACTACAGACACCAAGAGACCCCACTACAGACACCATGAGACCCCACTACAGACACCATGAGACCCACCACAGACACCAAGAGACCCCATTAGGGACACCATGAGACCCACTACAGACACCATGAGACCCCACTACAGACACCAAGAGACCCCACTACAGACACCATGAGACCCCACTACAGACACCATGAGACCCACTACAGACACCATGTGACCCCATTAGGGACACCATGAGACCCCACTACAGACACCATGAGACCCCATAACAGACACCAAGAGACCCCACTACAGACACCATGAGACCCCACTACAGACACCATGTGACCCCATTAGGGACACCATGAGACCCACTACAGACACCATGAGACCCCATTAGGGACACCATGAGACCCCACTACAGACACCATGAGACCCCACTACAGACACCAAGAGACCCCACTACAGACACCATGAGACCCCACTACGGACACCATGAGACCCCATTAGGGACACCAAGAGACCCCACTACAGACACCAAGAGACCCCACTACAGACACCATGAGACCCCATTAGGGACACCATGAGACCCCACTACAGACACCATGAGACCCCACTACAGACACCATGAGACCCCACTACAGACACCATGAGACCCCATTAGGGACACCAAGAGACCCCACTACAGACACCAAGAGACCCCACTACAGACACCATGAGACCCCATTAGGGACACCATGAGACCCCACTACAGACACCATGAGACCCCACTACAGACACCATGAGACCCCACTACAGACACCATGAGACCCACTACAGACACCATCAGACCCCATTAGGGACACCATGAGACCCCACTACAGACACCAAGAGACCCCATTAGGGACACCATGAGACCCCACTACAGACACCATGAGACCCCACTACAGACACCAAGAGACCCCATTAGGGACACCATGAGACCCCACTACAGACACCATGAGACCCCATTAGGGACACCATGAGACCCCACTACAGACACCATGTGACCCCACTACAGACACCATGAGACCCCACTACAGACACCATGAGACCCCACTACAGACACCATGAGACCCCACTACAGACACCATGAGACCCCACTACAGACACCATGAGACCCCACTACAGACACCATGTGACCCCATTAGGGACACCATGAGACCCACTACAGACACCATGAGACCCCATTAGGGACACCATGAGACCCCATTAGGGACACCATGAGACCCCACTACAGACACCATGAGACCCCATTAGGGACACCATGAGACCCCACTACAGACACCATGAGACCCCACTACAGACACCAAGAGACCCCATTAGGGACACCATGAGACCCCATTAGGGACACCATGAGACCCCATTAGGGACACCATGAGACCCCACTACAGACACCATGAGACCCCACTACAGACACCAAGAGACCCCACTACAGACACCATGAGACCCCACTACGGACACCATGAGACCCCATTAGGGACACCATGAGACCCCACTACAGACACCATGAGACCCCATTAGGGACACCATGAGACCCCACTACAGACACCATGAGACCCCACTACAGACACCAAGAGACCCCACTACAGACACCATGAGACCCCACTACGGACACCATGAGACCCCATTAGGGACACCAAGAGACCCCACTACAGACACCATGAGACCCCACTACAGACACCATGTGACCCCATTAGGGACACCATGAGACCCACTACAGACACCATGAGACCCCATTAGGGACACCATGAGACCCACTACAGACACCATGAGACCCCACTACAGACACCATGAGACCCCACTACAGACACCATGTGACCCCATTAGGGACACCATGAGACCCACTACAGACACCATGAGACCCCATTAGGGACACCATGAGACCCCACTACAGACACCAAGAGACCCACTACAGACACCATGAGACCCCATTATAGGGACACCATGAGACCCCATTAGGGACACCATGAGACCCCATTAGGGACACCATGAGACACCCAGTTGTGTACCTGAACCTTGTAGAATGTCACTAAAAACAATATGAAGATCAACTGGCAGCTGTTCTGACTTGATACAAAATTCTCTAAAACTGAGGAAAGCCTTGTAGAATAAATTGTCTGAAACATTGAAAACAATCAGATTTCATTTGGGAAAAGAGTGATATGCAAAACATGAAGTAGCAATCAAGTCAAGTTGTGAGTCAAGTTGTGAGTGTGAGTCAAGTTGTGAGTGTGAGTCAAGTTGTGAGTCAAGTTGTGAGTCAAGTTGTGAGTCAAGTTGTGAGTCAAGTTGTGAGTGTGAGTCAAGTTGTGAGTGTGAGTCAAGTTGTGAGTCAAGTTGTGAGTGTGAGTCAAGTTGTGAGTCAAGTTGTGAGTCAAGTTGTGAGTCAAGTTGTGAGTCAAGTTGTGAGTCAAGTTGTGCTAGTTCTTAATGTCAGAAGTTTCATGAGCACCATGTGGTTTTGTTTACTTACTGTCCAATCCATTCATGAATGCAAGTTTTTTTACTTCCTCTCTGCTGTGAAACTGGGACAAAAGTTTGACCAGGTTTTCTAGGATACAAAACAAAAAAAAAACAAAAAAAATTCATAAAAAATGTTTTAATAACAAACTTCTATATACTAATGCACTAAAAAGTAGAAAATACTATTTAAACAACTATGTGGGTCTCTTCCTAAACATTAGTAAAGGTATCCAATAGATACTAAAGTGATCCACGCTTTTCTTTATAGTTATAAAGTTCTGGACAATAAAGTTCTGGACAATAAAGTTCTGGACAATAAAGTTCTGGACCATAAAAAATTTGGGCTCACCTTTCCTAATGGTTCCTGTAAGCTCCTCCCCTATATTGATATCATCAGCATTCTTTGTGGCAGGCTTGATTGTGATTGGTTGAATGACTGAAGAAAGCGTATCCTTGGATTTTTTAGACTTGAATCTACGGCACATATGTGTACGAACCTTTATATGAGTCAACACAGGGCAACTTTTCCTCAGCATTGATCCAATGAGTCCATTGATAAAAGATGAATGTTCAAGTCCATATGATGAAAGACGACAGGCCATTTTGTTCTATTGCAACCAGCCTAAAACACAACATAGCTACATTACACAGGCTTCATATGCTCTTTCTATTCTGATTGTAATACTTACGTTACAATTTCTATTCTGATTTAAATACTTACGTTACAATTTCTATTCTCATTGTAATACTTATGGTTACAATTTCTATTCTGATTGTAATACTTACGTTACATTACAATTTCTATTCTGATTGTCTACATAAAAATATTCTAATTGTCTAAATTACAATTTTTAGTTTTATTGTGTAAAATAATATTTTTTATTCAGATTGTGTATGTTACAATCTCTATAATAATTTTTTGGACTATTGTCCAATGTATTTTTGTCAGGAGCTATTTGGTTTATGCCAGATTGTCAGAAGTCATTATGTTGAGGCCTATTTGTAGTAATTAATGGCAGTCCTTTTTGGAAGGGATGTGTTCAGTCCATTTTGTCCCATGATCAAGCTGGCAGACTTGCCATAGGATCAGTTGTTGCTGTTCTATCTTGCTATCATAGGATCAGTTGTTGCTGTTCTATCTTGCTATCATAGGATCAGTTGTTGCTGTTCTATCTTGCTATCATAGGATCAGTTGTTGCTGTTCTATCTTGCTATCATAGGATCAGTTGTTGCTGTTCTATCTTGCTATCATGCATTTCTCTTCACCCCCTTCCACTGTTTCATGACACAAACAGCAGACCCGCCTGACTAAATAGCAGACCCACCTGACTAAATAGCAGACCCGCCTGACTAAATAGCAGACCCGCCTGACTAAATAGCAGACCCGCCTGACTAAATAGCAGACCCGCCAGACTAAATAGCAGACCCGCCTGACTAAATAGCAGACCCGCCTGACTAAATAGCAGACCCGCCTGACTAAATAGCAGACCCGTCTGACTAAATAGCAGACCCGCCTGAATTGGCTTCACAGACCCACACTGCTCCCATTACATAGGATATGTGAGAACATTGAAGCCCATATCCCACATTCTGGTAGGTGGTGCACTGTACTGTACGGGTGGACTCACTGAGTGATGTTTGAGAACATGCTTTACAAGGGAAGGGTGGGTGGGGGTAGTAGCGATATGCCTATAGAGGAAGGGAGGGGGTGGCTAGGCATATAACCCTTCTCTCCCTCTCCACAGCATATAACCCTCTCTCCCTCTCCACAGCATATAACCCTTCTCTCCCTCTATACAGCATATAACCCTTCTCTCCCTCTATACAGCATATAACCCTTCTCTCCCTCTATACAGCATATAACCCTTCTCTCCCTCTATACAGCATATAACCCTTCTCTCCCTCTCCACAGCATATAACCCTTCTCTCCCTCTCCACAGCATATAACCCTTCTCTCCCTCTCCACAGCATATAACCCTTCTCTCCCTCTCCACAGCATAAAACCCTTCTCTCCCTCTCCACAGCATATAACCCTTCTCTCCCTCTCCACAGCATATAACCCTTCTCTCCCTCTCCACAGCATATAACCCTTCTCTCCCTCTCCACAGCATATAACCCTTCTCTCCCTCTATACAGCATATAACCCTTCTCTCCCTCTATACAGCATATAACCCTTCTCTCCCTCTCCACAGCATATAACCCTCTCTCCCTCTATACAGCATATAACCCTTCTCTCCCTCTCCACAGCATATAACCCTTCTCTCCCTCTATACAGCATATAACCCTTCTCTCCCTCTCCACAGCATATCGCATTTCTTTCAAATTTATGGACAGATTTGAAAATGTAACTTTTAATGTAAGAAGGGAGAGGGTGGATCTTTATCTATTAATAATTTTTTTTTTACTGCTAAAGCATAATGTATGAAATATTTATTCAGCTTAACTTATTCATTATTGCTAATGATAATGAAGGGGTTTATTTTGGTTAAGGGAGGTTTAAAGGGAAAAATTAAGGAGGCCCAAAAAAATTGTCATTTATTTTTTATTGCGTTTCTAGCTAGGAAAATATACTATTAAATCGATCCCACGTATTTCAGAAGTATTTTAAAAACATTTTTATTTCATAATGGTGTATGACAGGAAAATAACCAAAAGCTGAAAAAATCCCTTTTTATGTCAATTTTTGTCATAGCAACAGCCATTTTGTATTGTGCGAAACCTCGACCATGTGGTATCAAATTAAAGCATTAAGCTTAAGGTACAACACTAAGCAGATATGGTATGTGGCCTCACCTAATTTAAATGAGATTGTTTACATGCTATTTTTTTTTCTTACAACTGTACTGTGACCTGATTTCATGAGTGGATTTGTCAATTATTTTTTAAGATTTTTCAATAAAACTTCACAGAAGCATATAAAAATATCTTAGAAATGAATTAAGATAACTAAAAGTTAAAAAGAAATTAGCATTATAGGCCTAGGGGTGGCGGATCATAATGATAGTGGAAAAAAAATCGAACTTTATATTTTTGTTTTTATGACAATACTAGGCATACTGCCTAGCTTCACTTAGGTTTTTAAATAAATTTGAGAATTTGAATACTTAATTATTTAGCGATGGATTAGGAAGTGCTTAAATTTAAACAGTAATGCTAACTATAGAAAAAAGAATGTTGTTTGTTGTTTAAATTCCGTTCTCAGAGAAAATATTGTTTTGAGTTTATATTTAACTCAATGCAACAAGCCCGCCAGGTGGTTGAGGCCACGACGGGGGGACGTTCTGACCGGGATTCAAAGGGATGACTCGAAATATCATCCTCATTATTTTCTACTGAAATGTTTTAATACAGTTGTTTAAAAACAGCTACATTAATGAAAATTGATAATATTTTTGTAACTTTCAAAACATAAATTCTCTTTAACCATTAATGTCCCGTAACGCCCGCTGCCGCCCGACACCGTTAATGTCCCGTAACGCCCGCTGCCGCCCGCTTAAAATACGCATAGAAAAATTAAATTTGTTTCATTAAAATTTGGCCTACAAATCCTAATTTTTAACTAAACAGGAAGTCGGATAGTTTCACCATCCTTTTCCGGTCTTATAATTTCAATGGCGCTTTTGAAAGATAAAAAATAATAGCTTCTTTCGATCTCGAAATTTTAGACTCATCTGTCCTTTTTTTAGTAGATTTAATGTTAAAAATAAAATAAAATAATGCCTCTAAACGTATCTAGGCATGTATTTTATGAATTATTTATCTTAAACATAACCAAATTGATACTTAACTGTTAAATTCGATGCTTAGTTGTTTAGACAAAAATAAATAAAGTTGACTACCGAAAATGACCTGTTTTGAATTTTCTCCGACATTTTTTATTTTTTTACTGTACTTTTACCGAATATAATATATTCTATTTAATACTGTTGGAAAGCCAGGTTTATTCCCAACATTAAGCAGTAGTTTTTATCTTAATTTTCAATTTCATTTTGACAAAAACAAATATTTTGTGAAACTATTCACTTGATCATACAGAGTTATGCTCCTTACATTGGGCCGTCATGGGTGGAGTTTTGGTAGAATGAATGGGACATTAATGGTTAAAATATGAAATAATTACTAAAATTTAGTGAGTCACCTTTTTTTTCACATTTTTACTTGTCTCGGCCGATTATTTTTATACGTAGTAACTCAGTAACGGGTAAAACTCCATTTTAGCGTATTTTATTCTCCGTTGCTTGTTTACCTCCAGTTGAGCGTATTTTATTATAACAACCGAAACACACCAAAACATTAGGAAAACACGATTTATTTTTACAAGCTTTTATTTAACTCACTTCCTCGTCATTCTGTCTGTCGTCAGTCGTCAGTCTAGATAGAAACGCAGGAGTGAAAATTCGGAAACTTCTACTTGACCGATACGATTCACAGTTGGCACGTGGGTCAAGACATGAAGACAATGCAATCTGAAACTAAATTTGACTTAATTGGATGCCTAATTAATTTTTTATTAATTAATTAAAATTTGGACCGAATCAATAGGCATGTCTATCCAACCACACCACACGCGTCATCACGTTCAATAGCTGCGCCATCAGGTTTAATAGCTGCGCCATCACGTTCAATAGACGCGCAATGGTTTTTAGTCATGTAACACTATTGTAAATAAAACATGTAAAGTACTGAAAAAAAATTCATTAAAAAACGTTTTAATAACAAGCTTTTATTACTAATGCACTAAAAAGTAGAAAATAAATTATACACAACTATTTAAATTACTATAAAGAAAAGCGTGGGTCTCTTCTCAAATATTAGTAAAGGTATCCAATAGGTACTAAAGTACTAAAGTGACCCACGCTTTTCTTTATAGTAATTTAAATAGTAGTGTATAATTTATTTTCTACTTTTTAGTGCATTAGTAATAAAAGCTTGTTATTAAAACGTTTTTTAATGAATTTTTTTTTTGTATTGTATTTTTGTTTTAACAAATGAATAAAAATAAATATTTAAAAAACACGACTTGTTTATTTGTATTGTATTTTGTATTTATTTTCACTATAGAGTTGTATGTTATTTAAATTTATAGTAAATCTACTATCCTTCCCAATATTTTGATATATGTATCAAGTATGATTTTTTGTATGAGTAAATTTCTGACTTTTAAAAAAAATTGATGTGGGGTCGTCCATAAATGACGTCACACTCATAAAGGAGAGGGGGGTCAGCAATTTTGTGACGGTGTGTGATGAGGGGGAGGGGGTGGGGGTTTCAGATGGTGTGACTTAACTTTTTTGCATTATAAAAAAGCAATGTTAGAAAAACAAGTTTTAGCCGTTATTTCGCGTTTTAGAAAACTGTTTTAATAAATTGTAATAGGAATTGATCAAAATACTCTATGTTGACAGAGTTCTGACAAGATTTTGGAAAATATATCGATGTTTTAAGAAAAATTCAACAGAAATTTTGAGAGGGGGGGGGGGGGTGTAGGCTGAGGGGGGGGGGGGTCTGACTTTTTGTGACGACGTGTAAAGGAGGGGACGGGGAGGTAAACATCGTAAAAAAAAGCGTGACGTCACAAAAAGCAAGACTCCCCCCAAAAAAAAATGACGTAGCACCATCTAACCCCCCCTCCCCTCATCACACACCGTCACAAAATTACGGACACCCCCTCCCCCTACGAGTGTGACGTCATTTATGGACGACCTCTAACATTTATTTTTATTAAATGACAACCTGAGTTGTCACACTTTCTCTAACACTCCAAGCCATCCCTCACCAAATTCCACCCCCCCCCCCCCCGGCCCACTTTCGGCAGCATTATTGTGCCTTTTAATACTTTTATTCAGTTTAGTTGAAATTGGAACACTTAATTGTACAAAGTGTGCATCTCTATTTTTATAACCAACAAACAAAGCACTTCAGTCAGTCTCTTTGTTGTTTTTTATTCATTTGTGAAAACAAAAATACAATACAAATAAATAAATCGTATTTTTCGGTTATTAAAATAAAATACGCTCAACTGGAGGTGAACGACAAGCGGAGAATAAAATACGCTAAAATGGAGTTTTACCCAGCCAGTAACGTACCTGTAGGGGGTATTTTTTTCTGACAGGTGAAGACAACCTACCCCCAAAATCTCACCATGAAAAAAATGTGTGTTTTTAAAAAAAAAATTGGGGGTACTCTCTGGTTTTTTGAAAATAAATTAGAACTCTACTGTTTCCTGTCATTTCTACCATGTTTTTTGAACAGAAGAAGATCAGCTCTGTAATGAAGTAAAATTTTCGTTTTTCTGTGGTTTTTTTTTACCAAGAAAACTTCAAGTGAAAAATAGGTAAGTTTGAACCTATTATAATTATTATTATTATATTAAAGATTGAAGCTGAAAAGTGAATAATTATACAGAAGAACCTTTTTCCTTTGTAACAGAATCATAAAATGTTCAAAAAGAAGTCAGCAATTTACCTAAATTAATTTTTTTCCTAACTCAGTAAGGCAGCTTTTTTTGGCTGCCATCTTGTTTCCGTAATAGATAATATATAGTAAAATATACACTCATTTCAAAACCTGAGTGCTTTAATAAATAGTTGAAGATTGAAGCTGAACAGTAAATAACTATACAGAAGAACCTTTTCCCCTTGTAATAGAATCATAACATGTTCAAAAAGAAGTCAGCAATTTACCTAAATTAATTTTTTTCCTAACTCAGTAAGGCAGCTTTTTTGGCTGCCATCTTGTTTCCGTAATAGATAATATATAGTAAAATATACACTCATTTCAAAACCTCAGTGCTTTAATAAATAGTAGAAGATTGAAGCTGATAAGTGAATAACTATACAGAAGAACCCTTTCCCCTTGTAATAGAATCATAAAATGTTTAAAAACATGTCAGTTATTTATTTAAATTAATTTTTTCTTTAACAGAATTCAGTTACAAATTTCTTCACATATCTAGTGAATTTGGCAAAGCGTGCTGTTCCAGACAGCCCCTGAAATGATCATGTGAAGAAGCTCGACCCCAATAGCTGCTAGCGGATCGATGAGGATGATTTTGGACAGAAGATAGTGGCTGATATGGTTCACCAGTATCTGTTGGTGGACAAAAGGCTCCTGCAATATGTCCTGTCTGTGCTGTTACAGTAGTCTACGCAGGATGTTATGGAATGGCAGATATTTGTGAGATATCCCCTTACTTGACTGGTAGCTATTCTGACCCTTCTGAGGAAATGTTAAAATGGACTCAGCTTCTGCCCACAAGATCCATGCTGAGAGGATGCTGGGATTGATGGACTTCCTGATGCGCTGAGCTCTAAACACCACTGGGTTTTCTGGATTTCAGAGTGAGGCAAAGCTGAACACAACCCTTCAGTGGCTGGAAAGGAAGTCAGAAGCAGAGCAGAAAGTCCTAGAGGGACAGCACTTGGCTGGTAAGGACTGCAATTGCTCCAGAAGGTTTATGAATAAGAAGACTGAGATTCATGTACATTCTCTAATTGTGGATCTTGCAGTAGGTGACCTCAGTTTTGATTAATGTTAGTGGTGAGTTATTCATTTTATTATTTTTTGTTGGAACACCCAGCCATTGAATTGTTTTAATCAGCTCAATAGAATGTACTGGATAGTATTGACTGTATTGTATGTAAATTAGAACCTACACATGAGGTGAGTAAGATACAATTTTTCCCCTCATTTTAAATCAAAAATGTCTTTAAATTAAAAGCTAGGCCTATTCATTAATTAGGTAGGCCTATAGCCTAGTATACTTTAATTCTTTGCATTTCAGGGTACATAATATATTTGTATTGTAATATTATAGTCAATATGTAGTTTTAAGTTTTTTAAGATAGTGCTCTCTCGGGCCTAACAATTTAAATTTTAAAAGAATTATTTTGAAATATTTTGTATTAAATTTTTATTATGCGCAAAATAATAGCAAATTATTATAGCTGTAATTAAATTTTCTGTGTTGTTTCAGGGCTGATATTATTGTAACTTTTATTTGTGATAAATTGTGATATAATATTTCCAAATACAATTTTTTTAAGATCATTTTGCTGTTTTTGTTGTTTTGCTGTATGTGTTATCTCCCTTTTACAATATTTGTGTTGTTCGCCTCATTAAAAAACAAAAAAAAATGATTTCTCAGCTTCTAATTAAGCTAGAAATACAAATGAAGTATCTATGTCATGTTTACCTTTAACACTAGGTAATTAACAGGTTTAGGCCGGTATAAAACTCACTAATTCTAATCCAATGCTACTACTAGATCGGTAATCTATCGTTTTGGGTACGTAAAATCGCCCGCGATTTGTAATGTGAAAAACAGGTGACTCCTTAAATTTTAATAATTATTTCACATTTTGAGGAGAATTTATGTTTTAAAAAATTCAAAAATGTTTCCTTGATTCATTTATGTACCTGTTTTTAAACAATTGAATTAAAACTTTTCCGTAATAAATGAAGACTAGCGATGTTTCCAACAGATGCAACCATGCTCATTTACTATAGCAGCCATCTTGTCTAAGTTTTATTTTTATAAGCTTTTAGCGCCAGATTCAGGGGGAAGTCACTCTATTTTACAAATGGCTGCTGTTTATATAGCAAATCTTGCTCTCAGACACTGCTGTTTAAAGTTAATTTCTGGCCTATATCGATATATTTAGCCATTGATTTAGGTTTATTATTCATTTATCTTTAATATTTGACACAAAAGTATGACAATATACTTCTATTAAAGCCTTGACAATGAGGTAACGTTTTCGTACATAAATAGCCGCGGGCGATTTTACGTACCCAAAACGATAGATTACCACTAGATCTAGAGTAAAGTTCCACGCGCGGTCACACATAGCGGAAAATTCCAAATTCCCGATTTTCATCGGGCGCTATTTTATAACCGTTTCACACAGAAACAAACCGAAAGCACTGTATTACTCCGCTGCCATTCTACTGTAATATGTATGAGTCATTTTGTATTCCTACGCATAGTATTTAAGATATTAATGTTTTAGTGACGTCCCTCCTTGCGATATTTTTTTTCCCTTTTTTTTTTGCCTGCGTACGCAAGAACCTGCTTGCCAACGAGCGTATTGTATACGTTTTGATCCAATTTTAATAATTGAAATAAATATTTTACACACTTAAACGTGTTGTTGATTGTATTATTAATTAATAGATTGCAAAAATAATAATTAAAAACATGTTAATTAAATTAATTAAAGACATTAAAAGTTGACCCAGTGATGACTCAAGGGACGCAACTATAATAATCATAACAAAGGGACGTAACAACCACTAAAAGACATAACGTAACATTTGCTTAGATATGCTTGTATGTAGAGACACAAACTAGATTTAGAAGAAGTAGATGATCGAAATAATTTAAAACAGCAGAAAAAAATAGAAAGTATACAGATTCTAGGCTTAGTTTGAAATATAGAGCATCTAGAACTAGGCTAGTCTAGCTCAAGTCGTTGGTTACGCAGCGATGTGAAACCACCGTAATCGACACCCAAGCTGCGGCCACCCCTATTTACCTATCAGGTTGCTTTATTAGCCTTATCTATCGTATGTAAAGTGTCCCGCATATATTGTAGAAGCTATTTATAGTTAACCTAGTTATAAAAAGCTTTGATTGGTTGGTTTTATTCATCTCATCCGGGACCTAGTGTTTTTCATAGGGGGAACTAGAACCGCCTACGACGTCATACCTCGAAACTTTAAAATTTAAAAACTCGACTTCCAGAAGGAGAAAAACAAGAATTTGACCTGGATATATTTAGAAATGGACAGGTTTACAGCAGATATCGGTAGTTTCGTATAAAACATCAAAACAAATATTGTACGAAGCGATAAACAGGCGATGATCGCACCGGTGTTTTAACCGCGCGTGGAACTTTACTACTACCTACTCTAAAACCGTACTAAAACGATACCAAAGTAGATTCTGTTATCCACCTAATCGACTATTAAAAAATCCTTCTCATGACTGTGGTGGTAGTTCTAAAATAGAATCTAGATCTAGTTTTTTTATGCAGTTGCTGAAGTGTTCTGAAATGCCAATGTTAGAGCAATTTCATCAAGCATGAATTTTTTAAGGTCGCCGCCATCTTTATTATTAATAACGTATTATTTTTAACTCGACTTTTACTAGATCTAATTATTCTAAAATCTAATCTCTAGATCTCAGAGTTGTAATACTACTAGGCCAATAGGATAACAACAACAAAAAGTTTCATTTTGCTCATTTTGTCACCCTCCTAGCTCCGCCATTCACTGCACTGTTTTTTACCACTCGGCCTAGCTACTTTTAATAATTAAATTGGGTCTTTAATTGTCTTAAAAGAAGATATATTTAGATCTATATGCAGATGTGTAGGATGTCGAACAAACGGAATTGAAAAAATAAATACGATGCGCCTACTAAAAATGTTTTGTTCTTTTTGTTTATTTTAATGTTGGCTTTTTTTTCCAAAAATTCTTACTAGATCTGAATGAAATTTTAAATTTTAAAAATCTTTAAAACCAACTTATAAATGCACCATAAACCCACAAGACCCTTGTGATAGTCATACATTCAAGGACTACAAATAAACAATAAAAATATTATGATCTACATTTTTTACAAGTTTTTAGTTAACTTGCTTCCTCTGTCTGTCGTGCTTTTGTATGTCGTCCGTCATGGGTCGAAACTGCCGAGCAAAATTTCCATCACTCGTAACAAACCGATTCGTTTGAAACGTGGGTCAAGACCCGAACACAATATGCAATTTGACCTCAACTTTGACTAAATTGGGTGCCTAATTAATTATGTTATGAATTAATTTAAAGTTGGCTTAATATTTACCGCGCTATTATATGTACATTTTTCATGTTAATTAGTTTTTAGCCATGCAACTCTATTTTAATTTTTTTTTTATTTTAGTGGGGACCTGCTAAAAAAAAAACTGCGTAAAAAAGTTCTTTTTAAAAAAAAAAAAAAAAACCTTTCATGTAATATTGCACTGAAAAGGAGTAAAATAAATAATTTTCTTTATAGGCCTATATATTTTTATTATATATAAATATAATACACAACTAAGCGTGGGCCACTATTTTATTTATTGAATACCTTTGCTAAGCGACCAACGCTTTTACTTACACTTTGAATAGTAGTGTATTATTTATATATTTAAAGAAAATCATTTATTTTCTCGTTTTTTTTAGTGCATTATTACACGTTTTTTTATAAATGTATTAATGGTACGATTATGCGATTGTGGTCTAAGGGATTTAACAATGAAATAATGTCTTTCTTCAGTATATCAGGAGTTGTGTCCCATTATTTTATTTTTTTATGTGTTGGGTTTTTTTTTTCTATTCATTCCTGTAACAATATCTCCAATAAAAAAGGAAAAGAAAAAACTAATCATGTTTTAAAATACTGCAAGGAGAGTTAAATGTTTTTTCCCTGTGGTCTAAAGGAATTAACAGTATTTTTTTTTCATTTTCATTTTCGAATGCCACGAGTTTTTTTGTTTTTTTTTTTATATATATATTTTGTATCATTTCTCTGCGACTTATATTTTTAAAATACTTCTCGGTTATTCCTTCACACTGAAAGAATGCAAGAAGAAGTAGGAAGGGGAAACATTCTTGCTTTACTAAAATGAAAAAAAATAATTGTATTGTTACCTCCCTTTGACTGTAAATGTCAATATGCTGGAACCCAAGTTAACTGATGCCAAGTGCAAAGATAGCCCCTCTGGAACTCTGGGGCCAAAATGTGTACTTACAAAAAATGTAAGGTTAAGGACATAGGAAACTGAGGGGGTTTTTTTGTTCACTTCAATCTTTCTATCACTTTGATTCACTTACTCATTACATTCTTAATGCTGCACTTTTTCCTTAAACTTGATGGAACTTGACTTAAATTCACTGAAAATAGTTTAACTTAAATTCCACTTGATAATGTATTATTACTTTCTCTTAATTTTTGTTTCTGCTTTTCTATTCGTTTGTCTTAGCCTCGCTTCCCCCTCCATTAGTTGCAACAATTTTCAGGAAATGTGAAACCTGCATATATATATATATATATATATATATATATATATATATATATATATACACACACACACACACTAGCGTTGCCGCGGGAATAGAAGAAAGTCCGACGAAATATATAAGAAGGGTTTCATCCATGCGTTACCAATCCTATATTCTTAGACGCGTGACCTTGTTTTCTAAAAGTGAGTTAAAATGTAAACAATGCCTACGCTTGGATCATAAATATCGGGACACGGGTTTACCTACACTACCGCATGAAAATCTTGAGTGCACATTAATCACTCACCGAAATAATTAGGTAGAACACATTTCGGTGACCGCCCATGTGTCAGGGACGTAGAGGGTCGCTCTAAGCCCCCCCCCCCCCCCCCCAAATTAAACTACAGCATAGGCGCCACGTACGGCCCATGGCTCCTTAAAACTAACAGGCGCCATCGTGCTCATAGAATAACCCAGAGTGCCAAATAGCATCCTGTTAACAATGATGCAGATTGCGTCATTCGATAAAGTGACACAAATGAACAGGATTTTTTCTTTAACACGTAAACAAATTATTTGACGTGTTATAACCATCAGTCTGTCTGATGCAATATGTTAGCGTTACTAATTGTCTATTATTAGATTCTCGATCTCAATTTCTGATTGGATTGTCTAAAAAATATGCAAATTATATCATTCGCAAAGTGACGTAACTGTTTGGATTTTTTACGGACAAAAAGAAACATCCCAGTTAACCTTGGTTAATTTTTCTGATTATTAAAATAAAACGTATTACATGGCCCTCAGCGGCCCACGTGAGCCTTTGTGCGCCGAAACTGTTTGCAGCCAAATCGCACCCTCCCAGGGCGCCGGTGGACACGCCTGATTCAATTTAGTGTTTGTAACGCCCAATCCTATCACACTGTTTAGACCGAACGTAGTCGCCATAGCGATCAAGGGAAAGACCAGGGCGCCAAATCTCACCCCCTGGAGTGTTCTAATCAAGTCCCTGGAGTTTGATGGCTATCGGGTGAACGTTGTGAGACCGCAATCGACTTTTATTTTTATTTATGGTATATAGAGAAAAAAACAAATCGCGCCATGTCGGGGCGCCACCTCTGCAAATTTGAAAATGGTTTTAACGCAGAAAGCTCCCTAGGAATATTCTCAACATCTTCCCAAAGTTTCATGTCGATCGTGTGAAAGGTATCACTGCAATTCACTTTTATTATTTTTTTATACCGTACATAAAGAAAAAAAATGCGCCCTCCTGTGGCGCCGCCTTTGCGAAATTAAAAATGATTTTTTTTTTCAGAATTCTTCCCTGGAGTGTTCTAATCAACTCCCCAAAGTTTGAAAAAAAAATTCCGCAGAAACCTCCCCAGAAATATTCACAACAACTTCCCAAAGTTTCACGGCGATGTGATGAGAGATGTAGTATTGCATAAAAGACACACACACACACTTTGACACACACACACGCACAGACATACATTGCTTTATATATATATATATATATATATATATATATATATATATATATATATATATATATATATATATATGGGGTCATCCATAAATGACGTCACGCTTTTTTGGACGATTTTTACCTCCCCCCCCTCCCCTCCGTCACACTTCGTCACAAAAAGCCAGACCCCCCCCCCCCCCTAAAATGACGTCACACCTCAACCTACAACCCCCCTCAAAATTGCAGTTGAATTTTTTTTAAACATTCATATTTTTCCAAAATCTTGTCTAAACTATTACAATTTATTAAAACAGTTATCTAAAACGCGAAATAACGTCTGAAATTCGTTTTCTAACATTGCTTTTTTATAATGCAAAAATGTGACGTCGCAACATCTGACGCCCCCCCCCCCTCCCCCTCGTCACACATCGTCACAAAATTACGGACCCCCCCCCCCTCCCCCCTACGAGTGTGACGTCATTTATGGATGACCCCTATATATATATATATATATATATATATATATATATATATATATATATATATATATATATATATATATATATATATATATATATATATATATATATATATATATATATATATATATGTTACGGTCAAAGCCCGAAGTGCGGCCAAAGCGCGACTTTATTAGTCTATTACTGTTATAATTAATTGCTGCTTGAAATAAATCTTGTGATTTGCATAGATGTGCCGACCAAAGATAATTTTTTAACATGTTTAAAACTTTGAGTTTAAAAAGTTTCCAAAAAGGCGCCACTTTGCTAAAAATGGCCAGAGGGGGAGCGGCCACTCTCCCTGCTCCCCCCTGATATATATATATATATATATATATATATATATATATATATATATATATATATATATATATATATATATATATATATATATATATATATATATATATATAATATATATAATATATATATGTTACGGTCAAAGCCCGAAGTCGGCCAATGCTAGGATTGGCCGGCCAATCTGCGCATTGGCCAATATCGCCTCCCATAGGTCGGTCAAAGTCCGAAACTTTGCTTTGTTTCGGCCTTTGGCCGGCCAATCCGCAGACTGGCCATGGTGGACCGGTCAAAGTCTGAAATAGCTCTTGATTTCGGCCTTTGGCCGGCCAGTCTGCGGACTGGCCATGGTGGACCGGCCAAAGTTTTAATTAGAAGATCATCTGGCTAGGGACGACCGGCCAAAGTTCGAATTAGAAGATCATGAGCAGATTTTTTTTTTTTTTATGCCGTAAGGATCATGAAATTAAGTCTTTATTGATTATTAATTAAAGTAAATGACAGAAACATTCAAATTTTTTATTGTACTATAGTCTCAATCTATCAATATCATCATTTGTTACAACATGTTGAACTTTTATGGCATTTAGAATTACATAGCAGCTTGTTATTTTTACACTTGCAGCGATTTGTTGTGCACTTAGTTGTGCAATTGCAGCGAGTGTAGCCTTGGCCCCCAGTCAATGATTGTGAAGATGCGATGGTTCATAGTGATTTTTCCTCAGTGCCAACTGACGAAAATAAGAGCAGTTTTTTGTGAAGAATTGAAAACTCAGTTTTAGCATATAGTTGTTTTAGAACACCATGTTCAGTTCCTAATTTGTAGAAACCGCCCTCGACGCCCATGACAACTGCAATCACGCTTCGGGGATCACCGTGACCTCTGTCAACATCTGGAAAACGGATGCTTACATTGTCACCCGCTTCACCATCTTTAAATTTTGTATTTGATGTTTTAAGCATCTTAGCACCTTGAGTTTGCAAGCCAGTATGAGCTGCTGACCTGTGTTACATGATGTCTTGTTTGTTGTGACACAATCTGCAGGTAATGTTCCCTCCGTACCCTTCGTCTGCTTCATTGGGTATTCCACAAATAGCATGGACATCGTTGCCACAGGATCCACAAGAATGGGCTGCACTACAATGTTTTTCACAAGCTATACAGAAGCTGTTGGCCACATTATTGTCACGCAACTGGTCTGGGCGTTCTGCCACGGCAGCAGATGTGTTAGCTGAGGCTGTCGTTGCATTTATGGCAATCTCCATTTCTTGTTCAATGTTCTCAAGATCTTCCTCAGTAACTATTTTTTCGAGAGCCCATATATGGAAACTAACATGGATTTACATTTTTTTCTTTTGACAGCCATCTGCTATGTCTGTCTCATGGTCTGACGGTTCTTTTGATAAATGTTGCCTTGCATATAGAATGCTATACAAACAAGAGCTAAACAATACGTTGCTCTCAATGAAAACGCACCCAGAATAATGAAAATGCGACCACAACTTAGTCTAGATAGAACATTGGCCAGGACATACCGGCCAATGTGCGCATTGGCCGGCCAATTTACAAAATACGCAGTCAAGTTTTAAGCGCTTCGGACTTTGGCCAGTACGTCCCGGCCAGTGCGCGCATTGGCCGGCCAATGTACGAAATACGATCTTAGTGCTAAGTTCTTCGGGCTTTGGCCAAGAGAGCCGGCCAATGCGCGGATTGGTCGGCTAATCCGCGCTTTGGCCGCACTTCGGGCTTTGACCGTAACATATATATATATATATATATATATATATATATATATATATATATATATATACATATATATATATATATATATATATATATATATATATATATATACATATACATATATATATATATATATATATATATATATATATATATATATATATATATATATATATATATATATATATATATATATATATATATATATATATATACATATTATTAGCCAATATAGGCCTCCACAAATACATGGAGTTTCAGCAGACTAAAAATGTAAAGTACGACTGTAACTGGTTTAACTGTTAAAATACATCCTCGTCGTCAACAGTTTTTAAATTTTTATAATTAGACATAGATCTATTAGGCTACATGTTTACATAAATAGATTTAGAGATTTTTTTGTTAATTTCCAGGTTGCAATAATAAGAAATTGGAAATTTTTATAATTAGAAATGTTACACGGTTTAGTGACGTTTACACAAATAGATTTAAAAAAAATTTTTTTTTAATTTCCAGGTTTTAATAATACTCTCAACTTCAGCACATTTTATCTGGCAATTATACCTTAGCGGCAAGTTTGTTGACAAATGTCGGCTGCAACCACTCAACGAACGGAGGAGATAAACTCTAGATCTAGAGAATCTAGATCTTACTTTTAAACTGCATTGGTCTAGATCTATATCTATCATGGTTAGTTAAAAATATGATTTTGGTCATGTTGTTTATTATGCAATCATTTAGATCTCTGAATTGGTTTTGACATTAAGTTCTAATCCAATACCCTGGTTTAAAAAAATCATGTTTAAACTTGAATTTAGATTTAGATCTAGATTCTAGATCTAGATCTAGATTCTAGATCTCTATCTAGATCTAGATCTAGAATAGTTAAGAATAGGTTCTAAATTCATACATTTTTATTGATACTAAGTATTACTAAGGCTATCCCTATGAATTTAAGGTTACTCAAGAGGTTAGGGCAAGGCCTATAATTTTAACAATGAACCCTAGTGGCTAGTAGTAGTAGTAGGCCGTTCGATTCAACACTTCCGGGTTTGTCATTTTCGTGGCATCTCACGGCTCATGCGCTTACTAAAATGACGACCAGTTTCGCTTTCTCTAAACGGTAGAGGGATAAAACTATTGATTACGATGCCATCGTTAATTTTAGAAAACGGAACTATCCGTTTCTATTTCAGTCTGTTATTTAAGAATTCCCAGATGTACTTTTGACCTAATTTCTTTGTTTGTCTCGCAAGCGGCGCGTAAGTGAAAATAGCTCTATGTATTCTTGTCTTTTAAATCAAATAAATCTGAAATATCGCATTCCTTGGAACCCAGCCTATGTTACTTGAAAACTTTAAACTATTAATTTAACACACATTACAATTAACTGGTAATAATTTCTTGGGTTTATGAGATGTGTTCGTGGGAAAATGATCACCCCCCAATAATGCCATTTTATTATAATCTTGTTTGGTGAAAACGAGGCGCGGGAAAATGTGTGCCGCGCAAGAATCTAAACATTTGGCTAGATTTAAGACTGTTTTTTTATGTCACACCTAAAAATAGAATGTTTACGCTTTCTTCGTTGATGATCGTTTTTATTATTTTTTAAACTGAAAGTTATTAGTTAGATTGCAGATTTTGTAACTTGATATACTTACGCTTTATCAATTTTAAAAGCATAGCATGCTAATTGTAAACAAATATAGTCATAAAACACAGAAATATAAAGTTCCAATTGCGATGTGACACACCCGGGTCACACCCCCTCAAGAAAACACGTGTTTATTAAGCTGTTTATCTCACTTTACAACAGTAATTAAAATTAATTTTCAAATTTTTATCACTTAATGGGTAAGATTAAGCACTTGTTTACTAAAAATAAAAAATAAAACAAAAGCAAATTCTGTTTTAATGAGGGTCACGGGTCAAGTTTTTTTTCCTTCTGTCAAGTTCAGTGGAGGGTGCCACAGGCTGACTTGACTTTGGAATTTTTTTCAGTAATAATGACTTTGCACAGAAAGTTAAAATATGCTAAATTAGCTTAGTTTACTAGTGTTCTAGCTATTATTGATACATTTTTAATAAAAAAATCATTCTGTAATTCTCATCAAAAAGCCTAAACCATAGTAAAGTACCGCAAGCGGTCACACATAACGGAAAAATCATATTTTCATCGGGGTAAAACCTTAGTTTATCTTTTTAAATTCTGCCAAAACTAGTAATGTGGGGGAGAGGGAATTAATGAATATGTCTTTAAATATGAGTATATTTTCGTGTATGGCAGGAAACAGGCTAATCTATCGTTTTAGGTACGTAAAATCGCCAGCGGCTAGTAATGAACAAAAAAGTTAACTCATTGTCAAGGCTTTAATAGAAGTATATTGTGATATATTTGTGTCAAATATTATAGATAAATGAATAATAAACCTAAATCAATGGCTAAATATATCAATATAGGCAAGAAATTATCTTTAAACAGCAGTGTTTGCGAGCAGTATTTCCTCTTTAAAAAGCGGCCATCTGTAAGTTAGAGTGGCTTCCCCTGAATCTTGCGCTCTAAGTTTATTATAAAAAAAAATAAACAAGATGGCTGCTATAGTAAATGAGCATGGTTGCATCTGTTGTAAACATCGCTAGTCTTCATTTATTACTGAAAAGTTTTAATTCAGTTGTTTAAATACAGGTACAGAAATGAAACAAGGAAACATTTTTGTATTTTTCAAAACATAAATCCTCCTCAAAATGTGAAATAATTATGAAAATTTAAGGAGTCACCTGTTTTTCACATTACTAGTCGCGGGCGATATTAAGTACCTAAAACGATAGATTACCGGAAACAGATATGTACAGCAAACTGCATATTAGATCTTAGCCGTTGATAATCTTCTTAACCCTACATTGTTTGGTGATTTTGTTGATATTCATAATAGATAGATAGAACAATATCTTTGGAAGCTTTGAGGGCAATATTTTTGCCGAATTCATTTTTGCCGATATTTTATGCCTCAACGAAGGACGTGAAGTATGCAAATCGCAGCGGAAGGGATCTATTTGCTTTTACATGTACTTTTAAAATAAGCTAAAGAACAATATTTTTAATAATTTGATTACCTTAAATGGATTTTTTTACTGTAGTTGATAAATTTAAGAAAAAGTTGTTTTTTTCGATATTTTAACTTTTATATGAAAAAAACAAATGCATAGAATTACGATACCTTGGCGTCGTGGAAAATTCAGATTTTTTTTTATTGTAGGTTTTTACTACACGGCATGTATTTTGATATCAGTTTTGTGAAATCTATTTAAATTTGTAAAAGATATGTTTTATTTTGCCATAGATATATATTTTTTTTATTTTAACGTTTTTTCTGTCGTGGTGAATTAACCTTCACTCTATGCATGCACATGTTGTAAAACTAGACTTATCTTTAAAACAAGGGAACTTTGAGTGCTCTGCAATTAACAAAGTTTTTAAATTTAAGTTTACTTTTGACTTTAAGCCATCTATATATATAATTCTCTTCTTGGAGACGCAAGAAAACAAGCGTGCTCCCTACCACCCCACCCCTACATGGTCTGGTGAGCTGTGGTTCATGCTAAAGCCGTAGAGCCGGGTTTAGTGACGGCTATTAGGGGCAGATAATTTAGTTTGAAATGATTTTAAACTTAGGGGAGGTAACTAAGAGGAGGCTGCTTTCACGGGGGTGGGGGTGTAGGGTAATGGGTTGGGGAAAAGGAGGGTGGGGTTAGTATTGCTCTTAACGACCTACTGATAGTGTTTTAAAGCAAATATTTTCAGTGGCGGCATTGGTACTGTCAAATTCATAAATTATGAATTACTGAAAAGTAGAAAATAAAACAACTAAATAGCGGCGTATGATACGCCGCGGGTTGGCTCGTATAAAGTAATTATACTATTTGATCAATGTACTAGAGAAAATGGGAGATAATTACAGCAGGTTGAGAACAACGAAACAATTCTAATTGTACGCTTATGTCCCTTGTCAAATCAACTACTGGCCCGGTATTCACAGTAGCATGGGCGGATCACTGAGCTCTGACATCACAGACTTACCTCATGGTTAGAAAACGTTGAGCTAAACTTCAGCGATAAAACACAAAGAGGGTACAGTGTAGCTCTGGTACAATGTAGCCCTGGTACAGTGTAGATTTGTCTGGTACAGTGTAGCCTTACTACATTAAACTACATTTGCTTTATCTTTTAAGAGTTTAAAATTAACGTGTGCCTTTTGTGTAGTAAAAAAAATAAAAACTCGTCGTCCAGAAGGAGAAAATAAAAGAATTTGACCTGGGTGTGTTAGAAATGGACATGGGTACAGCAGATAGTGGTTGTTTTGTTTAGCACATCCAAACCATTTTTATATTGAGCAAAACACAGGAGGGTGGCCATAGCGATGTTTTGACCATGTACAGCACTCTACGCAATTGTGTGACGCTTTGCCATTGTTTTACTGTTTTTTACTGCTATACCATTCCTGAATAATAACTGACGCAAAACTAAGGTTTTAATGAATTTTGAATCATTAGATTAAATTTTAAAAGATTTAGGTCTAGATTTTTTTTTTTAGAGCTAGACTCGAAATGGTGTGTATACAATATTTTTAAAATCTGGTGCAATGTTATTTTTAAAAATACGGTTATAAAAACTGGACTTTTGGATTTTTGACAGATTTGACTTAAGATTGACCTATTTTTGTGTGGCCGTGGGTCACAGATCCATATATTAACATTGTGCTTCCCTGCACTTCCCATTAAGAGTTGTAGTGATTGGTTCTGTGCTGCTCTTTGGGTGCATAAAAAACTTTTCATTATTTCCCCATTTAATGCCCATAGATACTTCTTCTAGGCCTAGGCTCTATATAAGTTAAAAGAATTAGTTGCCACAAAATATAAACTCTAGTGACTTACTAGTCTGGCGACGTTGTCCGCTTGTCCGTTCAAACCTTTTTGCCAGGAGGAAGGGATTCGATTCTGTAAGTCAGCTATAGTCATTTATACCTAGCATTTTCCAATTAAATGAGATCAAAACTAAATTATTAATTTGATATTGTTAGCCTATTAATTGAGTAGACTTAACTTACTGGGTGGCAAGCATACTATATAATAAAGCTAACATTATTAAAAATATACAGATCTATATATACATAGGCATATAGATTTAGATCTAGTAGTAAGAACGGTGGCTAGAGAGCAAATAATTTTAAAATAATAATTCTGAATCACTGCTTGTCTGCACGCAAAAAAATTATTTCCTTTGTCAAGACTGTTGTTATTTATGTTAAACTGAAGGCAGGCTAGTTGATAATAAGGTTAAGAATTGTGTACAAACTAGCCACTAGGGAAGTGTCACTCTAGACTAGATCTAGATACATTGTTGAGTGTTAGAAACTTTTAATTTGCAGAGAAGGCTACTTATTTATTGTTACCAATCTTAACATTCCATCTACAACCCTACACAATGTTAACATTCCATCTACAACCCTACACAATGTTAACATTTGCAGGAAAAGCCAGAAAATTATCTCAATCTTTATGATGATGTTTGGCGCTCGGAAGAATCAGAAGGTAATTTGCTTTATTGTCATCTAAGTTAGAAATTCTTCTATGGTTCAGGATTGTCCAGTAAATATCTAAACACCTCAGCACTGAGACTTTCAACTCTTTCTTCTCACCTTCTCACTGAGACTTTCAACTCTTTCTTCTCAGCACTGAGACTTTCAACTCTTTCTTCTCACCTTCTCACTGAGACTTTCAACTCTTTCTTCTCAGCACTGAGACTTTCAACTCTTTCTTCTCACCTTCTCACTGAGACTTTCAACTCTTTCTTCTCAGCACTGAGACTTTCAACTCTTTCTTCTCACCTTCTCACTGAGACTTTCAACTCTTTCTTCTCACCTTCTCACTGAGACTTTCAACTCTTCTCAGCACTGAGACTTTCAACTCTTTCTTCTCACCTTCTCACTGAGACTTTCAACTCTTTCTTCTCACCTTCTCACTGAGACTTTCAACTCTTTCTTCTCAGCACTGAGACTTTCAACTCTTTCTTCTCAGCACTGAGACTTTCAACTCTTTCTTCTCACCTTCTCACTGAGACTTTCAACTCTTTCTTCTCAGCACTGAGACTTTCAACTCTTTCTTCTCACCTTCTCACTGAGACTTTCAACTCTTTCTTCTCAGCACTGAGACTTTCAACTCTTTCTTCTCACCTTCTCACTGAGACTTTCAACTCTTTCTTCTCAGCACTGAGACTTTCAACTCTTTCTTCTCAGCACTGAGACTTTCAACTCTTTCTTCTCACCTTCTCACTGAGACTTTCAACTCTTTCTTCTCAGCACTGAGACTTTCAACTCTTTCTTCTCAGCACTGAGACTTTCAACTCTTTCTTCTCAGCACTGAGACTTTCAACTCTTTCTTCTCACCTTCTCACTGAGACTTTCAACTCTTTCTTCTCACCTTCTCACTGAGACTTTCAACTCTTTCTTCTCAGCACTGAGACTTTCAACTCTTTCTTCTCACCTTCTCACTGAGACTTTCAACTCTTTCTTCTCAGCACTGAGACTTTCAACTCTTTCTTCTCACCTTCTCACTGAGACTTTCAACTCTTTCTTCTCACCTTCTCACTGAGACTTTCAACTCTTTCTTCTCACCTTCTCACTGAGACTTTCAACTCTTTCTTCTCAGCACTGAGACTTTCAACTCTTTCTTCTCAGCACTGAGACTTTCAACTCTTTCTTCTCAGCACTGAGACTTTCAACTCTTTCTTCTCACCTTCTCACTGAGACTTTCAACTCTTTCTTCTCAGCACTGAGACTTTCAACTCTTTCTTCTCAGCACTGAGACTTTCAACTCTTTCTTCTCACCTTCTCACTGAGACTTTCAACTCTTTCTTCTCAGCACTGAGACTTTCAACTCTTTCTTCTCAGCACTGAGACTTTCAACTCTTTCTTCTCAGCACTGAGACTTTCAACTCTTTCTTCTCACCTTCTCACTGAGACTTTCAACTCTTTCTTCTCAGCACTGAGACTTTCAACTCTTTCTTCTCACCTTCTCACTGAGACTTTCAACTCTTTCTTCTCAGCACTGAGACTTTCAACTCTTTCTTCTCACCTTCTCACTGAGACTTTCAACTCTTTCTTCTCACCTTCTCACTGAGACTTTCAACTCTTTCTTCTCAGCACTGAGACTTTCAACTCTTTCTTCTCACCTTCTCACTGAGACTTTCAACTCTTTCTTCTCACCTTCTCACTGAGACTTTCAACTCTTTCTTCTCAGCACTGAGACTTTCAACTCTTTCTTCTCACCTTCTCACTGAGACTTTCAACTCTTTCTTCTCACCTTCTCACTGAGACTTTCAACTCTTTCTTCTCAGCACTGAGACTTTCAACTCTTTCTTCTCACCTTCTCACTGAGACTTTCAACTCTTCTCAGCACTGAGACTTTCAACTCTTTCTTCTCACCTTCTCACTGAGACTTTCAACTCTTTCTTCTCACCTTCTCACTGAGACTTTCAACTCTTTCTTCTCAGCACTGAGACTTTCAACTCTTTCTTCTCACCTTCTCACTGAGACTTTCAACTCTTTCTTCTCAGCACTGAGACTTTCAACTCTTTCTTCTCACCTTCTCACTGAGACTTTCAACTCTTTCTTCTCAGCACTGAGACTTTCAACTCTTTCTTCTCACCTTCTCACTGAGACTTTCAACTCTTCTCAGCACTGAGACTTTCAACTCTTTCTTCTCACCTTCTCACTGAGACTTTCAACTCTTTCTTCTCACCTTCTCACTGAGACTTTCAACTCTTTCTTCTCACCTTCTCACTGAGACTTTCAACTCTTTCTTCTCAGCACTGAGACTTTCAACTCTTTCTTCTCACCTTCTCACTGAGACTTTCAACTCTTTCTTCTCACCTTCTCACTGAGACTTTCAACTCTTTCTTCTCACCTTCTCACTGAGACTTTCAACTCTTTCTTCTCACCTTCTCACTGAGACTTTCAACTCTTTCTTCTCACCTTCTCACTGAGACTTTCAACTCTTTCTTCTCAGCACTGAGACTTTCAACTCTTTCTTCTCACCTTCTCACTGAGACTTTCAACTCTTTCTTCTCAGCACTGAGACTTTCAACTCTTTCTTCTCACCTTCTCACTGAGACTTTCAACTCTTCTCAGCACTGAGACTTTCAACTCTTTCTTCTCACCTTCTCACTGAGACTTTCAACTCTTTCTTCTCACCTTCTCACTGAGACTTTCAACTCTTTCTTCTCAGCACTGAGACTTTCAACTCTTTCTTCTCACCTTCTCACTGAGACTTTCAACTCTTCTCAGCACTGAGACTTTCAACTCTTTCTTCTCACCTTCTCACTGAGACTTTCAACTCTTTCTTCTCACCTTCTCACTGAGACTTTCAACTCTTCTCAGCACTGAGACTTTCAACTCTTTCTTCTCAGCACTGAGACTTTCAACTCTTCTCAGCACTGAGACTTTCAACTCTTTCTTCTCACCTTCTCACTGAGACTTTCAACTCTTTCTTCTCACCTTCTCACTGAGACTTTCAACTCTTTCTTCTCACCTTCTCACTGAGACTTTCAACTCTTTCTTCTCAGCACTGAGACTTTCAACTCTTTCTTCTCACCTTCTCACTGAGACTTTCAACTCTTTCTTCTCAGCACTGAGACTTTCAACTCTTTCTTCTCACCTTCTCACTGAGACTTTCAACTCTTTCTTCTCACCTTCTCACTGAGACTTTCAACTCTTTCTTCTCACCTTCTCACTGAGACTTTCAACTCTTTCTTCTCACCTTCTCACTGAGACTTTCAACTCTTTCTTCTCACCTTCTCACTGAGACTTTCAACTCTTTCTTCTCACCTTCTCACTGAGACTTTCAACTCTTTCTTCTCACCTTCTCACTGAGACTTTCAACTCTTTCTTCTCACCTTCTCACTGAGACTTTCAACTCTTTCTTCTCACCTTCTCACTGAGACTTTCAACTCTTTCTTCTCACCTTCTCACTGAGACTTTCAACTCTTTCTTCTCACCTTCTCACTGAGACTTTCAACTCTTTCTTCTCACCTTCTCACTGAGACTTTCAACTCTTTCTTCTCAGCACTGAGACTTTCAACTCTTTCTTCTCACCTTCTCACTGAGACTTTCAACTCTTTCTTCTCAGCACTGAGACTTTCAACTCTTTCTTCTCACCTTCTCACTGAGACTTTCAACTCTTTCTTCTCAGCACTGAGACTTTCAACTCTTTCTTCTCACCTTCTCACTGAGACTTTCAACTCTTTCTTCTCAGCACTGAGACTTTCAACTCTTTCTTCTCACCTTCTCACTGAGACTTTCAACTCTTCTCAGCACTGAGACTTTCAACTCTTTCTTCTCACCTTCTCACTGAGACTTTCAACTCTTTCTTCTCACCTTCTCACTGAGACTTTCAACTCTTTCTTCTCACCTTCTCACTGAGACTTTCAACTCTTTCTTCTCACCTTCTCACTGAGACTTTCAACTCTTTCTTCTCACCTTCTCGCTGAGACTTTCAACTCTTTCTTCTCACCTTCTCACTGAGACTTTCAACTCTTTCTTCTCAGCACTGAGACTTTCAACTCTTCTCAGCACTGAGACTTTCAACTCTTTCTTCTCACCTTCTCACTGAGACTTTCAACTCTTTCTTCTCAGCACTGAGACTTTCAACTCTTTCTTCTCACCTTCTCACTGAGACTTTCAACTCTTTCTTCTCAGCACTGAGACTTTCAACTCTTTCTTCTCAGCACTGAGACTTTCAACTCTTTCTTCTCACCTTCTCACTGAGACTTTCAACTCTTTCTTCTCAGCACTGAGACTTTCAACTCTTTCTTCTCACCTTCTCACTGAGACTTTCAACTCTTTCTTCTCACCTTCTCACTGAGACTTTCAACTCTTCTCAGCACTGAGACTTTCAACTCTTTCTTCTCACCTTCTCACTGAGACTTTCAACTCTTCTCAGCACTGAGACTTTCAACTCTTTCTTCTCACCTTCTCACTGAGACTTTCAACTCTTTCTTCTCACCTTCTCACTGAGACTTTCAACTCTTTCTTCTCAGCACTGAGACTTTCAACTCTTTCTTCTCAGCACTGAGACTTTCAACTCTTTCTTCTCAGCACTGAGACTTTCAACTCTTTCTTCTCACCTTCTCACTGAGACTTTCAACTCTTTCTTCTCAGCACTGAGACTTTCAACTCTTTCTTCTCACCTTCTCACTGAGACTTTCAACTCTTCTCAGCACTGAGACTTTCAACTCTTTCTTCTCACCTTCTCACTGAGACTTTCAACTCTTTCTTCTCAGCACTGAGACTTTCAACTCTTTCTTCTCACCTTCTCACTGAGACTTTCAACTCTTTCTTCTCAGCACTGAGACTTTCAACTCTTTCTTCTCACCTTCTCACTGAGACTTTCAACTCTTTCTTCTCACCTTCTCACTGAGACTTTCAACTCTTTCTTCTCACCTTCTCACTGAGACTTTCAACTCTTTCTTCTCACCTTCTCACTGAGACTTTCAACTCTTTCTTCTCACCTTCTCACTGAGACTTTCAACTCTTTCTTCTCAGCACTGAGACTTTCAACTCTTTCTTCTCACCTTCTCACTGAGACTTTCAACTCTTTCTTCTCAGCACTGAGACTTTCAACTCTTTCTTCTCACCTTCTCACTGAGACTTTCAACTCTTTCTTCTCACCTTCTCACTGAGACTTTCAACTCTTTCTTCTCAGCACTGAGACTTTCAACTCTTTCTTCTCACCTTCTCACTGAGACTTTCAACTCTTTCTTCTCACCTTCTCACTGAGACTTTCAACTCTTTCTTCTCACCTTCTCACTGAGACTTTCAACTCTTTCTTCTCACCTTCTCACTGAGACTTTCAACTCTTTCTTCTCACCTTCTCACTGAGACTTTCAACTCTTCTCAGCACTGAGACTTTCAACTCTTTCTTCTCACCTTCTCACTGAGACTTTCAACTCTTTCTTCTCAGCACTGAGACTTTCAACTCTTTCTTCTCACCTTCTCACTGAGACTTTCAACTCTTTCTTCTCACCTTCTCACTGAGACTTTCAACTCTTTCTTCTCACCTTCTCACTGAGACTTTCAACTCTTCTCAGCACTGAGACTTTCAACTCTTTCTTCTCACCTTCTCACTGAGACTTTCAACTCTTTCTTCTCACCTTCTCACTGAGACTTTCAACTCTTTCTTCTCACCTTCTCACTGAGACTTTCAACTCTTTCTTCTCAGCACTGAGACTTTCAACTCTTTCTTCTCACCTTCTCACTGAGACTTTCAACTCTTTCTTCTCACCTTCTCACTGAGACTTTCAACTCTTTCTTCTCACCTTCTCACTGAGACTTTCAACTCTTCTCAGCACTGAGACTTTCAACTCTTTCTTCTCACCTTCTCACTGAGACTTTCAACTCTTTCTTCTCACCTTCTCACTGAGACTTTCAACTCTTTCTTCTCACCTTCTCACTGAGACTTTCAACTCTTTCTTCTCACCTTCTCACTGAGACTTTCAACTCTTTCTTCTCACCTCAGCACTGTCACAGCTTTCTTCTGGCCAGGGTTTTCTTTGTTATGTGGTTACATCTCTTTATTTATGGGCTCTTTGTATCATAACTAATGGTGGACAAACACCCCCCCCCTCCCCCACGAGCCAGCTAGCCTGCAGGAGTTGGACTTGAGCCAAGAGGCCAGCCCTGTACACAGTGCTATTGCTGAGGTGTCTAGAGACTATGTGACTGGCACTCGCAGTCTTCAGGCTCTCACAGACAGTGATGGGTCAGGCACTGAGCTGACCAGAGGACTAGCTTCATATGCTCGCTACCCTGAAACAGCCGCAGGATTTTCAGACACGGACTGGAACCCTTATGGCACAGAATCAGACAGCAACACACCCAGAAGCAAGGGAGGCTCCCGCTTGGCTGGATCCCAGCTGACCTTTGAACCAGCTCTCCACAGTACTGACCTGCACACTTTAACTCCCAGCCTGGCCATCACTGACCCAGGCAGTAGCCAGACAACAGGCCAGACTGCAGTGCTGCTGCACCCAGACGTCCAGCTGGAATTCTCATCCGACTCTGTCAGTCAGCTGTCAGGAGAGAGACCCTACACCCTGATCACCCCCTACAAGGTGACCAGCACTGCTGCTGTGGACTACAACCTTCTGCAGAGGGACCTGGAAGAGATCCAGAAAAGCCTGCAGAGGACTCTGGGCCCTGCATGTCTGAGACTCTCAGACACAGGGGACATCATCCCCAGCACCACAAGCACACCAGAGAAGAGGAGCAGAGCATGGGCAGCAACTTCAACTGGTCACTCAGCTACGTGGCAAACTCTTGGCCCTGCTAAAGCCTCTAAGGGAGGAGACTGTCTCAATTCAGATGGTGCTGACAGTTCAGACAGCTCCGACAGCAGTCACATGAGTGCTGGCTTCAGGAACTTTGAACTAGAGGCTCACCACATGGATGGACTTGCAGGGCAAGTGACTAGGCTTTTAAGACAGCAGAGTTCAGAGTTGAAAGTGCAGGAAATGGCAGGTGAGAGAAACACCATGTCCAACTCAGCTGGCTGTAACTTGTCCAGCTCTTCAAGTTTTGACGAGAGCAGTGTCCAGGCAGTAGAAGATATCTGCAAGAGGCTGGACATGTCTGCCCTCAGCTCAGCAGAGACCAGCAGGCTGGCCCCTAAACCTTTCCAAGTCACAGAGGGCATGAGCAAGTTCTTGTCCTCCCAGCTAAGCAAGGTGACAGAGAGAACATTTAACCACAGCATACAGCTGGAGCCCCAGGTAGTCCACTGCTATCCTCTCTACGCCACAGCTGAGCCAGGACATCCTCATACAGACAACAGGTGCGTTAATCATGTCCACACATCTCACCACACAGACACATCATCTCACCACACAGACACATCATCTCACCACACAGACACATCATCTCACCACACAGACACATCATCTCACCATACAGACACATCATCTCACTACACAGACACATCATCTCACCACACACAGACGCATCATCTCACCACACAGACACATCATCTCACCACACAGACACATCTCACCACACAGACACATCATCTCACCACACACAGACACATCATCTCACCACACAGACACATCATCTCACCACACACAGACACATCATCTCACCACACAGACACATCATCTCACCACACAGACACATCATCTCACCACACAGACACATCATCTCACCACACAGACACATCATCTCACCATACAGACACATCATCTCACTACACAGACACATCATCTCACCACACAGACACATCATCTCACCACACAGACACATCATCTCACCACACAGACACATCATCTCACCACACACAGACACATCATCTCACCACACAGACACATCATCTCACCACACAGACACATCATCTCACCACACAGACACATCATCTCACCACACACAGACACATCATCTCACCACACACAGACACATCATCTCACCACACAGACACATCTCACCACACAGACACATCATCTCACCACACAAACACATCATCTCACCACACACAGACAGACACATCATCTCACCACACAGACACATCATCTCACCACACAGACACACCATCTCACCACACAAACACATCATTTCACCACACAAACACATCATTTCACCACACAGACACATCATCTCACCACACACAGACAGACACATCATCTCACCACACAGACACATCATCTCACCACACAGACACACCATCTCACCACACAAACACATCATTTCACCACACAGACACATCATCTCACCACACACAGACAGACACATCATCTCACCACACAGACACATCATCTCACCACACAGACACATCATCTCACCACACAGACACATCATCTCACCACACACAGACACATCATCTCACCACACAGACACATCATCTCACCACACAGACACATCATCTCACCACACAGACACATCATCTCACCACACAGACACATCTCACCACACAGACACATCATCTCACCACACACAGACACATCATCTCACCACACAGACACATCATCTCACCACACAGACACATCTCACCACACAGACACATCATCTCACCACACAGACACATCATCTCACCACACAGACACATCATCTCACCACACAGACACATCATCTCACTACACACAGACACATCATCTCACCACACAGACACATCATCTCACCACACAGACACATCATCTCACCACACACAGACACATCATCTCACCACACAGACACATCATCTCACCACACAGACACATCATCTCACCACACAGACACATCATCTCACCACACAGGCACATCATCTCACCACACAGACACATCATCTCACCACACAGACACATCATCTCACCACACAGACACATCATCTCACCACACAGACACATCATCTCACCACACAGACACATCATCTCACCACACAGACACATCATCTCACCACACAGACACATCATCTCACCACACAGACACATCATCTCACCACACAGACACATCATCTCACCACACAGACACATCATCTCACCATACAGACACATCATCTCACCACACAGACACATCTCACCACACAGACACATCATCTCACCACACAGACACATCATCTCACCACACAGACACACCATCTCACCACACAAACACATCATTTCACCACACAGACACATCATCTCACCACACACAGACAGACACATCATCTCACCACACAGACACATCATCTCACCACACAGACACATCATCTCACCACACAGACACATCATCTCACCACACAGACACATCTCACCACACAGACACATCATCTCACCACACAGACACATCATCTCACCACACAGACACATCGCACCACACAGACACATCATCTCACCACACACAGACACATCATCTCACCACACAGACACATCATCTCACCACACAGACACATCATCTCACCACACAGACACATCATCTCACCACACAGACACATCTCACCACACAGACACATCATCTCACCACACAGACACATCTCACCACACAGACACATCATCTCACCACACACAGACACATCATCTCACCACACAGACACATCATCTCACCACACAGACACATCATCTCACCACACAGACACATCATCTCACCACACAGACACATCATCTCACCACACAGACACATCATCTCACCACACACAGACACATCATCTCACCACACAGACACATCTCACCACACAGACACATCATCTCACCACACACAGACGCATCATCTCACCACACAGATACATCATCTCACCACACAGACACATCATCTCACTACACAGACACATCATCTCACCACACAGACACATCTCACCACACAGACACATCATCTCACCACACAGACACATCATCTCACCACACAGACACATCTCACCACACAGACACATCTCACCACACAGACACATCTCACCACACAGACACATCTCACCACACAGACACATCATCTCACCACACAGACACATCATCTCACCACACAGACACATCTCACCACACAGACACATCTCACCACACAGACACATCTCACCACACAGACACATCTCACCACACAGACACATCATCTCACCACACAGACACATCATCTCACCACACAGACACATCATCTCACCACACAGACACACCATCTCACCACACAGACACATCATCTCACCACACACAGACACATCATCTCACCACACAGACACATCATCTCACCACACAGACACATCATCTCACCACACAGACACATCATCTCACCACACAGACACACCATCTCACCACACAGACACATCATCTCACCACACAGACACATCATCTCACCACACAGACACATCATCTCACCACACAGACACATCATCTCACCACACAGACACATCATCTCACCACACAGACACACCATCTCACCACACAGACACATCATCTCACCACACACAGACACATCATCTCACCACACAGACACATCATCTCACCACACAGACACATCATCTCACCACACAGACACACCATCTCACCACACAGACACATCATCTCACCACACAGACACATCATCTCACCACACAGACACATCATCTCACCACACAGACACATCATCTCACCACACAGACACACCATCTCACCACACAGACACATCATCTCACCACACACAGACACATCATCTCACCACACACAGACACATCATCTCACCACACAGACACATCATCTCACCAGACAGACACATCATCTCACCACACAGACACATCTCACCACACAGACACATCATCTCACCACACAGACACATCATCTCACCACACAGACACATCATCTCACCACACAGACACATCATCTCACCACACAGACACATCATCTCACCACACAGACACATCTCACCACACAGACACATCATCTCACCACACAGACACATCATCTCACCACACAGACACATCATCTCACCACACAGACACATCATCTCACCACACAGACACATCATCTCACCACACAGACACATCATCTCACCACACAGACACATCATCTCACCACACACAGACGCATCATCTCACCACACACAGACGCATCATCTCACCACACAGATACATCATCTCACCACACAGACACATCATCTCACTACACAGACACATCATCTCACCACACAGACACATCTCACCACACAGACACATCATCTCACCACACAGACACATCTCACCACACAGACACATCTCACCACACAGACACATCATCTCACCACACACAGACACATCATCTCACCACACAGACACATCATCTCACCACACAGACACATCATCTCACCACACAGACACACCATCTCACCACACAGACACATCATCTCACCACACAGACACATCATCTCACCACACAGACACATCATCTCACCACACAGACACATCATCTCACCACACAGACACATCATCTCACCACACAGACACATCATCTCACCACACAGACACATCATCTCACCACACAGACACATCATCTCACCACACAGACACATCATCTCACCACACAGACACATCATCTCACCATACAGACACATCTCACCACACAGACACATCTCACCACACACAGACAGACACATCATCTCACCACACAGACACATCATCTCACCACACAGACACATCATCTCACCACACAGACACATCATCTCACCACACAGACACATCTCACCACACAGACACACCATCTCACCACACAAACACATCATCTCACCACACAGACACATCATCTCACCACACAGACACATCATCTCACCACACAGACACATCATCTCACCACACAGACACATCATCTCACCACACAGACACATCATCTCACCACACACAGACAGACACATCATCTCACCACACAGACACATCATCTCACCACACAGACACATCATCTCACCACACAGACACATCATCTCACCACACAGACACATCATCTCACCACACACAGACACATCATCTCACCACACAGACACATCATCTCACCACACAGACACATCATCTCACCACACAGACACATCATCTCACCACACAGACACATCATCTCACCACACAGACACATCATCTCACCACACAGACACATCATCTCACCATACAGACACATCATCTCACTACACAGACACATCATCTCACCACACAGACACATCATCTCACCACACAGACACATCATCTCACCACACAGACACATCATCTCACCACACAGACACATCATCTCACCATACAGACACATCTCACCACACAGACACATCTCACCACACAGACACATCATCTCACCACACACAGACAGACACATCATCTCACCACACAGACACATCATCTCACCACACAGACACATCATCTCACCACACAGACACATCTCACCACACAGACACATCATCTCACCACACAGACACATCATCTCACCACACAGACACATCTCACCACACAGACACATCATCTCACCACACAGACACATCATCTCACCACACAGACACATCATCTCACCACACACAGACACATCTCACCACACAGACAGACACATCATCTCACCACACAGACACATCATCTCACCACACAGACACATCTCACCACACAGACACATCATCTCACCACACAGACACATCATCTCACCATACAGACACATCTCACCACACAGACACATCTCACCACACAGACACATCATCTCACCACACACAGACAGACACATCATCTCACCACACAGACACATCATCTCACCACACAGACACATCATCTCACCACACAGACACACCATCTCACCACACAGACACATCATCTCACCACACAGACACATCATCTCACCACACAGACACATCATCTCACCATACAGACACATCTCACCACACAGACACATCTCACCACACAGACACATCATCTCACCACACACAGACAGACACATCATCTCACCACACAGACACATCATCTCACCACACAGACACACCATCTCACCACACAGACACATCATCTCACCACACACAGACACATCATCTCACCACACAGACACATCATCTCACCACACAGACACATCATCTCACCACACAGACACATCATCTCACCATACAGACACATCATCTCACCACACAGACACATCATCTCACCACACACAGACACATCATCTCACCACACAGACACATCATCTCACCACACACAGACACATCATCTCACCACACAGACACATCTCACCACACAGACACATCATCTCACCACACACAGACAGACACATCATCTCACCACACAGACACATCATCTCACCACACAGACACATCATCTCACCACACAGACACATCATCTCACCACACAGACACATCATCTCACCACACAGACACATCATCTCACCACACAGACACATCATCTCACCACACACAGACACATCATCTCACCACACAGACACATCATCTCACCACACAGACACATCATCTCACCACACAGACACATCTCACCACACAGACACATCATCTCACCACACAGACACATCATCTCACCACACAGACACATCATCTCACCACACAGACACATCATCTCACCACACAGACACATCTCACCACACAGACACATCTCACCACACACAGACACATCATCTCACCACACACAGACACATCATCTCACCACACAGACACATCATCTCACCACACAGACACATCATCTCACCACACACAGACACATCATCTCACCACACAGACACATCATCTCACCACACACAGACACATCTCACCACACAGACACATCATCTCACCATACAGACACATCATCTCACCACACAGACACATCATCTCACCACACAGACACATCATCTCACCATACAGACACATCATCTCACCACACAGACACATCATCTCACCACACAGACACATCATCTCACCACACAGACACATCATCTCACCACACACAGACACATCATCTCACCACACAGACACATCATCTCACCACACACAGACACATCATCTCACCACACAGACACATCATCTCACCACACACAGACACATCTCACCACACAGACACATCATCTCACCATACAGACACATCATCTCACCACACAGACACATCATCTCACCACACAGACACATCATCTCACCATACAGACACATCATCTCACCACACAGACACATCATCTCACCACACAGACACATCATCTCACCACACAGACACATCATCTCACCATACAGACACATCATCTCACCACACAGACACATCATCTCACCACACACAGACACATCATCTCACCACACAGACACATCATCTCACCACACAGACACATCATCTCACTACACAGACACATCATCTCACCACACAGACACATCATCTCACCACACAGACACATCATCTCACCACACACAGACACATCATCTCACCACACAGACACATCATCTCACCACACAGACACATCATATCACCACACAGACACATCATCTCACCACACACAGACACATCATCCCACTACACAGACACATCTCACCACACAGACACATCATCTCACTACACAGACAGACACATCATCTCACCACACAGACACATCATCTCACCACACAGACACATCATCTCACCACACACAGACACATCATCTCACCACACAGACACATCATCTCACCACACAGACACATCATCTCACCACACAGACACATCATCTCACCACACAGACACATCATCTCACCACACAGACACATCATCTCACCACACAGACACATCATCTCACCACACAGACACATCATCTCACCACACAGACACACCATCTCACCACACAGACACATCATCTCACCACACAGACACATCATCTCACCACACAGACACATCATCTCACCACACACAGACGCATCATCTCACCACACACAGACAGACACATCATCTCTACTGCCACGTTGTACTGATAGACTCCTCTATTTACAGGCTGGATCCTGCATCTGGTCATCCTACAGGTAACTTAAATGGTGGCTTTGTGACAGGTTCATTTCATTGTTAGGTCATGTGTAACAGGCTCATTTCATTATGTTAGGTCATGTGTGACAACTGATTAATGACATTGTTAGGTCATGTGTGACAAATGATTAATGAAATTATTAGGTCATGTTTGACAACTGATTAATGAAATTGTTCGGTCATGTGTGACAACTGATTAATGAAATTGCTTGTTTGCCAGCAGAGACCAGCTCTACCAGAGGCAAAGAGAGATACAGACCATACAGGTAAACCGTTAACCCTTACAACACCACTTACAGAACAGATTTTAAACATTCAACTTTAATCCCTACAGACTTTTTGTCTGAGTTAAGTTTTCTCTAGTATTCTCACTGGGAAGTGGTGGTTAAGTTTTCTATTCTCACAGGGCAGTGATGGTTAAGTTTTCTATTCTCACAGGGCAGTGGTGGTTAAGTTTTCTCTAGTATGCTCACTGGGAAGTGGTGGTTAAGTTTTCTATTCTCACAGGGCAGTGATGGTTAAGTTTTCTATTCTCACAGGGCAGTGATGGTTAAGTTTTCTATTCTCACAGGGAAGTGGTGGTTAAGTTTTCTATTCTCACAGGGCAGTGATGGTTAAGTTTTCTATTCTCACAGGGCAGTGATGGTTAAGTTTTCTATTCTCACAGGGCAGTGGTGGTTAAGTTTTCTATTCTCACAGGGCAGTGGTGGTTAAGTTTTCTATTCTCACAAGACAGTGGTGGTTAAGTTTTCTCTAGATTTGCTGCTTGCTTGAGTTGTATATTTTCCACCAGACCACCGGGCTCACAAGAGGTCTACTACACAGATACAGAAGCTTGCTCTGACACTACAGCGGAGAGTAGTCACTTAGGTAAGCTCAGCCTTTAGGGGGATTTGGTTGACAAGGCTAGTTGAGAGTAGTCACTTAGGTAAGCTCAGCCTTTAGGGGGATTTGGTTGGCAAGGCTAGTTGAGAGTAGTCACTTAGGTAAGCTCAGCCTTTAGGGGGATTTGGTTGGCAAGGCTAGTTGAGAGTAGCCACTTAGGTAAGCTCAGCCTTTAGGGGGATTTGGTTGGCAAGGCTAGTTGAGAGTAGTCACTTAGGTAAGCTCAGCCTTTAGGGGGATTTGGTTGGCAAGGCTAGTTGAGAGTAGCCACTTAGGTAAGCTCAGCCTTTAGGGGGATTTGGTTGGCAAGGCTAGTTGAGAGTAGTCACTTAGGTAAGCTCAGCCTTTAGGGGGATTTGGTTGGCAAGGCTAGTTGAGAGTAGCCACTTAGGTAAGCTCAGCCTTTAGGGGGATTTGGTTGACAAGGCTAGTTGAGAGTAGCCACTTAGGTAAGCTCAGCCTTTAGGGGGATTTGGTTGGCAAGGCTAGTTGAGAGTAGCCACTAAGGTAAGCTCAGCCTTTAGGGGGATTTGGTTGACTAGGCTAGTTGAGAGTAGTCACTTAGGTAAGCTCAGCCTTTAGGGGGAATTGGTTGGCAAGGCTAGTTGAGAGTAGCCACTTAGGTAAGCTCAGCCTTTAGGGGGATTTGGTTGACTAGGCTAGTTGAGAGTAGTCACTTAGGTAAGCTCAGCCTTTAGGGGGATTTGGTTGACAAGGCTAGTTGAGAGTAGTCACTTAGGTAAGCTCAGCCTTTAGGGGGAATTGGTTGGCAAGGCTAGTTGAGAGTAGCCACTTAGGTAAGCTCAGCCTTTAGGGGGATTTGGTTGACAAGGCTAGTTGAGAGTAGCCACTTAGCTCAGCCTTTAGGGGGATTTGGTTGACTAGGCTAGTTTGGTGAAACATAAGTTGTTTAGTAAAATATGAAAACATGACATATTGTGTAGAGTTAGGGGCAACATTATATGGCTGATGTTATTGTTACACCATATGGTTGATGTTACAGCTTTTAATCATGGGGCTAATGTTACAGCTTCTGATCATGGGGCTGATGTTACAGCTTCTGATCATGGGGCTGATGTTACAGCTTCTGATCATGGGGCTAATGTTACAGCTTCTGATCATGGGGCTGATGTTACAGCTTCTGATCATGGGGCTGATGTTACAGCTTCTGATCATGGGGCTAATGTTACAGCTTCTGATCATGGGGCTGATGTTACAGCTTCTGATCATGGGGCTGATGTTACAGCTTCTGATCATGGGGCTGATGTTACAGCTTCTGATCATGGGGCTGATGTTACAGCTTCTGATCATGGGGCTAATGTTACAGCTTCTGATCATGGGGCTGATGTTACAGCTTCTGATCATGGGGCTAATGTTACAGCTTCTGATCATGGGGCTGATGTTACAGCTTCTGATCATGGGGTTGATGTTATGACTTGACTCTCCAGGTTCTGATGATGCTCAAGCACCAAAACTGCCCGATTCTGTGTTTGGCAGCAGGAGGGAGCCTCCCTCATCATCTGGTATCTATGGTAACCGCAAGCCTAACTCAAAGGGTGCTGCTCTTGTAACTATCGATGAGAAATGTTCAGTAAGTGAGCTCATGATCTAGTTAGCACCTGGCTACTTGAGTACATAAGACCTGAGCTAAGTTCCCTTGATGTGTGTCCTCAGGTAGATGTGAGCTAAGTTCCCTTGATGTGTGTCCCCAGGTAGATGTGAGCTTAGTTCCCTTGATGTGTGTCCCCAGGTAGATGTGAGCTAAGTTCCCTTGATGTGTGTCCCCAGGTAGATGTGAGCTAAGTTCCCTTGATGTGTGTCCCTTGATGTGTGTCCCCAGGTAGATGTGAGCTAAGTTCCCTTGATGTGTGTCCCCAGGTAGATGTGAGCTTAGTTCCCTTGATGTGTGTCCCTTGATGTGTGTCCCCAGGTAGATGTGAGCTAAGTTCCCTTGATGTGTGTCCCCAGGTAGATGTGAGCTTAGTTCCCTTGATGTGTGTCCCTTGATGTGTGTCCTCAGGTAGATGTGAGCTAAGTTCCCTTGATGCGTGTCCCCAGGTAGATGTGAGCTAAGTTCCCTTGATGTGTGTCCCCAGGTAGATGTGAGCTAAGTTCCCTTGATGTGTGTCCCCAGGTAGATGTGAGCTAAGTTCCCTTGATGTGTGTCCCCAGGTAGATGTGAGCTTAGTTCCCTTGATGTGTGTCCCTTGATGTGTGTCCCCAGGTAGATGTGAGCTAAGTTCCCTTGATGTGTGTCCCCAGGTAGATGTGAGCTTAGTTCCCTTGATGTGTGTCCCTTGATGTGTGTCCTCAGGTAGATGTGAGCTAAGTTCCCTTGATGCGTGTCCCCAGGTAGATGTGAGCTAAGTTCCCTTGATGTGTGTCCCCAGGTAGATGTGAGCTAAGTTCCCTTGATGTGTGTCCCCAGGTAGATGTGAGCTTAGTTCCCTTGATGTGTGTCCCTTGATGTGTGTCCTCAGGTAGATGTGAGCTAAGTTCCCTTGATGCGTGTCCCCAGGTAGATGTGAGCTAAGTTCCCTTGATGCGTGTCCCCAGGTAGATGTGAGCTAAGTTCCCTTGATGTGTGTCCCCAGGTAGATGTGAGCTATGTTCCCTTGATGTGTGTCCCCAGGTAGATGTGAGCTTAGTTCCCTTGATGTGTGTCCCCAGGTAGATGATGAGATATCCCCAGCCTTCAGTGGTGAGGGAGATAAAGAACTGGAGGGAGGCAGGGGGAGTCATCCTTCTGGCCCTACAGAGGACACAAGACATCTGGACTCTGAACACAATGGTCACACTGGAAAAGTAGATGACACTAGACTAAATGGGGATCCAAGACAAGGGGGTGGGGATCCAAGACAGGGGGGTGGTGACCCACAACTGGGGGGTGGTGACCCACAACTGAGGGGTGGTGACCCACAACTGGGGGGTGGTGACCCAGGAGAGTCCAGACAGGATGGTAAACTGTACCCATCACATCTGGAGGATGGTGGCAGCAGGCAGAAGGTCAACCACAGAGAAGGTGCCTGGATGAGAGAAGCCCACCAGCCAGTCCCATCATCAGACAGCCATAGAGAAGGTGCCTGGATGAGAGAAGCCCACCAGCCAGTCCCATCACCACACAGGCCACAGAAAGCCAGGTATTGACATCAGTACCACCTGACCTATTGACCTAGTTTCATTTACATGACCAGAGCTGACCTATTGACCTAAATTTTGTTTTCAGGACTGTGGAGCTGACCTTGGAGAACATGAGCTCAGACAGTCAGGCAACTGACCTAGATGAGGAGCCGATGAGTCGTAGAGCCAGACTACTGAGCCAAGCTTTGGCCCAGAGCTGTGAGACAGACTTGAATGGGCTGTGGGAAGAGTTCAAGGCCATGAATGAGTCAAGTGAGAGCAGCCTGAGCAGCAGCAGGCTGGGAGACCTGGCCGACCTCCTGAGGAACCCGTCACGTCACCTGATAGCCCAGTACATGAGGGACAGGGAGGAGTACCGTACACACAGGCAGCTCAGGCAGGCACACAACGCAGGGAGCCAAGGGGACCCCACACGCAGGCAGGCACTCAACGCAGGGAGCCAGGGGGACCCCACACGCAGGCAGGCACTCAACGCAGGGAGCCAGGGGGACCCCACACGCAGGCAGGCACTCAACGCAGGGAGCCAGGGGGACCCCACACGCAGGCAGGCACACAACGCAGGGAGCCAGGGGGACCCCACACGCAGGCAGGCACACAACGCAGGGAGCCAGGGGGACCCCACACGCAGGCAGGCCACCACTCTAGTGGACAAATCCCAGGCTGGTAATGGAGGGAAAAGCAAGCAAGTGAAAGTTGCTGAAGGCATGGAGCGTGTCCGTCATTGCATAGCATTGCAGAGAGAACAGTCGTCTAGTCTTGACCACAGCAGTCCATTGTCTGGGGACAGCACAAGTGTCAAGGACAGCAGCACAGAAGTTCAGCACAGGAAGAGGTCACACCCACCCAGGTGTGCTCTAGAGCTGCTCAGGCTGGTCAAGGATGGTCAACTGACAGCTGATGAAGCCTACTGGCTAGCTCAGCAGAGAATCAATCACAATGGTGTGGACCACAGCAAGAAGCCCCGCCCCCAACACAATGGTGTGGACCACAGCAAGAAGCCCCGCCCCCAACACAATGGTGTGGACCACAGCAAGAAGCCCCGCCCCCAACACAATGGTGTGGACCACAGCAAGAAGCCCCGCCCCCATCAGCAGTACTCACCTTATGCCAGAGTGGAGAACTCCATTGTGCCATCACTTGATGTCACAGCTCATAACAGTAACGATGGTAAGAAGCATTCATTTATTCACACATTCATTTGGACCTTCGTAACATCACAGATGTTTGTATGACCTTACCATCATAATACACAGATGTTTGTATGACCTTAACATCATAATACACAGATGTTTGTATGACCTTAACATCATAATACACAGATGTTTGTATGACCTTAACATCATAATACACAGATGTTTGTATGGCCTTAACATCATATTACACAGATGTTTGTATGACCTTAACATCATATTACACAGATGTTTGTATGACCTTAACATCATATTACACAGATGTTTGTATGACCTAAACATCATATTACACAGATGTTTGTATGACCTTAACATCATATTACACAGATGTTTGTATGACCTTAACATCATAATACACAGATGTTTGTATGGCCTTAACATCATATTACACAGATGTTTGTATGACCTTAACATCATATTACACAGATGTTTGTATGACCTTAACATCATATTACACAGATGTTTGTATGACCTAAACATCATATTACACAGATGTTTGTATGACCTTAACATCATATTACACAGATGTTTGTATGACCTTAACATCATATTACACAGATGTTTGTATGACCTTAACATCATATTACACAGATGTTTGTATGACCTAAACATCATATTACACAGATGTTTGTATGACCGTAACATCATATTACACAGATGTTTGTATGACCTTAACATCATATTACACAGATGTTTGTATGACCTTAACATCATATTACACAGATGTTTGTATGACCTTAACATGTTTGTAAGTTGCTACTTCCTCCAGTAATAACTGTCAAACTTGATTGTAGCAACAATCAATGCATTGGCTTGACCTGTCCCTACAGGGTACACAGACAAGAGACCTGTCCAGGACCTACCATCTAAAGACAGTTTTTGGAAGAAATCTGATGTTCCCCCTGGTATAGCTGCCAGTTTGTGGAAAAAGGTGAACTCGGTTTTAGTATTGTAGATGTCACTGTGCCAGGTTGTATGTTAGATGTCACTGTGCCAAGTTGTATGTTAGATGTCACTGTGCCAAGTTGTATGTCATATGTCACTGTGCCAGGTTGTATGTTAGATGTCACTGTGCCAAGTTGTATGTCATATGTCACTGTGCCAGGTTGTATGTTAGATGTCACTGTGCCAAGTTGTATGTTAGATGTCACTGTGCCAAGTTGTATGTTAGATGTCACTGTGCCAGGTTGTATGTTAGATGTCACTGTGCCAAGTTGTATGTTAGATGTCACTGTGCCAGGTTGTATGTCATATGTCACTGTGCCAAGTTGTATGTTAGATGTCACTGTGCCAGTTTGTATGTCATATGTCACTGTGCCAGGTTATATGTCACTGTGCCAGGTTGTATGTTAGATGTCACTGTGCCAGGTTGTGTGTTAGATGTCACTGTGCCAGGTTGTATGTCATATGTCACTGTGCCAGGTTGTATGTTATATGTTACTGTGCCAGGTTGTATGTCATATGTCACTGTGTCAGGTTGTATGTTAGATGTCACTGGCAGGTTGCATGTCATATGTCACTGTGCCAGGTTGTATGTCATATGTCACTGTGCCAGGTTGTGTGTTAGATGTCACTGTGCCAGGTTGTATGTTAGATGTCACTGTGCCAAGTTGTATGTTAGATGTCACTGTGCCAGTTTGTATGTCATATGTCACTGTGCCAGGTTATATGTCACTGTGCCAGGTTGTATGTTAGATGTCACTGTGCCAGGTTGTGTGTTAGATGTCACTGTGCCAGGTTGTATGTCATATGTCACTGTGCCAGGTTGTATGTTATATGTTACTGTGCCAGGTTGTATGTCATATGTCACTGTGTCAGGTTGTATGTTAGATGTCACTGGCAGGTTGCATGTCATATGTCACTGTGCCAGGTTGTATGTCATATGTCACTGTGCCAGGTTGTGTGTTAGATGTCACTGTGCCAGGTTGTATGTTAGATGTCACTGTGCCAAGTTGTATGTTAGATGTCACTGTGCCAGTTTGTATGTCATATGTCACTGTGCCAGGTTATATGTCACTGTGCCAGGTTGTATGTTAGATGTCACTGTGCCAGGTTGTGTGTTAGATGTCACTGTGCCAGGTTGTATGTCATATGTCACTGTGCCAGGTTGTATGTTATATGTTACTGTGCCAGGTTGTATGTCATATGTCACTGTGTCAGGTTGTATGTTAGATGTCACTGGCAGGTTGCATGTCATATGTCACTGTGCCAGGTTGTATGTCATATGTCACTGTGCCAGGTTGTGTGTTAGATGTCACTGTGCCAGGTTGTATGTTAGATGTCACTGTGCCAGGTTGTATGTTAGATGTCACTGTGCCAGGTTGTATGTCATATGTCACTGCCAGGTTGTATGTCATATGTCACTGTGCCAGGTTGTATGTCATATGTCACTGTGCCAGGTTATATGTCACTGTGCCAGGTTGTATGTTAGATGTCACAGTGCCAGGTTGTATGTTAGATGTCACTGTGCCAGGTTGTATGTCATATGTCACTGTGCCAGGTTGTATGTTATATGTCACTGTGCCAGGTTGTGTGTTAGATGTCACTGTGCCAGGTTGTATGTCATATGTCACTGTGCCAAGTTGTATGTTAGATGTCACTGGCAGGTTGCATGTCATATGTCACTGTGCCAGGTTGTATGTCATATGTCACTGTGCCAGGTTGTGTGTTAGATGTCACTGCCAAGTTGTATGTCATATGTCACTGTGCCAGGTTGTATGTTAGATGTCACTGGCAGGTTGCATGTCATATGTCACTGTGCCAGGTTGTATGTCAAATGTCACTGCCAAGTTGTATGTCATATGTCACTGTGCCAAGTTGTATGTTAGATGTCACTGTGCCAGGTTGTATGTCATATGTCACTGTGCCAGGTTATATGTCACTGTGCCAGGTTGTATGTTAGATGTCACTGTGCCAGGTTGTGTGTTAGATGTCACTGTGCCAGGTTGTGTGTTAGATGTCACTGTGCCAGGTTGTGTGTTAGATGTCACTGTGCCAGGTTGTATGTTAGATGTCACTGTGCCAGGTTGTGTGTTAGATGTCACTGTGCCAGGTTGTATGTTAGATGTCACTGTGCCAGGTTGTGTGTTAGATGTCACTGTGCCAGGTTGTATGTTAGATGTCACTGTGCCAGGTTGTATGTCATATGTCACTGTGCCAGGTTGTATGTCATATGTCACTGTGCCAGGTTGTATGTTATATGTCACTGTGCCAGGTTGTATGTCATATGTCACTGTGTCAGGTTGTATGTTAGATGTCACTGGCAGGTTGCATGTCATATGTCACTGTGCCAGGTTGTATGTTATATGTTACTGTGCCAGGTTGTATGTCATATGTCACTGTGTCAGGTTGTATGTTAGATGTCACTGGCAGGTTGCATGTCATATGTCACTGTGCCAGGTTGTATGTTAGATGTCACTGTGCCAGGTTGTATGTCATATGTCACTGTGCCAGGTTGTATGTTATATGTCACTGTGCCAAGTTGTATGTCAAATGTCACTGCCAGGTTGTATGTTAGATGTCACTGTGCCAGGTTACATGTCATATGTCACTGTGCCAGGTTACATGTCATATGTCACTGTGCCAGGTTACATGTCTGTGTTTTTTGCCAGGTGGTACAGAAAGATCCCCTGGCCAGCAAAACTAACCACTATGAGGTGGACCCACTTGAAGACAAGATAGAATATGTTCTAGACAACAAGCACCAAACTAACTCTCTCACACTACAGGTAGGCTCTCTGCTTTAGTTCTCTCTTTTCTTCTAGAATGTACATATCTTCAACCTGGGAATATTGTAATGTTGTCATTCTAGAAATAAGTTAGTTAATAAAATGTTGTAATTGATCTAAGCCTACCATTTTTACCATTCAAATCATTGGTTAGTGACCTGGTCTAATCCACTAATTCTTGAGGGAGAAAGTGTTAAATCCTTGGTTAGTGAAAGTGTTAAATCCTTGGTTAGTGAAAGTGTTAAATCCTTGGTTAGTGAAAGTGTTAAATCCTTGGTTAGTGAAAGTGTTAAATCCTTGGTTAGTGAAAGTGTTAAATCCTTGGTTAGTGAAAGTGTTAAATCCTTGGTTAGTGAAAGTGTTAAATCCTTGGTTAGTGAAAGTGTTTGATGCTTTGGGTAAACAGAAGTGCCAGATGATAGCAGCGTTGAATGGTGTGGGAAGATTGAAAGTGTTTGATGCTTTGGGTAAACAGAAGTGCCAGATGATAGCAGCTTTGAATGGTGTGGGAAGATTGAAAGTGTTTGATGCTTTGGGTAAACAGAAGTGCCAGATGATAGCAGCATTGAATGGTGTGGGAAGATTGAAAGTGTTTGATGCTTTGGGTAAACAGAAGTGCCAGATGATAGCAGCTTTGAATGGTGTGGGAAGATTGAAAGTGTTTGATGCTTTGGGTAAACAGAAGTGCCAGATGATAGCAGCATTGAATGGTGTGGGAAGATTGAAAGTGTTTGATGCTTTGGGTAAACAGAAGTGCCAGATGATAGCAGCTTTGAATGGTGTGGGAAGGTTTCCTTGTAAATCTTGTCTCACATCCCCTCATCTCTACGATGAATTTATGTCCGTATTTTTTACTCCATGCTTTGTGGCAATGTTGACAGGAAGCTTTTCTAGCCAACAAGCAAAGTTTCATCTCAAAGTCACGCCAGAGACAGAAGCGACTTCAACTGGCCAGGGAGAGCAGAAGGTTTCAAGAATGTCTTCGCTTGGAGAGGGAAGCCATCTTTGCCCAGCAGCCTCCCCCCAGCAGCAAGCCTGCCCACCCATACAGTGGTAGGTTAGCCAGCCATATGACCCATACAGTGGTAGGTTAGCCAGCCATATGACCCATACAGTGCTAGGTTAGCCAGCCATATGACCCCACCATACAGTTCTAGGTTAGCCAGCCATATGACCCATACAGTTCTAGGTTAGCCAGCCATATGACCCATACAGTGCTAAGTTAGCCAGCCATATGACCCATACAGTGCTAAGTTAGCCAGCCATATGACCCATACAGTGGTAGGTTAGCCAGCCATATGACCCATACAGTGCTAGGTTAGCCAGCCATATGACCCATACAGTGCTAGGTTAGCCAGCCATATGACCCATACAGTTCTAGGTTAGCCAGCCATATGACCCATACAGTGCTAGGTTAGCCAGCCATATGACCCATACAGTGGTAGGTTAGCCAGCCATATGACCCATACAGTGGTAGGTTAGCCAGCCATATGACCCATACAGTGCTAGGTTAGCCAGCCATATGACCCATACAGTGGTAGGTTAGCCAGCCATATGACCCATACAGTGGTAGGTTAGCCAGCCATATGACTCATACAGTGGTAGGTTAGCCAGCCATATGACCCATACAGTGGTAGGTTAGCCAGCCATATGACCCATACAGTGGTAGGTTAGCCAGCCATATGACCCCACCATACAGTGCTAGGTTAGCCAGCCATATGACCCATACAGTGCTAGGTTAGCCAGCCATATGACCCCACCATACAGTTCTAGGTTAGCCAGCCATATGACCCATACAGTGGTAGGTTAGCCAGCCATACGACCCATACAGTGCTAGGTTAGCCAGCCATATGACCCATACAGTGGTAGGTTAGCCAGCCATATGACCCATACAGTGGTAGGTTAGCCAGCCATATGACCCATACAGTGCTAGGTTAGCCAGCCATATGACCCATACAGTGGTAGGTTAGCCAGCCATATGACCCATACAGTTCTAGGTTAGCCAGCCATATGACCCATACAGTGGTAGGTTAGCCAGCCATATGACTCATACAGTGGTAGGTTAGCCAGCCATATGACCCATACAGTGCTAGGTTAGCCAGCCATATGACCCATACATAGCTAGGTTAGCCAGCCATATGACCCATACAGTGCTAAGTTAGCCAGCCATATGACCCATACAGTGGTAGGTTAGCCAGCCATATGACCCATACAGTGCTAGGTTAGCCAGCCATATGACCCATACAGTGGTAGGTTAGCCAGCCATATGACCCATACAGTGCTAAGTTAGCCAGCCATATGACCCCACCATACAGTGCTAGGTTAGCCAGCCATATGACCCATACATAGCTAGGTAAGCCAGCCATATGACCCATACAGTGGTAGGTTAGCCAGTCATATGACCCATACAGTGCTAGGTTAGCCAGCCATATGACCCATACAGTTCTAGGTTAGCCAGCCATATGACCCATACAGTTCTAGGTTAGCCAGCCATATGACCCATACAGTGCTAAGTTAGCCAGCCATATGACCCATACAGTGGTAGGTTAGCCAGCCATATGACCCGTACAGTGGTAGGTTAGCCAGCCATATGACCCATACAGTGGTAGGTTAGCCAGCCATATGACCCATACAGTTCTAGGTTAGCCAGCCATATGACCCATACAGTGGTAGGTTAGCCAGCTATATGACCCATACAGTGGTAGGTTAGCCAGCCATATGACCCATACAGTGCTAGGTTAGCCAGCCATATGACCCATACAGTGGTAGGTTAGCCAGCCATATGACCCATACAGTTCTAGGTTAGCCAGCCATATGACCCATACAGTGGTAGGTTAGCCAGCCATATGACCCCACCATACAGTGCTAGGTTAGCCAGCCATATGACCCATACAGTGCTAGGTTAGCCAGCCATATGACCCATACAGTGCTAGGTTAGCCAGCCATATGACCCCACCATACAGTTCTAGGTTAGCCAGCCATATGACCCATACAGTGGTAGGTTAGCCAGCCATACGACCCATACAGTGCTAGGTTAGCCAGCCATATGACCCATACAGTGGTAGGTTAGCCAGCCATATGACCCCACCATACAGTTCTAGGTTAGCCAGCCATATGACCCATACAGTGGTAGGTTAGCCAGCCATATGACCCATACAGTTCTAGGTTAGCCAGCCATATGACCCATACAGTGCTAAGTTAGCCAGCCATATGACCCATACAGTGGTAGGTTAGCCAGCCATATGACCCATACAGTGGTAGGTTAGCCAGCCATATGACCCATACAGTGGTAGGTTAGCCAGCCATATGACCCATACAGTGGTAGGTTAGCCAGCCATATGACCCCTATAGTGCTAAGTTAGCCAGCCATATGACCCATACAGTGCTAGGTTAGCCAGCCATATGACCCATACAGTGGTAGGTTAGCCAGCCATATGACCCATACAGTGCTAAGTTAGCCAGCCATATGACCCATACAGTTCTAGGTTAGCCAGCCATATGACCCATACAGTGGTAGGTTAGCCAGCCATATGACCCATACAGTTCTAGGTTAGCCAGCCATATGACCCATACAGTGCTAGGTTAGCCAGCCATATGACCCATACAGTGGTAGGTTAGCCAGCTATATGACCCATACAGTGCTAGGTTAGCCAGCCATATGACCCATACAGTGGTAGGTTAGCCAGCCATATGACCCATACAGTTCTAGGTTAGCCAGCCATATGACCCATACAGTTCTAGGTTAGCCAGCCATATGACCCATACAGTGGTAGGTTAGCCAGCCATATGACCCATATAGTGCTAAGTTAGCCAGCCATATGACCCATACCGTGCTAGATTAGCCAGCCATATGACCCATACAGTGGTAGGTTAGCCAGCCATATGACCCATACAGTGGTAGGTTAGCCAGCCATATGACCCATACAGTGGTAGGTTAGCCAGCCATATGACCCCACCATACAGTGCTAGGTTAGCCAGCCATATGACCCATACAGTGGTAGGTTAGCCAGTCATATGACCCATACAGTGGTAGGTTAGCCAGCCATATGACCCCACCATACAGTTCTAGGTTAGCCAGCCATATGACCCATACAGTGGTAGGTTAGCCAGCCATATGACCCATACAGTGGTAGGTTAGCCAGCCATATGACCCATATAGTGCTAAGTTAGCCAGCCATATGACCCATACAGTGGTAGGTTAGCCAGCCATATGACCCATACAGTGGTAGGTTAGCCAGTCATATGGCCCATACAGTGCTAGGTTAGCCAGCCATATGACCCCACCATACAGTGGTAGGTTAGCCAGCCATATGACCCATACAGTGGTAGGTTAGCCAGCCATATGACCCATACAGTGGTAGGTTAGCCAGCCATATGACCCATACAGTGCTAAGTTAGCCAGCCATATGACCCATACAGTGGTAGGTTAGCCAGCCATATGACCCATACAGTGCTAGGTTAGCCAGCCATATAACCCATACATAGCTAGGTTAGCCAGCCATATGACCCATACAGTGGTAGGTTAGCCAGCCATATGACCCATATAGTGCTAAGTTAGCCAGCCATATGACCCATACAGTGCTAGGTTAGCCAGCCATATGACCCATACAGTGCTAAGTTAGCCAGCCATATGACCCATACAGTGGTAGGTTAGCCAGCCATATGACCCATACAGTGCTAGGTTAGCCAGCCATATAACCCATACATAGCTAGGTTAGCCAGCCATATGACCCATACAGTGGTAGGTTAGCCAGCCATATGACCCATATAGTGCTAAGTTAGCCAGCCATATGACCCATACAGTGCTAGGTTAGCCAGCCATATGACCCATACAGTGCTAAGTTAGCCAGCCATATGACCCATACAGTGGTAGGTTAGCCAGCCATATGACCCATACAGTGGTAGGTTAGCCAGCCATATGACCCATACAGTTCTAGGTTAGCCAGCCATATGACCCATACAGTGGTAGGTTAGCCAGCCATATGACCCATATATAGCTAGGTTAGCCAGCCATATGACCTATACAGTTCTAGGTTAGCCAGCCATATGACCCATACATAGCTAGGTTAGCCAGCCATATGACCCATACAGTTCTAGGTTAGCCAGCCATATGACCCATACAGTGCTAGGTTAGCCAGCCATATGACCCATACAGTTCTAGGTTAGCCAGCCATATGACCCATACAGTGCTAGGTTAGCCAGCCATATGACCCATACAGTGCTAGGTTAGCCAGCCATATGACCCATACAGTTCTAGGTTAGCCAGCCATATGACCCATACAGTGGTAGGTTAGCCAGCCATATGACCCATACAGTGCTAGGTTAGCCAGCCATATGACCCATACAGTGGTAGGTTAGCCAGCCATATGACCCATACAGTTCTAGGTTAGCCAGCCATATGACCCATACAGTGGTAGGTTAGCCAGCCATATGACCCATACAGTTCTAGGTTAGCCAGCCATATGACCCATACAGTTCTAGGTTAGCCAGCCATATGACCCATACAGTGGTAGGTTAGCCAGCCATATGACCCATACAGTTCTAGGTTAGCCAGCCATATGACCCATACAGTTCTAGGTTAGCCAGCCATATGACCCATACAGTGCTAGGTTAGCCAGCCATATGACCCATACAGTGGTAGGTTAGCCAGCCATATGACCCATACAGTGCTAGGTTAGCCAGCCATATGACCCATACAGTGGTAGGTTAGCCAGCCATATGACCCATACAGTTCTAGGTTAGCCAGCCATATGACCCATACAGTGGTAGGTTAGCCAGCCATATGACCCCACCATACATAGCTAGGTTAGCCAGCCATATGACCCCACCATACAGTTCTAGGTTAGCCAGCCATATGACCCATACAGTGGTAGGTTAGCCAGCCATATGACCCATACAGTGGTAGGTTAGCCAGCCATATGACCCATACAGTTCTAGGTTAGCCAGCCATATGACCCCACCATACAGTGGTAGGTTAGCCAGCCATATGACCCATACAGTGGTAGGTTAGCCAGCCATATGACCCATACAGTTCTAGGTTAGCCAGCCATATGACCCATACAGTTCTAGGTTAGCCAGCCATATGACCCATACAGTGGTAGGTTAGCCAGCCATATGACCCCACCATACAGTTCTAGGTTAGCCAGCCATATGACCCATACAGTTCTAGGTTAGCCAGCCATATGACCCATACAGTGGTAGGTTAGCCAGCCATATGACCCATACAGTGGTAGGTTAGCCAGCCATATGACCCATACAGTGGTAGGTTAGCCAGCCATATGACCCATACAGTGGTAGGTTAGCCAGTCATATGACCCATACAGTTCTAGGTTAGCCAGCCATATGACCCATACAGTTCTCGGTTAGCCAGCCATATGACCCATACAGTGCTAGATTAGCCCGCCATTTTGTTTTGTGTTTTTGTCTGGAATGTGGAAGCCAATCTTATCACATGAAATATGGGTAGTGTACACTGATCAAATTGTGTCATCCCATTCAGTATATAAACCTGCCAAATGACTGTTTCTGTTCTCAGATAATTTGTTCCCATTCAGTATATAAACCTGCCAAATGACTGTTTCTGTTCTCAGATAAATTGTTCCCATTCAGTATTTAAACCTGCCAAATGACTGTTTCTGTTCTCAGATAATTTGTTCCCATTCAGTATATAAACCTGCCAAATGACTGTTTCTGTTCTCAGATAATTTGTTCCCATTCAGTATATAAACCTGCCAAATGACTGTTTCTGTTCTCAGATAATTTGTTCCCATTCAGTATATAAACCTGCCAAATGACTGTTTCTGTTCTCAGATAATTTGTTCCCATTCAGTATATAAACCTGCCAAATGACTGTTTCTGTTCTCAGATAAATTGTTCCCATTCAGTATTTAAACCTGCCAAATGACTGTTTCTGTTCTCAGATAATTTGTTCCCATTCAGTATATAAACCTGCCAAATGACTGTTTCTGTTCTCAGATAATTTGTTCCCATTCAGTATATAAACCTGCCAAACGACTGTTTCTGTTCTCAGATAATTTGTTCCCATTCAGTATATAAACCTGCCAAATGACTGTTTCTGTTCTCAGATAATTTGTTCCCATTCAGTATATAAACCTGCCAAATGACTGTTTCTGTTCTCAGATAATTTGTTCCCATTCAGTATATAAACCTGCCAAATGACTGTTTCTGTTCTCAGATAATTTGTTCCCATTTAGTATATAAACCTGCCAAATGACTGTTTCTGTTCTCAGATAATTTGTTCCCATTCAGTATATAAACCTGCCAAATGACTGTTTCTGTTCTCAGATAATTTGTTCCCATTCAGTATTTAAACCTGCCAAATGACTGTTTCTGTTCTCAGATAATTTGTTCCCATTCAGTATATAAACCTGCCAAATGACTGTTTCTGTTCTCAGATAATTTGTTCCCATTCAGTATATAAACCTGCCAAATGACTGTTTCTGTTCTCAGATAATTTGTTCCCATTCAGTATATAAACCTGCCAAATGACTGTTTCTGTTCTCAGATAATTTGTTCCCATTCAGTATATAAACCTGCCAAATGACTGTTTCTGTTCTCAGATAATTTGTTCCCATTCAGTATATAAACCTGCCAAATGACTGTTTCTGTTCTCAGATAATTTGTTCCCATTCAGTATTTAAACCTGCCAAATGACTGTTTCTGTTCTCAGATAATTTGTTCCCATTCAGTATATAAACCTGCCAAATGACTGTTTCTGTTCTCAGATAATTTGTTCCCATTCAGTATATAAACCTGCCAAATGACTGTTTCTGTTCTCAGATAATTTGTTCCCATTCAGTATATAAACCTGCCAAATGGCTGTTTCTGTTCTCAGATAATTTGTTCCCATTCAGTATATAAACCTGCCAAATGACTGTTTCTGTTCTCAGATAATTTGTTCCCATTCAGTATATAAACCTGCCAAATGACTGTTTCTGTTCTCAGATAATTTGTTCCTCCCCAAGAGAAGAGTGTTGACCAGACAGGAGATGAAAGAATTAACTCACAAGTAAGTAGGGGATGAGGGACAGAGTGGCCTAGTGGTAGAGAGCTGGACTGCTCACCTGTAATCCTCTAGTTTGGATCTTAGTTTAAGGCAGTAGCTCTGATGGGTACCTAACTCACGTTAGAGTAAGTAAAGGCGGCTGGGCATAGCAGAGGCGTAGCGAAGGGGGGGCAGGGGGGTACATATGTCCCCGGGCGCCGACCTTAGAGGGCGCCAAAATGGGTTGAAAAAAAAATTAAAATATTATTTTAGCTGCATTTTCGCTTTATAAATATACAAAAATATATGGGGGGGGGGGTGCAAATCGAAACTTTGAAGGGGGGGGGGGGGTGCAAATCTAAAATTGAAAGGTTGATCCCGAGGGGGGGCGCCAATTTGAAAGTTTGTCCCCGGGCGCCGGGAAGGGTCGCTACGCCTCTGGGGCATAGTGCTGACCACACTATCTCTTCATATGCAGAGGTCACAGAAACAAGTGAACTCTACTTCACTTGCCCCATAGACCGTCAGGTTTTGAAGGGACCATTACTTTTAGTAGAGAAGGTCAACAACAACTATTATTGCTGGGAAATAAATGGTTTTCAAATCATGCAGAAGTATATTCCCACGTTTTCTTTAACTTGCTTTCGCGTCTGGTTTTCCAATCAAATCTTGCGATCGAAATTTCGGGAACTTCCCAGTTAGCTAGCGCGCTGAAATTTTCAGGGAAGCTTTGTTTCTGATGACAATACAATATTCAATTGTTATTATTACTAAATTGATTCATGGAAACATTTTATTGATCATTTTAGACCCCTATATGTTTGTACAAAAAAGGACATAACCTAGTAATTGTAATTTGATATAAAACAAGGTTCGGTACTTTCCCTCTTGTGGCTTACTGAAGGAGAGCAGGCGATTGGCTGAGTAGTGGTCACACGGTGTTTGTGTACAAACACCCGGAACGTAACAACTGGTGGCCAGTATGGGGGAGACGATATGGTCGAGTGGTTGGGCACACGATTGCTAACCCACTCGACACGGGTTCAAATCTATGTGTTCTAGTCAGTAACGTATTCACACAACAAAGCCATAACCCGCCCCTTGTAAAAACAATGCTTCGTGTCTAACTTCCAACTTTTATTCCGTCTCAATTCTTTACACACAACAGACCAGCCCTCGTCCTAACCGCTATCAACTAACCCCTGACAATCATTCACTCCACCTTTTATACCGCATTCGACCTTGGGATAACAATACACAAACACACCGGGGTTACAACAGTACTTTCCCTCTTCTGGCTTACTGAAGGAGCAAGCACGCGATTGACTGAGTAGTGGTCACGCGGTGTTTGTGTACAAAGGAAGTAGAATGGTGATGGTCGAATGGTTTGCACGCGAGGGCAAAATGGTGAAAGAAACGGCAACACAGAAGAAACGTCGATTGGAAAAGGCACGTGTTTTTTACGAGTTGTCTTCGTTTACCCAAAAAAAAGGTGAATGCGAAAAGATAAAATCGATAGCAAGATTTTAATGCAAACAAACAGACAAAGACTAAAAAGTAGAAAATAATTATCATTAAAAAAGTTTTTAAAAACCCACGTTTTCTGATTGAACTAAAAAGTAGAAAATAAATGCTATACATCACAATAATGCAAGCGATCACTCTACTATAAGCGATGAAAAACGTGGGGGGCCGTGATTTTCTTAAACTTTAGTTTCTAATACTGTTGACTCTCTACAAGCTCCCTAATAAAACTCAATAGTATTATCTAATCAATAGTAATATAACTTTTACATCTTATATTAACAATGACCGATAAAAAACTTTTACTTCGGCGCCCCACGTTTTTCATCAAACATTTTGATTTGTTTTATTTATACAGACCACCAATAGCTCAATTATTCAGCCATATTACAAAAAATAATCTCAGCCATTCCAATTTCATCAAAGCTGTTGAGCTAAAAAAAAAATTTTAAAAACAGAATGAATGAATTTTATTTAAAAAAAAACTAATAGTTGAAAAAGTGTGGAGGGAAAAGTAGCCATTATTTTCATGGGCCATTCAGGCCCTTGGTCTTCTGAGTTCATTTCAACAGAAGGAAATACTGAAATAACTGTTGGCCTTTGTTATTGTAAATTATGTGTTCAATACTGAAATAAATGTTGGCCTTTGTTATTGTAAATTATGTGTTCAATAAATTTATGTAGGAAAATATGATAAAGCCATGAGTTAGAAATGAGAATTGAGTTGTGTAAATAACTTGTTGACTAGGCGTTATAAAAGTTGTGTAAATAACTTGTTGACTAGGCAGAAATGAGAATTGAGTTGTGTAAATAACTTGTTGACTAGGCAGAAATGAGAATTGAGTTGTGTAAATAACTTGTTGACTAGGCAGAAATGAGAATTGAGTTGTGTAAATAACTTGTTGACTAGGCAGAAATGAGAATTGAGTTGTGTAAATAACTTGTTGACTAGGCAGAAATGAGAATTGAGTTGTGTAAATAACTTGTTGACTAGGCAGAAATGAGAATTGAGTTGTGTAAATAACTTGTTGACTAGGCAGAAATGAGAATTGAGTTGTGTAAATAACTTGTTGACTAGGCGTTATAAAAGTTGTGTAAATAACTTGTTGACTAGGCGTTACAAGAAGCTGCCTGAAGTCCTTGAGAGACAGGAGCTGGATCAACGCAAGGCACAGTGTCAGCTCAATAAACTCAGAGCTCAAATCTTCAATCATGTAAGTGACACTAGAGCTCAAACTATGTACACACTATGTACACATTAGTTACTGTCAGAACACTATGTACACATTAGTAACTGTCAGAACACACTATGTACACATTAGTTACTGTCAGAACACTATGTACACATTAGTTACTGTCAGAACACACTATGTACACATTAGTTACTGTCAGAACACCCTATGTACACATTAGTTACTGTCAGAACACACTATGTACACATTAGTTACTGTCAGAACACACTATGTACACATTAGTTACTGTCAGAACACACTATGTACACATTACTGACGCATTGTTTTTCCTTAACAGAGAGTCCAGAGAGAGACTTTAAGGAAGTTCTGTTTGAGAGGGACCCATTGACCCAGACATCTCTAGAGAGGGACCCATTGACCCAGACATCTCTAGAGAGGGACCCATTGACCCAGACATCTCTAGAGAGGGACCCACTGACCCAGACATCTCTAGAGAGGGACCCACTGACCCAGACATCTCTAGAGAGGGACCCACTGACCCAGACATCTCTAGAGAGGGACCCACTGACCCAGACATCTCTAGAGAGGGACCCACTGACCCAGACATCTCTAGAGAGGGACCCATTGACCCAGACATCTCTAGAGAGGGACCCACTGACCCAGACATCTCTAGAGAGGGACCCATTGACCCAGACATCTCTAGAGAGGGACCCACTGACCCAGACATCTCTAGAGAGGGACCCACTGACCCAGACATCTCTAGAGAGGGACCCATTGACCCAGACATCTCTAGAGAGGGACCCACTGACCCAGACATCTCTAGAGAGGGACCCATTGACCCAGACATCTCTAGAGAGGGACCCACTGACCCAGACATCTCTAGAGAGGGACCCACTGACCCAGACATCTCTAGAGAGGGACCCACTGACCCAGACATCTCTAGAGAGGGACCCACTGACCCAGACATCTCTAGAGAGGGACCCACTGACCCAGACATCTCTAGAGAGGGACCCATTGACCCAGACATCTCTAGAGAGGGACCCATTGACCCAGACATCTCTAGAGAGAGACCCATTGACCCAGACATCTCTAGAGAGGGACCCATTGACCCAGACATCTCTAGAGAGGGACCCACTGACCCAGACATCTCTAGAGAGGGACCCATTGACCCAGACATCTCTAGAGAGGGACCCACTGAACCAGACATCTCTAGAGAGGGACCCACTGACCCAGACATCTCTAGAGAGGGACCCATTGACCCAGACATCTCTAGAGAGGGACCCACTGACCCAGACATCTCTAGAGAGGGACCCACTGACCCAGACATCTCTAGAGAGGGACCCACTGACCCAGACATCTCTAGAGAGGGACCCATTGACCCAGACATCTCTAGAGAGGGACCCACTGAACCAGACATCTCTAGAGAGGGACCCACTGACCCAGACATCTCTAGAGAGGGACCCACTGACCCAGACATCTCTAGAGAGGGACCCACTGAACCAGACATCTCTAGAGAGGGACCCACTGACCCAGACATCTCTAGAGAGGGACCCATTGACCCAGACATCTCTAGAGAGGGACCCACTGACCCAGACATCTCTAGAGAGGGACCCATTGACCCAGACATCTCTAGAGAGGGACCCACTGACCCAGACATCTCTAGAGAGGGACCCATTGACCCAGACATCTCTAGAGAGGGACCCACTGACCCAGACATCTCTAGAGAGGGACCCATTGACCCAGACATCTCTAGAGAGGGACCCACTGACCCAGACATCTCTAGAGAGGGACCCACTGACCCAGACATCTCTAGAGAGGGACCCACTGAACCAGACATCTCTAGAGAGGGACCCACTGACCCAGACATCTCTAGAGAGGGACCCACTGACCCAGACATCTCTAGAGAGGGACCCACTGACCCAGACATCTCTAGAGAGGGACCCACTGACCCAGACATCTCTAGAGAGGGACCCACTGACCCAGACATCTCTAGAGAGGGACCCACTGACCCAGACATCTCTAGAGAGGGACCCACTGACCCAGACATCTCTAGAGAGGGACCCATTGACCCAGACATCTCTAGAGAGGGACCCAGAGACAACCTCCTCTGTGTGATAAGAAAATATGAAACATTTAATTCTTATTTTGTAGAAGATTAGCTTCAACTAATTGTACTTGTACCATTTTATTCTGACCAATCTGTTCATTCTTTAGAAATAAAAATATTTAATCCTCTCCCATAGTCAACTCTGTTACTTATTTTTTACAATTCAAACTATCCCACTAGAAGTTTCATTCTTTCAATTTTCTTTCTCATATTTTCTGCTAGTTTTCAAATACCATTCCTCTTACATTCATTGCTTTATTTTTTTTTTTAACAAGAGATAAGAGCTGGGTCCTACTAATTAATTAATTTGAGCTCCAGATTCAAACTCAACTAAGTCATGAGCTCTACCATCTGAACACACTGTCCCCTACCATCTGAACACACTGTCCCCTACCATCTGAACACACTGTCCCCCTACCCTACCATCTGAACACACTGTCCCCCTACCATCTGAACACACTGTCCCCTACCATCTGAACACACTGTCCCCCTACCCTACCATCTGAACACACTGTCCCCTACCATCTGAACACACTGTCCCCTACCATCTGATCACACTGTCCCCTACCATCTGAACACACTGTCCCCCTACCCTACCATCTGAACACACTGTCCCCTACCATCTGAACACACGGTCCCCCTACCATCTGAGCACACTGTCCCCTACCATCTGAACACAATGTCCCCTACCATCTGAACACACGGTCCCCCTACCCTACCATCTGAACACAATGTCCCCTACCATCTGAGCACACTGTCCCCTACCATCTGAACACACTGTCCCCTACCATCTGAACACACTGTCCCCTACCATCTGAACACACTGTCCCCTACCATCTGAACACACTGTCCCCTACCCTACCATCTGAGCACACTGTCTCCCTACCCTACCATCTGAACACACTGTCCCCTACCATCTGAACACAATGTCCCCCTACCATCTGAACACACTGTCCCCTACCATCTGATCACACTGTCCCCTACCATCTGAACACACTGTCCCCCTACCATCTGAACACACTGTCCCCTACCATCTGAACACAATGTCCCCTACCATCTGAACACACGGTCCCCCTACCCTACCATCTGAACACAATGTCCCCTACCATCTGAACACACTGTCCCCTACCATCTGAACACACTGTCCCCTACCATCTGAACACACTGTCCCCCTACCCTACCATCTGAACACACTGTCCCCTACCATCTGAACACACTGTCCCCCTACCCTACCATCTGATCACACTGTCCCCTACCATCTGAACACACTGTCCCCTACCATCTGAACACACTGTCCCCTACCCTACCATCTGAACACACTGTCCCCTACCCTACCATCTGATCACACTGTCCCCTACCATCTGAACACACTGTCCCCTACCATCTGAGCACACTGTCCCCTACCATCTGAACACAATGTCCCCTACCATCTGAACACACTGGTCCTACCCTACCATCTGAACACACTGTCCTCTACCATCTGAACACACTGTCCCCCTACCATCTGAACACACTGTCCCCCTACCATCTGAACACACTGTCCCCCTACCATCTGAACACACTGTCCCCTACCCTACCATCTGATCACACTGTCCCCTACCATCTGAACACACTGTCCCCTACCATCTGAACACACTGTCCCCCTACCATCTGAACACACTGTCCCCCTACCATCTGAACACACTGTCCCCTACCATCTGATCACACTGTCCCCCTACCATCTGAACACACTGTCCCCTACCATCTGAACACACTGTCCCCCTACCATCTGAACACACTGTCCCCCTACCATCTGAACACACTGTCCCCTACCATCTGAACACACTGTCCCCCTACCATCTGAACACACTGTCCCCCTACCATCTGAACACACTGTCCCCTACCATCTGAACACACTGTCCCCCTACCATCTGAACACACTGTCCCCCTACCATCTGAACACACTGTCCCCCTACCATCTGAACACACTGTCCCCTACCCTACCATCTGAACACACTGTCCCCCTACCATCTGAACACACTGTCCCCTACCATCTGAACACACTGTCCCCTACCATCTGATCACACTGTCCCCTACCCTACCATCTGAACACACTGTCCCCCTACCATCTGAACACACTGTCCCCCTACCCTACCATCTGAACACACTGTCCCCCTACCCTACCATCTGAACACACTGTCCCCTACCATCTGAGCACACTGTCCCCCTACCATCTGAACACACTGTCCCCCTACCCTACCATCTGAGCACACTGTCCCCTACCATCTGAACACACTGTCCTCTACATCTGAACACACTGTCCCCCTACCATCTAAACACACTGTCCCCCTACCATCTGAGCACACTGTCCCCTACCCTACCATCTGATCACACTGTCCCCCTACCCTACCATCTGAACACACTGTCCCCTACCATCTGATCACACTGTCCCCTACCATCTGAACACACTGTCCCCCTACCCTACCATCTGAACACACTGTCCCCTACCATCTGAACACACTGTCCCCTACCATCTGAGCACACTGTCCCCTACCATCTGAACACAATGTCCCCTACCATCTGAACACACTGTCCCCTACCCTACCATCTGATCACACTGTCCCCTACCATCTGAGCACACTGTCCCCTACCATCTGAACACACTGTCCCCCTACCCTACCATCTGAACACACTGTCCCCTACCATCTGAACACACTGTCCCCCTACCATCTGAGCACACTGTCCCCCTACCATCTGAACACACTGTCCCCTACCATCTGAACACACTGTCCCCCTACCATCTGAACACACTGTCCCCTACCATCTGAACATACTGTCCCCCTACCCTACCATCTGAACACACTGTCCCCTACCATCTGAACACACTGTCCCCTACCATCTGAACACACTGTCCCCTACCATCTGAACACACTGTCCCCCTACCCTACCATCTGAGCACACTGTCCCCCTACCCTACCATCTGAGCACACTGTCCCCTACCATCTGATCACACTGTCCCCCTACCCTACCATCTGATCACACTGTCCCCCTACCATCTGAACACACTGTCCCCCTACCCTACCATCTGAGCACACTGTCCCCCTACCATCTGAACACACTGTCCCCTACCATCTGAACACAATGTCCCCTACCATCTGAACACACGGTCCCCCTACCCTACCATCTGAACACAATGTCCCCTACCATCTGAACACACTGTCCCCTACCATCTGAACACACTGTCCCCTACCATCTGAACACACTGTCCCCTACCATCTGAACACACTGTCCCCCTACCCTACCATCTGAGCACACTGTCCCCTACCCTACCATCTGATCACACTGTCCCCTACCCTACCATCTGATCACACTGTCCCCTACCATCTGAACACACTGTCCCCTACCATCTGAACACACTGTCCCCTACCATCTGAACACACTGTCCCCCTACCCTACCATCTGAACACACTGTCCCCTACCCTACCATCTGATCACACTGTCCCCTACCATCTGAACACAATGTCCCCTACCATCTGAACACACGGTCCCCCTACCCTACCATCTGATCACACTGTCCCCCTACCATCTGAACACACTGTCCCCCTACCCTACCATCTGAACACACTGTCCCCTACCATCTGAGCACACTGTCCCCCTACCCTACCATCTGATCACACTGTCCCCTACCCTACCATCTGATCACACTGTCCCCTACCATCTGAACACACTGTCCCCTACCATCTGAACACACTGTCCCCCTACCCTACCATCTGAACAC